TACGCCGCCGCCGTCGCTCTGCTACTCGTGACGTAACGCGGATTTTCATTGAACGTGCAAGCGCAACGCTGCACTTACGTACCTTCGTCGGTACTTGTCTGCCCTACATCGGATGTGCACAGCAACGAGGCGCCAGCCTGCCGTCGAAGGGCGCGAGTCGAGTGGCGAACCGCAAGATCCGTAGAATTGGCAACGGCGAGATTCTTTCGATTTCGCACACAGGCCGTTACGTAAGCGCTCGCGGCGCCTATTAGCGTCCAATTTGGAGGCGGGTCCTGTTCTCGGGCGCCTGTTGCCGGTCCGCGGCGACCTTTCGCAACGCACAACCCGAGTCTGCCGGCAGCCGTGCGCACGCAGCCCCGCATCGTCTCCGTCGTGCCCGCGTCCGACAACGATTGGACTGCAGGCAGCCACAGCCAGGAGAGAGACGCAGGAGAGCCACAGGAGAGTCGCAGGAGAGTTGCGCCAAGAGCGCGCGCTTACTCGACTATTATCGCAACCCAAAAACTCGCCGACGAGTGCTACTAACGGCGCGCACATTGCGAAATCTCGTTTCCTTTGGCGCAACAGCCACGCAATCGTCCGCGAAGCCCGCCGACGGCGCACTCCAGCCTATTGCGAATCCGAAAGGACTGCCGCCGGGGCGCACCCGCACGGGGACTCGCGCCCGTCCTTATGGCTATCCCCTCGCTCGCGTGGACGTGCCGCCTAATGGATCATCGATTCGGCGAGCAACCCGTGGATGTGCGCCCATTTGTCGGCCCGCACGACTTGTAAGATAAGCGCAACGATAGTCACACCTCGGACCCATTCAAGTAGGCTTGTCAATTACGCAAGCCCGAATGACGCAGGAGAAACCTGCGCAAATCGAATTGACTTTGGTTCTTTACGTCGCAATCGAGCGTTTGTCCTCGGTATCGATTCAAATGTCAAGCTGACTCGCGGCTAATTGCAGCAGGCCAGCCGCGCTGCATTGGGTGGGCTCGTGATTCGGCCGAAGAAGAGATGGCTGGTGCGAGATGCGAGCCTAGCACTGGGTGAAATCAAGCAGGCGCAAAGCGGAAACGTTCGAATTGGTGGATCGTACGAGAACGCCGAGCGTCGAGCGTCGAGCGTCGAGCGTCGCGGCGGACTCGCGGAGCGTGCGTAGTCTTCGATTATATAAGGTGCGCGCGTGCAATCTGCTCCGTATCTGCGTGTGCTGGCGGCGTCGCGCGTCGTAACGTCTTGTACCTAGCTGTGCTTATCGACGAGTGCGAACCGCACACTTACGCCGCTTATGTAAAGTTGGTCGCGCACGTGCTCGCGGTGCGCCGGCGATGCCCCCTGCCTCGCTGCAGTCGGCCCTCCGCCGCGACACACGTGGCCACGAGCTCGCTCACCGATGGCGCACTGTCCATGCCCGTTCCGAATTATTTGCCAGCCAAATGTCGAAACAATTGCTATTTTTACGCTCGAGTCAGTCTTGCCTTGATATACTCGTGACGGCGTCCGCTTGTACGCCGATCTTCACGTAACCTGACCTTCGGTCTCGTTGGTCGATCGAGACTACTCTCGCGGAAGCCGGCCTTCGACATCTTCCAAGCGAAGCTGGTGCCCGGTTGGTGCCCGCGAGCACCGGGGACAGCTGAATTGCGCCGGATTAGCCTCGTCGAACGGTCGAATCGAAACTCTTCCAGAATTGGAAAGGGCGCTCCGTTTGGCCCTTCTGGCGTCGAGGAAAGATCCTGCTCGATAGTCGGCGTTCTGTCGGTCGCTGGCGAATTAGCGAGGCAAATGACTCGTTATGTAAAAAGCACAATGCTAAAGTGGCTTCATCGCTGCGAGCTTCGAGCTCACCTTAACGCGGCGCGCGCACAGACTAGAAGACTCTCGGTCTGTTGGTTCTCCTGGCCGAGCCACCCCCATATTCCAGCCAATAGCCCGGCAATCGATAGTGTTTAGTCGGTCTCTGCGAGTGCGTTAGTAATTAATGCGCACTTGAGCCTCGCTCGAGCAAAGAGAACGTGCTTCCGCTGAACGCTTCTGCTGCAGTCGCCGAGGGATGCCCCACGCTCTCCTGTGCTCTTACGCTTTGCATATCGCGGCTGGCCCTATTCCAATCGGACAGCGATTTTCCACTAATCTAACGTTCTTCAAACGAATGAGCTTTGGAATCGTCTCTCTCGGCTCTATCTTTACCTACTTTTTCCTACAATTATTGGCTTTGTAATATCGAACATTATATAAGCATAAACTGTGCAAATATACTCATCTCTACTAAATACATAATAGATCTTGGCTCCGCTACAGTTGCTTGACTTTAAACTTTGTCTCATGACTTGAACGCTGCAAAATGCATTATATAAGTACGTAACGTGTGTTTGTATAGCCGTGTGCATCGGTATAACGTGACAAATGAACATAGACAAGTGGACTGGCACGTTATCAACGTCGTAGCATGCGTGCCATGAAATACATAAATACGGCCCATTTCTTGGGTTCGTGTAAAGGAAATAAAGTTTATCTAAGCGTTCGTCGTGTGAAAGTCGTTCGGTTTGGGCTATTTTCGTCGATCTAAAACAAGAGACTGAATCCCACTGGGTTGAACAATCTGCAGGAGATGGCGCAGGTCGATCGATCGGAATATTAGCGGACAGCGTCGACTGGCGGTGGCGTCAATGTAAAAATCAATAAATAGATTGGAGGAGGCCGAGCGAGTGCGGAGCGGAAAGCGAAGGAATGTAGCTATCTGCGATGCATTGCTCGATTATATAAAGGCCGAGATTAAGAAGGGGAAGAGCAACATTGTGCTGCTAAACAGCGTTAGCGTTGGGCCGCCTTATTTTTAGCGATCACGCGAGTCTCGGTGTAGGTATAGAGAGGCGCGCTGATTGCCCACGAGCAGAGCCCAGATACGAGGCTTATTTGCAGGAATCGGTAATAGTTGCGTAAGCGGCCGGGCGTCCGCGAGCCGCCGTCGCCGCCGCCGCCGCCGCCGCGCGCGCGATATTCGGCCGAATCTTGTAACGCTGCGTTACGCAACCGCCCGAGTCGGGCTCGCTTGATAGACCGCCATGTGCGCGCTGCTCGTTCGGCTGGGCAGCCTCCGTCGAGCCGCGCACTTGGCCTCCAGCCGGCCGATTAGCCCGGGCTCACTGCGCGCCCCAATTGCACTCCGACAGTCCGCGAGCGGCACAAACGGACCCGTCGAGAACGCCAAGCGCCACGAGGATTCGTCCTCAGGTAAGCGCTTGCGAAATCGGACGGGTTAGTGCTCGGCTCGTGGCGAACAGAATCACAGTTACATAACCGTTGTCGCATTTCAGCAACAATTACCTTCTCTTTTTTCCTTCGCTCTTTCCCCCAATACCGATCTAACATCAACCTCGTTTTTGTGAAACTTTGCCTTAAGCAGCCCAGTTCTGATAACGAGATAACGTCGTGACGTGCTCTTGTCCACGTCTGAGGCACCGGACTCAAGGTCTCGCCTTTCCGACTGGAATAGAGTTACTGGGCATTCTGGTCCTCTCCGAGGCCGAAGACTTCTCGTTCCTCGTGGCGCCGAATCCGCTTCGGACCAATCTTTATCCATCGCTACACTCTTTTGCCGGGCGTTCGATTTCGTTCCTCGGCAACATGTTCGTACAGCGATCCAGCAATCCAGCCGTTCACTCGACCAAATTCGATCGACCAAAGACGATCGGACCAATCGGCGAAATCGGGTGCAGCGTAGCCCCCCTGCCCCTATTTCTCTTCCACCAAGCCAATTATAAACATTTGGTGGGATTACGAGGCACGCGTCAACTGGCCCATAGCAGCTCACCAATAGTCATCGTCTGCGTGCGCTCGCGCGATGCCAGCATGGAATAAGTGCCAAAAAGGAGTCGAAGCGCGGCGGGGCGCAAGTGCGCACTTGTGCGAGCTTGCGCGCTCTTACGTAACGACGCGCTTTTGCCCGGACGCGCGTCGCACTGATCAACAGCGTGTACGTATTTTGCGATCGGTGCGCATACGCTCATCCAGCCTCATACGAGCAGCCACAGATAGCCGTATATAGGCACGTAGCTCGCAGTTCGTACGAGTAGCGCTTGCAGTTCGCGAGACTGCGCGCAAACAGTTTATGTAACCGCGCACCAGATAAATGCGCATACAGCTCAACGTTAAAGCATCGGCGGTCCAACTCCTGCTGGACTCTCGCCATCTTCGTCTTCGTATAGCGGACCAGGCGTGTAGCGACGCATCGTTCGACGCTGCGACACTGCTTCGGTCGCGATCCGTCCCACATCTGGCCCGTCCAAACCAGATGTAAATCCCTCAAAGGCTGTCGCCGTTTGCTTTCTTCACCGGCATATTCACTTTCTTTCATGCTCACTGATAATTTCATCCACCAATTAGGCATGCTGCTGTTCAAGTACAAAGACGCTCGAATTGCATAACCATGCTACAGTTAACAAACAGGACCTAAATAGAGAATTGATAATGTATTATCCAACCACGCTTCGTCGACCATCCGGTTGTTTCATTTTTCGCAGCGATGCAAATTAAAATTTCGTATATGCATCTCCTCTTTCGGTACTTTTCTCTCGTAGAAGCCCAATCTAACAAAGTCACGTGAAATTCCTTTTGGTATTCGTCTAGCGGGTCAAATGAAAGTAAGACAAAAGCGCTCGCACCCTTCCTTGTGGAACAAGATCTATTAGCAACGGTCGTCGACGGATGAAATTCGAGCGAACCGCTGGTGGCTGGGCCGGCGATCGAGAGCGCGAGAGCGCGCAGCCCGAGCCCGAGTTCGCTCGGGTGTCGGAAGGGCGGCTCCGAGCTTTCGGAGAGGAAAGCGCGGCTCGCGGGGCGCCAAGCGCCGGCTGGTGCATTCGCGGACACGCGACCCAAGCCAGCGACGCCACGGCAACTCGGCCGCGCGGCGTAGTAGTGCGCGCGGCGAGGCAGCCGCGGCGCGCCGATCGAACGGCGCACGGCCGCGCCGCCAGCGCGCTCCGCTCCCGCTCGCGGCGCTCGGGCCGCCGAGTCAGTCGACGGCCAACCTCAGCGCTGCGAGCGGACCGCGCCGCACAGCTGCGCACCGGCCCCACCGCGTGCTTCACGCCTCGGCGTCTCGGCACACGCGCAGTCAGCGCTCCACGCTCCAGTGCAGTTCGTCGGATGTCAGTGCAGTGCGCGAGCTGTGCGCGCTCCGGCCGCCGCTGAGCCCGACTCGTCGCGGCCGCCGCTCGATGGCCCACGTTCGGAGACATGCCTAGCAGCTCCAGCCGCAAGTCCAACACCGAGTTCTACGGCGCGGACTTCGACGTCGAGTCGCGGCTGTAGCCAGGAGCGGCGCAGCCAGAGGCCGCGGAGATGACGGACGTGGCGAAGGAGGCCTTCGCCTCGCGCAACTACCGGCTGGCCGTGGAGATGTACGAGCGCTGCCTCAAGCAGCAGAGTCCCAACCTCGAGGTGCTGTTCGGCTACGGCGACTCGCTGGCCCGCTGCGGCCGGCTGCGCGAGGCCGTCGACGTCTACTCGCGCTGCCTGGCCCTCGGCAGCGGCCCGCCCGACAAGCTGCGCCACCTCGCCAACGCGCTGCTCGAGGAGCTCGGCGTGCTCGGCGCACCCGCCGCGCGCAGCCCGCCCCCGTGGCAGTCGTTCGCCTGCCCGGCCTGCGAGGGGGCCCTGTGCCTGCCGGTCACGCTCAACTGCGGCCACACCTTCTGCCGGGCCTGCCTCGAGGACGCCGGCTGCCGGGTGTGCGGCCAGCGGGACCACCAGCAGCAGCAGCAGCAGCAGCAGCAGCAGCCGCCGCCCGAGAGCAACGTGCTGGTGCGCAGGCTCGTGGAGAAGTGGTGGCCGAGGGAGGCCGAAGCCAGTGCCGCCAGACAGGAGGCGGACGCGCTGCTCAAGAAGGGCCTGCTCAGCCAGGCCCTCGACAGATACGACCTGGCCGTGCAACTGGGTGAGTAGTGCGCCCCGTTACGCAACGCCCGTCGGCGCAAGTGGTTGCGGTCTTCCCGCCGTTCGCCCCTCGGCGCGCCGCGCGAGCGCGCCAGCGCGCCAGCGCCGGCCTTCCTTATGCAACAAGTCATGCGTCCGGTGGCAGCGCGACAGGCTGCTCGCGAGCCGAGTGCCCGGGGCGCCTCGAGCTAGCTGGCGCGCGGACGCGCGGATGCGCGGATGCGCGGATGCGCGCTGCGCCGTGGCCCGATGTTTTCGCTGACGTGACGCAGCTCGATAAGCCGCAACACGGAACGACGAAGCGATCGCTCGTAACGCGCGTCGAGCGTCAGCTGTCGCGGAGGCGCAGCTGCGCCCAATTCGCTCGTCGCTTGCCGCTGCGGCGGTGGAGGCTTTATCCGCGTCCGTTCTCGTCGCCGGCACTGGCCACTGGCTCAAAACGCCATCTTTGCCCGGAGATGCACGATCGATGAACGCTCGGCCCCAATCGCACAGCGCCGGCTTCGAGCCCAAAGTCGCGCGGCGCCGTTAGTTTGCGTTCGCTCGCTCTCCGCTGGTCCGCTTCCTTTGTTTTGCTCGGCGGGATGCGTCGCCCGACTCCTTTGTCCGGATTCCCAGACGCGCGGCGCTATTGGGTGCAGCAGGCAGCTCCCGGCCGTGGCCGCTATTTTTAAGCGATCGCCGGCGGCGCCGCTCTCCGCCTAGCGCTGGACCGAGTCCTCGGCCGTCGCTCGGGAGCGACGCGGCGGCCCAGCGCCGCCGGCGACCTTGCCTCGCAGCCGCAGCGCGCGGGTCGACGAACTGCTCCGCCGCTAAAAGTCTCAAGGTCGGAGCGGCGGGCTCGCGCGGCACTCTGCCCTCCTCGCTCGACCGGCCATTAGCGCCTCGCGCGGAGCCGCCTCTCGCGACAGGTCGACGCCAGGGCAAAGCCAGGGCAAAGCCCGCGGGCGGCAGCGCGGACTGCCGCATCCAAAGCCGCTGCGCCGGCCGCGCGGAAATGGCGCCGCCGTCGTACAAAGAGGCTCGAGAACAGGACGCGGCAGGCCGAGCAGAGCAGGAGAGCGAGAGAGAGAGAGAGAGAGAGAGAGAGAGAGCGAGCGCGCGCGCGCTAAGTTCACGGCCAGTCTGCGAGAGAGTGTCGGCTCGAGCGCGCGTTACGTAACGACCGGCTGCTATTCCGAACGAGCAGCCTGCACGCGGCTCGAGCCGAGGAGCGAGATTCTCGAGATAGGCGGCTCTTGCACTCGCTCGCAACAAAGAGCCGACTGGTGGCCTCTCGCGAGCTCTCCGTTGGAATCCCTCGGCTGTCGGTGTCCGCCGGTGGAAGTGGTCGTCGAGATTCCGTTCGCCGACGAGCGCTCCGATCGGCTTTGCGACTGATCGACGGATTCCTGGGACGACGCCCGTACGTCACGAGTCTACGGGCAAACGGAACACGGCCGAGTGCCGGCTGAATCTCATTCGGCCAGTTTTCGTGATGCAACTCCACGATTAGATAAATACGTTCTAGCCGAGTTTCTATGTTAGGTTTACGCGCGACTTGGCTCAAATTGCACTTGCGTAAACGATCGCCGCTCGTTGCAGGGGCTCGTACCTCTGTTTTCGCGCCTGCGTTGCAACTGCGCTACCTACAGTTTGTAGGTTAAACGGCCTGGCCGTCTCCGTGACGTAACGCCTGCCAGCCAAGATGCCGTCTATTGTACCTTACGTAAATACGCGGAGCTTTCGGGCTGACTTCTGCAACAGTGTCACGTGGAGGCGCCATCGGCTGGCTCGACTGGCCTGCAGTCGCCGATCTCGCAACCATTCGCAGCCGAGCGTCATTCGGACGTGCATTCGTTGCATTTGAGCAGCTTCGAGCTTTCCTTAATCGTGCAGCTTGGACTCGACAAACAACAAGTCGAGTACGACTCGATACATAGACTAGCCCTTGTAATACGATAAGGTGTCGGGACCGGCGTTGCGGGCAGTCAGTGGAGTGCCGAGAACAACAGCTGTTTAACTAATTAACTGCGAAATTCTGGCGGTCGAGTAGGCCTTCGGCTCCGACGGGCTGGCACCTTTCGGTTCGGCTGTCGCGAGCAAACGTCTTCTGGTCTTGTCGTGCCGGCCGGTGCTGAGATCCGCGTCCTCGCTGCGCGAACCGGCCAGTGCGTCGGGAGGGAAGGAGGCGCGCCGTGGCCGGGCGACAGTCAGGACCAAGCGCAGCGAGCCCGAGTCGGGTGCGCGCGGGAAAAGTGCCAAGGCCAGTCGCGAGTGCGAGTGTAGGCCAAGGCGAGGAAGAGAGAGAGAGAGAGAGAGAGAGAGAGAGTGGCTTGTCCACGCGTGCTGCTCGGCCGAGCGGACGCGCGCACTTCCTGGCCAGCAAGACCGTCGAAGCGTCGTCGCCGAGCGAGCCGTTCTTCCGACGAGCGGCGCTGGCTGAAAGCGACATTCCGCTGCCAAAGCTCCCCTTGCCGCTCGAACGGTATGCAAACTACCTGTAGCCTCTAGCCTGCGCGCTCGCGGACGCGTGGACTTTCACCTTGCACTCGAGCGTCACCATGACATCAGTGCCTATCATCGACTTTGAATGTCGTCTCAATAATGACGTAACGCTAACAAGGCGTTCCGGCTGCTGTTTGCTCGAGAAGCGTTGCTCGATAAACAGAAAACAGTCTTTTCTGTGTTTACGTAGCTCGCTGGCCGGGTAAATATTTTGGCCGCGAGATATGCTCGCTGGAAGGTTCGAGCGACAGACACTGCGGTCCCGATCGCGCAGGCAAGCAGTTCGATTGTCGCGCGTCGGTGCGAAGGCGAGGATCTCGGCTAGGCTGTAATCTCGAAATAGATCGGGGACTGGGGGCAAAAGATGCGCCGAGCGCGCGTCGGCCCGTGGCTTCGCGGACCTCGACGCAGTCGCTCATTGACCGCGAGCGCATCGTCCGCGGACGACCAGTCGGTCGGCCGGTTGACTGGCGATACCGCGGCGGCCGGCTGTGCCGCGGGCACGCCCCGGTTACGTAATCAGCGTACGAAACCGAAATTGAAATTGATCCGCGGCTCGGCTCGGCTCGTCTCGGGGAGCCTCGGCTCGCCTCGGGGAGCCTCGGGGAGCCTCGGGGAGCCTCGGGGAGCCTCGAAGATCGGAGGAGAGGATTGGTGTCAAGGTGCCAGAGCATCGGCGCTCGGGCGCGCGCTCGCTCGTCTTTGCGAAACGGAGCAACAAGAGGCTCGCCCTTCCCATTGCGCGTTGACCCGAGTTAACGCGAGATCGCTTGCGCAAGGCCCGCTTCGCTTTCTTTCGCTTTGTTTTGCTATCGTGGCAGACTCGGCTCGTGCAAATTTCAGCTCTCCGCGACCGTTCGACCGAAGCCAATATTTCGTATCGCCGACTTTGCACCCGACGAACGCGCTCGCCAACGCTCGACTTTCGCAGTTGTCAGCGCTCGCCGAGGGCCCATTTTCGCGCAGCTGTCTTTCAGCAGGATTACTCGGGTTCGTTCGCTACTCCAGTCTCGTACGACGTGCTCCGACCGATCGGCGCGTAGCGTTGCGTAATATTTAGGCGCATTATGTAACAATCGTATCAGTCGCTCAGCCGAACGCGAAGCGTAGTTCTGAGCAGTGGCTCTGGCAAGCGAATTATCGCTCGCTGCAACACGTGCACGGCCGGCCTGTCGACGTTGCCCGCGCGAAAGACACAGCGGCGAGCGGCAAGCTTGCAGCCGATTCTTAGCCGCGAAGCCGAGCGAACGTCGCCTTCTCGCGCAATCCTGCAACGGCTCGGGGCTCGCTTGGCCGCTCCGCGCGCAGCGGTTGGCTCTCGCTCTCCGCCGTCCGCGGGCGTCCGGAACCCTGCAGCCCGAGCCGCGGCTCTCCCTCGCGCGGACCCTCCGGCCTGCCGGAGCACGTTGCGGACCAGCTGCCGGCCGGCGGCAGCCTCCGGAGCGAGAGTCGAGGCAGGGTCGGTCGGCAAAGCCGCCGGCCGGCGCGCTCGGCCACGTGGCCCGGCGACTCGTGTGCCGGCGCACGCGGCGGCGGCGGCGACGGCGGCGGCGACGGCGGCGCGAGCGAGCCCGGGCCTCGATCCAGCCGCACGTTCCACGCGTCCAAGCGGCCGCCGCGATCGCTGGCGCGCGAGCGCCTCTCGCCTTGCCGTTACGCAACTGCGCATTTATATAAATGGTTACGTTGACACCGCCGCCACACGGCCACACGCCAGTCGGAGCGAGCGCGCCGGAGGAGCGGAGTGGGGGCAGCCCCGAGAGTGGCTCGGCATTATCTAACGCCGCCAGCGCTTTATTAGCCGCTGACTGCTCGCCCTCGCGCGATCTCCGCATCTTCGCGAGTGGCCGCCGGCCGAGCTTTACGTAATCGCGCGCGAATCGGCGCACGCGGGCGCCAACGGTCGCGAGAGTGGCAGGAGCGGCGAGTCGCGGCCAGGCGGCCGTTACGCAAGCCGAACTTGAAATCTTTCGGTCGAAATCCGGCGGGAGAGGTCGACGTCGCCGCGCGAGCAGCCGCACAAAGGAGCGTGGCGCTCGCTGATCGCAGGACGCCTGTGGCTGCGGACTCGCGCCCGACCTTTCCGCTCGTTACGTCATAAGCAGCCGCTTACGTAAGGACGCGCGGCAAACGTCGCCATCGTCGCGTCGCCGCCCTCTCCACTCGGTCCTCGTCGCTGGCCCACGGCTTCTTTCGCCTCCGCGTGCTCGGCGGCGCGCCGTGCCCCCGTTCGGTCGCGCGCGCGCGCGCGCAATTACCATCCAGCCGAGCGCACGCTCCGAGTCTGGCCGCGATTAGCGAGCGAGACCTCGGCTTTCGTCGCGGCATTTTTCCGCTTGCGCAACGCGGCCAGTCGCGGCCAGTCGCGGCCAGTCGCGACCAGGCGCGACCAGGCGCCCGAGCGCGCGCCGCCGGAGAAGCTCGGTCCTTCCGCCGCCGCGGCGGAACCAGCGGCGGAACCCGAGCGCGCGGCCCGCCGAGGGGCGGAGGCGCGAGGAGAGGAGCGGCCGAGCGCGGCGCGGCTCGCTCGCTGAAAAGGCTAGAGCTGCCCGGGTGGGGATGGGGGAGAGTAGGTCAGCAAACTATCGAACGGAAGCGCGCAGCCGAGTGCCGTGTTGCGAAGCCGGGGTACTTGACCGTGAAAAGCACCGTGAACGATGCCGCCGCCAGCGCCGATGAGCGCTCCTCTCGGCCGACGCTCGAGCGAGTGCTCTTTCGTGCCGTTGCAGCCGGCGATCGCGAGCTGCGCATGCTCCGGCCAGCCGTGCCTCGTGGGCGTCGCGCCGCTTCCCACGTTCGCTCGGCCGTTGGCGACTCCTCTGCCCATCAATTTACTCCTCTAACGATCGTCCAAATGATATAATGTCGACGTAATGCTCGGGCAGCGTACACGTATTACGTGGCGCCATTTTTCAAACTCGCCGCAAACGGTTTAAACGCAGCCAATAGAGCGAAAGTTGCTATCCATATTTACGTAACGAGTCGTTGGGGCTCCAGAAGATCGCCGCGCTGCCGCGCCGCCGCGCCGCCGCGCCGCCGCGCCGCCGCGCTGCCGAGTCGCCGTGTCGCTGAATCGCCGAACGGCTGGCGCAAAGGAAGAGACAACGCGAGCGAACGAGTGGGTGAGAATCTGGGGATCGTACACGAGAGCTCAACGAGAGGTGTACAATGACAGATGGCGAGCTTTATCGCAGCGCGAAAGCTGACCGTTTACGCAAAGATAATTTCGCTGGCCGTCACGTGCAGCCTAGAATCACAACAATCCGATAAGTCTCCGCTGCGACGTCATATTTTACGAACTCCGCGCTCCGATAATTGCAGCGATGATGCTAAACTCTTGCGGAGATAATTGATTCGTAATCAAAGAGCAAAATGATCAGCAGACGCGCTGGCTGCGCGAAGAGGCGGCGCGCGACGAGCAGGAGGCCGGAGCTTTTCCGGGAAGCGCTCGCGGCGATGGCGACGCACGGAGCAAGCTGGAGCGAGCAATATCGAATTGCTGAATAAACACTTGCGATAACGCTGCAGACAAGTAGCGCGGCAGCGTATCTGCAGCGCGCGTACGATACGAGGCGAATTGAATTCTCGGAAAAAAACGTATTAATTTGTTGTTGGCCTCGCGCGTTTAAATATAGGCTCAGTCCCTCTCAGACTTGCTGTGCTGCGGCCTGGGCGAAATTAAATAAAGCCAGCGATAGCCCGCCGAGTGCGAGTATTCCGATTATTTTTTGCATCGCCAGCGTTTCTCGTGGCTTTTTCCGGGCGCTCGGCTTTCTCGCGCTCCGCGCCAATCGAATATTCCGCGACGCCCCAAACAATGAGCGGCTTTCAGCTAAAAATAGCAGCGCCGCGATCTGCGCCTGAAACCAGAAAGAAGCGAGATATCGATGCGGAGCGAGCGGCCAAGAATCAAGCGTTATCGGGCGCGCACGGGCTTACGTAGGAGCGCTGACTCAGCCCGAGCGCGCCGCGCACGGACGCGAGGCCGGCTCGTCGTTCGGCCGAGCGCTCGGGTCCTCGCGCCTCGCGAGAGGGCAAGCGCCCGAGAGCGACTGGCCGACCGCAGCTGCGCCCCAATTATTTTTAGACGCGTTCGACCCTTCGCCGAGGCGGCGTTTCCGTCGGTCCTCGGGCTCTCGTCGGCGCTCGCCGGAAAGCGCGCCGAGAAGAACGCCGCCCGCGGCTCGGATGCGTCTACGTCGGCGAGCGCGGCGCGCCAGTTACGTAAAGGTCGGTCACCCGGCCAGCGCGCGCACCTCCACGCACGCTCGCATCGAGCGGTCGCGGCCGCCGCACGCGCCGCCATTCGCCGCTGCCGGCCCGGTGGCCGCGTCGCGCCCGAGCCCCGTGCGCGCGGAGCCGAGCCCGCGGATGCGCTATCGATCCGTGGCGGCGTCGCGCGGCTCAGCGCCACCTGCTACGGAGCACGGGCGGCGAGTCGACGGGGCCGCCGCGGCCGGCCTACTGACACCCTGAGGCCGCGTCGGCGCGCCACGCCGGACGTTGCCGCGCGATCTCTTCGGCTCGCGGTTGTCGCCGCTGCGGCGCCCGACGATCGCAGTGCTCGTTCGACGGACTGCCGAGACTGCCGCTGATCCTCGGGCGTCTCGCCGCTGCCGAGCGCCACGCTGCTGCGTCTTTGCCCGATCGCGCGCGTTCGGAGTACTGCGCGAGCCTCGACTGCGCGGAGCAGAGGGGCTTTCCGCGGGCGAAGAAATCGATCGGCCGAAAAGCCGCCTGCTCCCGCGTAGCCCGCGCGTTACGTAAACACGCGAGTCGGGCGCCTCCGCGTGGCCGAGGGAAGTCGGTCGGAGGCAATGACATTGCGCCGCGGCGATCCGCAGTCGTTCATTCACGGCTCGCTTTCCGCGGCAGCACGGCTCGGCCCGGTGGCGCGGAGTCGGCTGCCGTCGGCCGCAGTCCCGGAATAGCGCCAGATTTCGTAACGCGCCGCGAACCGGGGCGCCATCCAGCAGTAGCCCATCCGGCGGGCCTCGCGCTCTCGCAGCGTTGCGCAACGGCTCGCGAAGCTGACCCGCGAGCGCCCCCGAAATCCAACAAGTGCGCGCGCGCGCTCGCTCTCGCCAACGCTCACCGTGGCGCGCCGTCGCCGTCGATGTTGCAGCGCCGAGCAGCCCTCTCCACCTGTGCAGCCGGGCCCACGCGCTGCTGCTGCTGAACCGGCCGCAGGCCTCCCTGGCGGACGCCGACCACGCCGTGCGCATGCGACCGGACTGGGCCAAGGTAAGTCGCTGGCGTCGTGGCCGCCCGCGCGCACTCAGCACTGTCCCGCATCCTCTTTCGTCCGACAGGGCCACTACCAGCGGGGCCTGGCTCTGTCCGCGCTAATGAGGAGCGAGGAGGCGCTCGTGGCGCTCTGCACGAGCGCGGCCATCGGCAGGAACCCGCAGGCCGTCCGGCACGAGCTGACGAGGGTGAGTGCCGAGCCGCCGCGCCGGTTTCCCGGTGCCGGCTCCGCTCTCACGCCACGCCGACCCCCGCCCTCTGCATTCAGGTGCTGCACCGCGTGCTGCTGAGCAACGTTCGCCGGCAGAGCGGCGCGAGCTTCCGCACGCCTTACGACCTGGCCGAGGCGCGCATGAGGCGGAACCGGCGTCACATACTGCTGCCGCTGATGAGCTCGAGCCGGCGCCAGCGCCGGAACGCCTCGGTCGGCGTGGGCGCCGTCGGCGCCGGCAACGCGTTCAACACTTCCGACTGCGAAGACAACAGCAGCGGCGGCGAGGAGGACTTCTCCCAGGTAATAAGGTTCTCCCAGGCGGCCCGACGAGCTCCGACGGCAGTCAAACGCAACGGCCACTCATTGCTTTCTAGTCCATCTGCCGGAGGCTGCTGTGCAGCGCCGCGCCGCAGGACAACTCCAAGCTGTACGCCACGCTGGACAGGATCTTCCAGGAGGTGGACAAGCTCAAGAGTAAGCTCGATTTTCGACCGACACTGGCCTCTGGCCGCCTACCGCTTCGGCGCCCGGGGCCCGCTCGCGGAACTACTAATCGCGATCGAACCGCTCGCCGTTCAAGGACTCGAAGCCAGGCCGGCGGAGGTGCTGCTGCCCCCGGCGAACGGCGGCACGGCGGCCAGCGACCTGGAGTGCATCTTGTGCTGTCGGCTGCTCTGGAGGCCGGTGACGACGCCGTGCGGGCACACCTACTGCTGGGTGTGCCTGGACCGCTGCCTCGACTACTCGTCGGCCTGCCCGCTCTGCGTCACCTCGCTCGCCGACGTGAGTAGCTCCGGCCACCGCGCGACGGCGGTCCAGCTGACAGGCCTTGCGCCCGCGCTTCCGCTTGCAGTACCTGGCGAGCAGCCAGAAGACGGTCACGGAGTTCGTGGAGCGGGCGCTCAAGTACGCGGCCCCGAAGGAGTACGCGGCTCGCGCGGCCGGCTACCGGCTCGAGCTCGTCCAGCCGGAGCTCGGCCCGGCGGGCGGCCTCGCCGGCGCCGGCGGCCCGCCCGGCGGCGAGAGCGTCGCCGTGTTCGTGTGCACGACGGCCTTCCCCCGCGTCGCCTGCCCGCTGTTCGTCTACGAGCCCAGGTACCGGTTGATGGTGCGCCGCTGCCTGGAGAGCGGCGTGCGCCAGTTCGGCATCGCGGCCAGCACCAGCCCGGGCGCCGTCGGGCACAAGAGGTGGGTTCGCGATGGTTGCGCGCTCAGGCGGCTCGCGCCCAGTCGACTGACCGCGGCCCGACGCTTGTCGCAGGTACGCCGAGTTCGGCACCATGCTGGAGGTGCGGGACAGGGTGCTGCTCAAGGACGGCTGCAGCATACTGAGCAGCGTGGGCGCGCGCAGGTTCCGGGTGCTGTCGGGCGGCGAGCGGGACGGCTACGACACGGCCCGGGTGGAGCTGCTGCGCGACAGCCCGCCCGCGCCGGAGCGCGCGCTCGGCCTGGTCGAGCTGCACAACAGGGTGCGCGCCAAAAGCAGGCGCTGGTGGGCGACGGTCGCCTGGTCGCAGCGCTCCGAGATCCGACGCGTCTTCGGCGAGATGCCCGAGCTGGAGGACGACTGGCTGCGGCTGGTGGACGGACCCTCGTGGGCCTGGTGGCTGCTGGCCATACTGCCGCTCAGCCCGCAGCTGCAGATCGGCATCCTCGGCACGACCAGTCTGGAGAAGCGGCTGCGCGCCATCGACAAGACTCTCGAGCACATGGAGCAGCGCCGGCAGCAGCAGCAGCAGCAGCAACAGCCGCCGCAGCAACAGCAGCAGCAGGAGCAGCAGCAGCAGCACCACCGCCACCACCACCACCACCACCACCACCACCATCACCACCACCACCAGCACCAGTCGGCCGGGGGTTCGGCCAGCGGGGCCAGCAGCTGCGCCAGCGCCGTCGAGCGCTCCACCGAGCCGCTGCTGCGCAACTTCTAGTGAGACACAAGTCTGAGCCCGAGACCATAGCTACGTTCGCGATCTTCGTTTCCGTTCCCTGTCCGCCTATCTCTCTCTCTCTCTCTCTCTCTCTCTCTCTCCCTCCCTCTACACCTCTTCTTTTCTCTTCCCAAGTGCCGGGCAAACAGCCACCCTTGCTTTCTCGTCTACTGTACAGTCGCCCACCGTTGTTCGGATATACCTGATGCCAAGTGAATTCTCGGCCGACGCAGAGTTTTGACTCGAGAGTGCGCCGATGAGGCGTAGCTGGCAGTCGGATACCGAAGGCACTGCAATAACATGACGTGACGCTGACGAATCCATCCGAATGAAACATATCCGAGCGCACCGAGACCAGCTCTGCGGATGGGCCTTGCTCAATACTTACTCTCTGATCGTTAGGCCTGAGTATCATCGCAATAAAACAACTCGGTTCTTCCACCATTGATGCAAACTTTTCTTGCACATGTTCGCTGTGTTTTACGCAACGTTTCGATTGGAACTACTTGTTCTACTACTCTCGATTGCTGAGCTTACGTCTATTTTCTTGTAATGTTGCCCCGCAGCCCATTCGGCTACAAATCCACAACTGTTTCACGTCGGTGTTTTAGCGTCAACATGAACAACCCGGCGCACCACATCTATAGGTATTCCATATTTGTAAGAAAAATCGCCTGATTTTGTAAATTAACAATGGTGAAAGTTGGAGAGTGCAGGCTAAATTGACGACAATGTGAAAAGCTCAGTCAGCCTTGTATTTGTTAGCATTGTAATTGTCAAACGTCGACCGAATATTTCGGCAGATTGTATAGAAAATAAGACTGCATGCCTTTACCCAGCGTACTTTCCTGCGACTAGATATGTGTCTGTATGCGTGCGCGCGAGCCTGTCTAAGTACTATGTTTTTCCATGAAAATTCTTCTAGACATTTCTGTCTAAAAGTCGAGAGAGTGGCGACAAAGACATACCGATATCGATCCATATATTTTTTTACATGCATCAATTTTCGTTGCAAGTATCTAGAAGTAGAGGCGCATTTATATTTCAAGGAAAATCAATACAAGAATCACGGTCCAATTGTATAGAGTAGAACACCTTTCATCGGATTGCAATAATTGTCGGGAAGGTCGTTAATCTATGATCACGTAAATTGAAATTGTACAGAATTAAGTAGATGACGATCGGCCATGAAAATGGTGCGATTCGACTGATCAATCGATAAATGTGCCCCAAGGCGGGCGTTGCGGGCGTTGCGAGCGTTGAGCTGCGATAGGCAAGCTTATACATTTTAAACTTGATACATACATAATAACTAGTTCGTTTTTCTACTCGCTCTTGTAATTTTCGTGATACAAGATGTAAGGAGAAGCAAGCTAATGCTTTGCAATTGTGATTGTATCGTCTCCTTTCCATCTACTGTTTCTCTATAAGGACATTTCTTCGACTGAAATCGCGAGAGAGATATATGTAGATGAATAGCTTGATCGCTTCAACTCCTCATATTTTTTTACGCTAATATTAAAGAGAAAATAATGTAAGTCGAACCTCTTTATGTTGTTCCATTGTCTGTAAGACTCAATATACGCTAGCGCATAGTAATTTATTTCCATCACTCGACTTCACATGCCCATCGAATATCTTGAGACTTTTAAATCCCAGAATGTCATATCAATCGTGCAATCAAATATTCAATAAGGAATACGTAAGAGACTTTGATAGCCACGTGTTTTCAAAGCTTATTTCCATTCTAATTGCTTTTTTCCAATCGTCGTCGTCGTCGTCATCCTCATTATCATTATTATTATTATTATTATTACTATTATTATTATTATTATTAACACAACTATTATAATTTTTATTCTTATTCTTATCATCATCATCATCATCATTACCATCATCATTATTACTATTATTATTATCTGCGGCACATTCGGCGTTGTAACTTCAAATCGTATACTAAACTTGTTGACTTAATTGTGAGCTTCATTTTATTGAACCATCGAGATTTTGTAAAACATTTGCTGTGTTTGCGCTTCTTGAAAATTGCTGTCATTTCTTTAACGTCGAAAAGCAAGAGACAAAAAGAGAAAAACGCGATTATATTCATACGCAATGAATGTAACATTTTGAAAAATAATTTTTGCATAAGAAACGTTGAATTGTGCTAGATAAATATTATCTTGTAATTCCTACTTTTAGATTATCTACGAAAAACCACTTATGTTACGAAAATTCGATTGGAAGAAGGCCGAATGATTGTTCATGATCGATGTTTATTATTGTTTTTTATATTGTATTTTCTAGCTAAATTTTAGTTTTTGCGGCCTCGTAAAAACGCCTTCACTTAGAGGCATATTTTCATTGATTTTTCTTTTTCTATTTTATTTTCTTCCATCCCCTTTTACAAAAGTTTGTAAATCATACATTGTGATATTACTGTGTAGCCTATCTTGTAATATTCTTACGAACGCGACTCTATAACGAATGTAACATTCGATTTTCCATTTTTACTTTAACTTTTCTATATTTATCTCATTGCTTCATATCGAATTTATTACAAATAAACTTGAGAAATCGACTGAGAAATTGGAGTTGTCGTTGAAAATTAATAAATCCTTGTCCCCTATCGATGAAATTGCTCGTTGCAAATGTCGTAATAGTCGCAATGAGCCCTCGGCGTACTTCACGTTTATTATTACAGCCCGGCGGATTTTCAATATTAGAGTAGCATGAGCGCTGATTTGCCTTTCTTTGAAAAATATTCAATTGCCCCTAGTCCAAGTCGAGATTACTATGGAATAAAGGTGTTCGCCAATCAAGTACGTTGCTCTCCATGGCCATTTGTTTTTATCGATCGTGACGTTTCTACCAGAAAAACATGAATTTTGGCAATTGTAGGTTACTTTGTATCAGTGGAAAATATCTCATGGACCACACTTATCTCCAATAGTGCGCGTTATCAAATTTTCCGAGTTGAGCAAAGAAAAAACAGCGAAGGAGCTAATCGAGCATGTGTTTGGTAAAGCGGCGTAAGCAACCATTTTGACGATATGCTTTAACGAATTCTTTGAATAACTTGAAGGCGCCAATGTACTGAGATATCTAGAACTAGCTGCATCGAGCGGACCCAGCACTCTGTTGACCCTTCCCAAAGAAATCCTCGAAAAATTAGTAACGTATTTGAATTACAAAGATATCAGTGAACTACTGCGTACGTCGACTGTTAGTTCGCAGGTGCGCTGTGTGACAAACGTTTCCAACAGTCCAATACATTACAGAAAGTAATCGGGGCGTCTTTGCGAATCCAACAGGTATTCGACAGAGATCCTATTTGGGAAATACTGTACAAACAATCGAAAGCTTCGTCCGACTTTTCCGAGATGGACAAAGCAGTGGCTGCAAACAGGGGATTCAAGAAGCTCGTGCAAGATCATCAGGTCAGATCTACAGCGAAGAAGAGCATCAAATTCATAGACGGCAGCGCGAAACGTCATCAAACTACGACAAGCAAAAATGATCGAGTCAGACGCTCGGCCAGTGTTACTATAACCGAGGCACAAACGCAAAGGCAAGAGCACGTGACACCTGTGGCGAGAACACGACAGACCACGAGCAGCAATCCGAGGAAAGGCCAACAACCATTGAAACCGCTCGCGAAAACCGGCAGCCAAGTGCAAGGGCAAACATTGAGTTTGTCAAGGTCTGGAAAGAGCATGTCCGATGAGAAGTCGTCGATCTTCGCCAATTGTGAAAAGTTCGCTGACAAAAATATTGCTATACAAGCTTGTCGGGGTTTCAAGTCCATCAAGGAGACGCCCACCAACAAGCCAAACACTCACACGAAGGCCATGAGTAAGTACAAGTTCGTCAATGAAGATCGAGAGAAAACAGAATTATTATTACCCAAGGCATTTTTCAAATCGGCAATTGTTCAATCTGACTTGGACGACAACGAGGTCCCGGACGAGCTACCGAAAAGTAAAAGCATGATGATCGAGAGTCCGAAAAGTAGCTTCTGTAAGCGCTCCAGTCACGCATTTGGCGATAGCAAGGTTAAAGCGCAAGCTCCACTCGGTCCAGTCGGCAAAGGCAAAAAGGCGTCGGAATCGGCGCGCAAAGGCCACAAAAGCCTGAGCAATGCCTGGAAAAGTGCGAGGAATGACGATAGAAGCGACGACTCGGACGAGAGTGGAATGTCGTTTTTGATGAAAAGATACCTGGAGGCAAGCAACGAGGTGGCGAGAAAACTTTCCGAATGTCAGCGCCTGGCGAATGCTACGAAAAGCTCAAGCGTACAAGCGGACATGAGCGACATAGGCGATCGTAAGCCTCTCAAAAAGCTGCACAAGTACGCGCCGCCTTGCATCGACAAGCCAGCGGCCCGCAAAAAGCTCCGATAAGCATGCACGCTGCGCCATCTAAATCTTTCGTACAAGCACTTGTTCGCTTTCTATTTGTTGACAACTTTCATACAAAATTCTACGAGTTCACGAAATACAACGATCAAACAAATGCATTGCAAAGACTTTTTGTAAGCTTAGCCACGACCAAACCTGAGGCGAACAGAACGATGCTGGAAGCTCGTACAGGTAGCGCTTGTGGCGGTCAAACGCGCGATCAGGTCGTTCAGGTATGAGCGTATGAGCTTTGGTTTGGCAGTCGTTCGCTTCGTCATCGCAGTCGGCGGCAATACAATTACGATTCTTCGTGTCGCTTGCGTCTGCACTGCGCGCGCATGTAAATCCGGTCGAGTGCGCTTGCGCAGTGCTCCCGTGGACGTGATCGCGTCGCGCTCGGGTATCGCGCAGACGAGTCGGAGCAGAAGAGGCGAGACGCAACGCGGTACCATGATGCAGTGCTTCCCTGCCAGGTAGTCGTTTTGACAACCTACCGACAGTGTCGACTGCTCGCCGACTGCCGTTTGCCGCTTTGGAAATGGCAGCGAGTGACCGATCTTAGCAGCATCAGCAGTGAAGCGTGAGTGCGTCCTCGTTGCTGATCCTCGGCTCGTTGAACAGTGCATTGCGGCGCATTTCTCTGCCCGTCCGAGGTCGCGCTCGCTCGCGCCTCCGCGAATCGTAGCCGTTCCACGACTCACTGCCCACAGCCGCTCCTCGACGCACAACCAGCAACGCAATGGCGAGCTACATCAGAAACCGGAGCTCCACTCGCCAGTCCGAGTAAGTCTTTGCCACAATCCGGCTAACCGCTCTACTCTTCCCTGACCGTGACCTCTCGCCTGTACCAGACACCAACTCCCATCTCCGTCAGGGCCCGTCCCGATTACCTGCCATATCGATCGTGCTTACATACCTTCGATATATCACAGCTGGTGCTACTCGCTATTGTCCAATTTAACCTTGTTCGCTTGCGCAAACGTACATTTTACACAGTCGATTGTCGGCTTTTTGCTCAGCGTCTCGCAAAGTTCATCAGTACTTTTGTGCAAAATCAGAATGCTCACACAATACCTAGTACATTTTTACCTGACCAGTGCTACCGATACGAACGTTCGATCCTCAATAACATTCACACTCCCTTACGGGCTTTATTGCATTGACTATTTTCCACTCGTCAAAGCAGTTTTAATAATAATCATTAAGTTTGTCGGTTTTCAGCGAAACTATGGATGACGACAATGATGAAAAAGATGATACAAAAAGGTTCGTTTATGCTTTATTTGTGTAACATTGTTAAAAATCTATTAATCCACTTATTTTGCAGGAAATCACGAAATTTGAGTGAAAAGAAACGAAGAGACCAATTCAATATGTTAGTTAATGAACTGGGCAGTATGGTTAGCACAAATACAAGAAAAATGGATAAATCTACAGTCCTCAAATCAACCATACTTTTTCTTAAAAACCACAATGGTCTGTGCTATTTATTAAAGTTAATATATAGCTAACCAATTGTATATTAATAATCAATTTTGACTTTGTAGAACTGGCGATCAGATCAAGAGCTCACGAAATACAAGAAGATTGGAAGCCTTCGTTTTTATCAAATGAAGAATTTACCCACTTAACTTTAGAAGTAAGGAACGCTAGAATATCTTATGTAGAACATTGCTACCTATGTTCTATTTATTTATTTCTCACTTTTAGGCACTGGATGGATTTATCATAGTTTTCTCATCGTCTGGACGAATTTATTATGCTTCCGAAAGCGTAACTTCACTTTTAGGGTATCTTCCAAGTGAACTAATGAATTCTACTATTTATGAAATTGCCTTTCAAGAAGATCAGTCCCAATTATATAATATTTTAGCGAATTCAAATAATACCAGAGATCAAAATAGTATTAATAAAGGTTTGTATATAAAAAGATTTATTTTGTAATAAGTCTTTTTGGTATATATAGATAGATGTTCTCTTGATAAAGAAGAAATGTATTTTTGAATCAGATCGTATTCCTTTTTTAATAACAAAATTCTTTCAAAGTTGAAAAATCATTTTTCTACAAACTTTCAAACATGATTATATCAATCGATTTCAATAATGACTTGATTATTTTTATAGAGCACCAAGTATCATTCACATGCCATATTAAAAGAGGTGGTTTCGATTTCCGAGAGGAGCCAATTTACGAACTTGTCCAATTTGTTGGTTATTTCCGTAAGTTTACAGTTGATTATTTTGCGATTTTTTAAATATACTCAACGTTGACTTTATTTAGTAACGATGTTATTATTGAAAATTACCTGTTTCGGATTGTTAGGAACAGACAATGACACAGATACCGATAGTATTATTTCAAATAGATTCAGCAGTGGTATCTCTGGTGAAACTAAGTAAACTACTTAAATCGTATATCAATTTTTCTCAAGACATTAATGAATTGGTAATACTAATTTTACGATTTCTAGAACGGTTTTCGTGTGCACGGGACGATTGCAAATGCCGCAATTAATACGAGAAATGTCTGTTGTGGATAATACAAAGACAGAATTCACATCTAGGCACAGCTTGGAATGGAAATTTTTGTTTTTGGACCATAGGGCTCCACCAATAATAGGATACTTACCCTTTGAAGTTTTAGGCACATCTGGATATGACTACTATCACGTAGACGATCTCGATAAAGTTGTAACGTGCCATGAATCTTGTAAGTTTTTGTTATCTGAACAATAAATTGATAACCATACTTGATTACTGTATTATTTTCTTAACAAATATTGCAGTGATGAAAAAGGGAGAAGGTACATCTTGCCACTATAGGTTTCTAACCAAAGGTCAGCAATGGATTTGGTTGCAGACCCGCTTTTATATAACGTACAATCAGTGGAACTCGAAACCAGAATTTATTGTTTGCACGCATCACGTAGTAAGTTATGTTGATGTAGTGAAACAGATGAGAAGTGGTGATGATGAATTCTCAAATTCAAAAACACAAGACGACGTAATGTCATCGAATAAGAAACCACAGGTAAGAATTGCTTGATTATATTTGCTTATCAAAATACCAAATTTAACGATAAGTTTTTTAAAGAAAAATATGTAATTATAGAACACGTCGATTCACATTAGAACGCCTTCTTGGTCATCAAAATCATCAAAAACGTCACGATCAGTGCAAGCGCGATCCCGTCTTCGCCACGGTAATGAATCGGATACAACGTCCGTATCTGCTTGCTCTCAGAGCTCGCGTTCATTTCAGCAAACGCCACTGTTAGCTACAGGGAATAAGGCCGCATCGGCCAATAGCTCAACAAGTTCGAAACCAATTATATCAAATAGCAACGGTAGATCTGTAGACTCGCAGCAACAACAACAAACACAGTCACCTTACCAACCTCAGCCACAGCAGCAGCCACAATCACAACAACAACAACAACAGCAGTCGCCGCAACAACAACGAATGTCCCAAAAAATGAAGGTTGAACAACAGCATTGTACAGACTTTCTGGAACCTACGCAATATTCAACTGTGCCCATGGAAACAATTGTTGCTGGAGCCTATACAGGAACCACTGATCCAGCATTGATATCCCCATTGCAGACTACAGAGGTTTGAACCGTCAATTTATTTACATTTTCTCCTATCTATTTAGTACATAATTCACTTGATCCACACAACATAATAGTAAATCATGCATTAAGGGAGTAAAATTAATTATTTTTTCTTGTATTACACTACTAATAGTTTTTTCTCATTTAGCGACTCTCAACTTAATTACTATTTTCCACATATCATGCTGAAAACCCCTCTTCAAGTCTCTCATTAAACAATACATCGTTATTATATTCATCGCTATTTGAAGCTTACAATTTTATTAGTCAAAGAATTTATTGAGATAATTTAACTTTCTTTAAGGTAGGGACTTAATACCCTATAAGAGACTATGCTTGAATTTTGAATTCACGTGTGATATTACAGTACAGCGCTGTGGTATTATGTTTGTGATATTAAACGGTAATCTTTCTGTCCATTAAATAATTTCTGACAGCCGGATTCATTGTACAGTAATCTATTTGCACATAAACGAGCGAATTTTTCAGTTCATCAAATGTTTTGTAGGTAAATATCAGTTTTCAAACTATCCAAAAATTTCTAAATATAGACTGGCTTAGACTGGCTTAGACTGGCTACCATTAAATCAACTGTACTCTTATTTTTCAGTTTGACTATCGAATGAGTCCTTGTACATTAATAAACTCATTCTTAACAAAAATTACAGCAGTTTGCGCATAGTAGGTTGACATTGGGCTGGACTTATTTTAAGTAAATGATATGTACGATCAAATTGTGAGAAAATAGTACATTAACTGACTAGTACGGGAAAGTAGATTGTTGTCTTGTGTGAGGTTTAAGCTCGAGCAAAACAATGGTGGAAATGCATACAAGACGAGAATCTCTTTCCCGAACATATCAGTTATCGTATTTTTCGAAAGAAGGTGTGAAAAGCGCGACTTTGAGCGCACATTTTCCGCCAAGCAAGTAATTTGGGTTCCGGATTTTTTTTTTTATTTGTAACATAATTTATTTTACTTACAACTGAAGAGTATAAAGACTATATTCATTGACTTGAAAGTGGGAATAAAAACTCAATTCCTCCATCACTGGTTAATTCTTTTTGATTTTTCCTAATCCAGTTTTTTGCATATAATATCCACTTTAATCGGTCCCGTGTATGTTTTATTTAGTAATTTGAAGCTAATAGTTGACTTAATTCTATTGCCTTTCAAAACTCAAATAATTCAATGAATACACGTTTAATATCAACAAATTCTTATAATTGCAACGATAAACAGTTAATTTATTTAGGTATTCAATACTGCAAATGTAAAATTTAATATTCGATTTTGCATCAAATACATGTAATAATCATACTTGCATTGAGCATATCACAATTTCTTATGGCATATTATACGTTTAAGTGAAATAGTTATAAGAACGAGAATAATTCTGTTGTAGCTACTTCATCAGCAAACATTGGTAATGACTCCAACCCAGAATCAGATTCAAGATGAGCTTCAACGTAAACATGAAGAATTGCAGCAACTAATCGTCCATCAGCAGGAAGAATTGCGAAGAGTATCAGAGCAATTGCTGATAGCAAGATATGGCATTTTTTCTCCACTATTAAATGTAAACAAAATCATTTAATTTTTAATCTACATTACTTTTCAAAAGATCATTTGTATTAAATGATATAAATTTGGTTTTCAGGTAGGGGTTTCATACAATGCTAATTTATGTCAACAAACAACACGATGCCTAAATACTTCTCACCAGAGCGTTCCAGGAGTTAGTACATTTCCAGTTCCAATTACGCTCCCCGTCAACATTGTATCCTCGGAACTTTTTCCCCACCCATTGCCGGTCAACACCGTTACAGCACCTCCAATGGCGTCTCACGGTAATGTTGTTCAGATGATGACTCCTCAACAGCAATTCCAAAATCATCCGCAGCTAACTCAACAGCAAAATCAGCAACAACCTGAAGAGCAAACTTCAGATTTAATCACTTTCCAAATGTGCCAACCGAATGATCTACTTTACACAAACATCGAACCTCCCAACCAACAGCAAAGATCAAGTAGCAATTGATTCCAAAGTATGAATGTTCCCTAATATTTTAATTTATAATCACAGTTCTTTCACTCGTGAACTAAATTATATTAATATAGTTACACAGTTGCAAAAAGAAATACTAATAAGAAACATGGATATCAGTGTGAAACTTTAGAAACTATGGAGGATTTTGAATCGTATATACATGATTAAGCAAATGCTTACGTCACTCAAAATAAGATTTAAAAACTTTTGAGTGATGGTAATAGATGTCTTTTGTCATTAACACTCACAGGTAAAAATCAAACGAAACTACAGTGCAGAATAGAATTTAATTATAGGTTTAGTTAGTTGGTTAGATTATCAAGTTACCAATGTAAGAAAAGTGTGTAAAATTTAAACATACGTGCAAATAACAGTGCACATAACACGTGTGTGAGTTTTATGTTTTTATCGATTAAACTGTATATGCTCATGCGCGCGCGCGAGTGTGTGTGTGTGTGTATGTGTGTGTGTGTGTTCGTGTTCGTGTGTTCGTATATGGAGACTGTATACGTCTCCATGGTTCGTGTTCATATTGCGTGTGTTTTAAATTACATGGCAGCACCACCTCGATGTGTGCAGCCAGCACCAGACGGCGCCACTCCTCAGTCATCTTGCAAACGAGCTAGGAAGCAGGCTGTAGTCCCAAGACATGTATAAATAAGACATTCGACTTCAATTATTCCTCTATTTTCAAAAGTCATTTCTAAGTCAGCAAGCCTTGCTGGCTAACGGTTTCGCTTCGCGCCTTTTTCTGTAAAAGTAATCTCAAATACATGTTCTTTGCCCTAATCTCTGGCGGCCCGAACTGTACTTGTAAACTTTTGTAAATATCATTAAATGACAAGTTTTAACTACGCGCCTTCGCCTTCTTTTAATCGCTTTTCCCTTCAAATCTCCCGGAATGCTCGACAACTGGTCGAGTGCGCATGGCGACATTCGATTAGGCTCGTCGCACATCAAATTCGCTCATACAGTTTCTAGAGATTGATTCTGTCCACCCCATTTCAAATTGAAAATATCAGCTTGTAAATATGTCTTTTCCTGCGTAGGTATGTTAACACAACCAAGTTTTCAATAGTGTACTGCATTGTGTTAAATCAAGTCAGTATAAGAACAAATTAAATAAAATAAATAAAAAAGAAATTCAATTATGAATCATCACTGCAATACTGTATTCAGATAAGTGTTATTTATTTTATCACATTTGAAGTTACTAAAAGAATTTCATAATTTGTGGTTGTTTTTAGGATATTATCTATGCGGATGTAGAAGTTTGGACTCAATGAAGTAAGTAAAGAAGAGGAAATAAACAAATTATTAGATGGTGGAATTGGCTTGAAAAGACTTTCTCATTGAGCATTAATCACAGCTATCACTGTCTCAGTGAAGGTAGATAGAAATGCTGTTTTTTCGAAGTTCCACTTGCCCAATCTACATGACAAAACATAATTACTATGCATAAATATGACATAGCATTTGCATCTACATCAACTGAAACAGTGACCAACAATTGAGTTAGATTCCATAAAAATTTTTTGATAGCTGAAATTATAAGGCTTGATTAACAAGTCTTTTGAAACTATGTGCGATCGATAAAACGTCATCAGTATTCATGACTTCAATGGGTTTGTTTCATTAAACATTAATTACAGCTGTGAAAAAGTATTTCTATAAATATTCTTCACAACTGAAGTAAATTAAAATGAGTCTCTACCTAAACTTGACCTTTATAAAAATTTATATGATGAAAAAATAAAACGTGTATGTAATAAGCTATACTCTTAAAAAAAATATGCAAGCATTTCATTTCATAGGATTGGTTAGTCGATCATCAATTGCAACAATCAAATTCTATTAATATGGATACCAAGAATAATAAAAATTCTATCTTTTGTAATGTTTCCAATTATTGAGAAATAAAATAAAATAATTTCTTATACAAATAACGTTTTTTATTATTGACGAATCCACTCATCCCTTATTACATTATTAAATCACTCATAAATTAGTCTTGAAATAATAAATTTTAAGTTTAAGTTTATATTACATCATACAATTCTTTTCATTTCAAAAAACGTTTTAAATAACACACCTATCCTAAAGACGCAACAGAAGGCATTTAAATCATGCCGTGTTGCAAGTTCTACAAACTGACATTTTCAATTCGAAATGGAGTGGACAGAATCAATGGACGGTGCTTGAGATTTTGTGATTTTCTCGTGATTTATCATCTCTTTCGAGAATGTCATTAAAATATCATGAACTTCATAATATACTTTCGTCGAATTATAAACGTATATTACCTATCTATTGACGTAGTTGAAGGAAAACAAATAAATCGAATTAAAGGAAAATTTTCTGTAATTCAAGTTACGAAAATTTGGATACTTTGGATAAGAATAAAACAAAGAAATATTAGTAATTATAATAATTGTGATAATTGATTTTGATCGAGCTTAATAGTGTACATGAGGAGTGTAGACAAAAGAACTATTCTTAAGCATATTGATATAGTTTTTCTATGTGAATTAAAGTAAATTAATTGACCCATGCCAATTTATTCTTTGAATGCACTGTGCGATTGTTATCGATACCATACTCAAGATCAAATTTAAAAATTAAGTTTTTCCCGAATGAAGGCACTGTAAGATTTGATTGACAGATCTTACTCATAATTGATTCAAGTCCAAGTGCAGAGCGAGAAGCCGGTTACATGAACATATTTTACTACTCACATTTGAACTCTAGCAAATACGATGATATCGCAGTGCCTTTCATGATTCAAAAGTAACAGATTTTTAAGTATAACTTATCTAAGTACGACTGGTGTATACTAATGATATAATTGGCATTTCAGAGGATTTCAGTCTAAAAATTACCGATAAAATGTAGTAGAATTAATTTTTCAACTGTTTTTTATTTTAAGATAATATAAAATTTTATATTTTTGGATAATCGATAAGAAAACGCAAACAAAAATTCTTTTTCTATATTTTGAATGAATATATCTAGAAAAAAATTGGTCATCTGAATAATTTGAGAACCATCCACGACTTTAATGGTTACAAAGCTTTTGGCTTTATTACGTCTTCAAATGAAATTTTGAGGAATAGTCTTTCGCTGGTGAGATCTTAAGTAAATAGACTGTTTGAAGACAAGCTGCGCAAAATGTATTATGTTTTACAGGAATAAATAAGAGAAGATTATGTTTACCAAGAAAATACCGCGAAGTAACGTAAAGTATAAAGATATTCCTTATAAAACTAGTAAAAGCATACTGATTGTACCAAAATATCGCTTTGTATGAATGCATAAAATTAGTTGGATAATGAAATAGCAATTTTATATTTGACACGTTAAGAGCAGGGTATCAACTATCCAATCACGTAATGAAATTCTCAGAAATAAAACCTAATCAGCGTTTCGATTGCAATAGTTCAATGCCCAATCGATGAAAAATTGTAAAAAGTGTAAAATTGTAAGCTACACAGGGTAAATTTACTTTTAAACAGTCCAAATGTATAATATATTTTGTTATTCACATGATATATAAATTAAAATAAAATATTTTAACGTACTTGAACATGCGTGAATGTCACTGATGATATGTATATAATATCGTAGACTAAGGTATATAGTGAGTACGGTTAATCCGTAAGGCTTTAATTTTTAACGATCGGGTTATGAGGTTCTGAATATGCGTCTTATTAAGAAAACGTCATTGCAATTCGAGTCAACGATAGATGTTAATATTACTTTATTTATCATATTAAAAATGCAAAAAGAGCGTATCTCCAAATTGTTTATTTGTAATTATTCTGAATAAAAATGCTGTCTAAATAAAATGGATCGATCATTAGCCCACTTTTCTTCGAATAGTCGTATAAATACGACAATCTCGCTGAGAAAGCAGCGGAGCTTTGAAAATATTGGCATGAGTGTTGCGAGAAACATGACACATGTAATCCCAGAAAAGGCTTAAAAGTAACGATAATGAGTTGAAAGATTAGAGGTAATTTTTGGACAAGACTTTTCATCAATGTTATAGCACTGCCTCAATTTTTCAGCTTCTTCAAGGCGTCCATTAAGATTTGCACCTCTCGATTGACATTTGTTACGAGTTCTTCAATCTGATATTTACTGTCGATAATGCTGATTGATTGGGTATAGGGGTCGTATCTCACGCCAAAGTTTCGTGGTATAGTTTCGGCGAATTTTCTGAAAGAGGGACAAACGAGTGAATAATGGAGATGTTGGAGCAAGAGGAAAGTGGATAGCGATGCACGATGGATCGGTGGAACGACCTATCGCGAAAGAACAAGGAACGAGGAACTAGCCGAGACCGGGTCCGAGCGGCCAGAGGGCCTCAGCTGAACTCACATCATCTTTTCCTTGGCATCCTCAAAGTCCTCCGCGACGAAGTAGACCGGCTGGTACTCGGTGATCGGGTACTTCTGCAGAGCCGTGGTGGCCGGCTCGAAGGGTCGCAGCTCGGGCTTGCCGCTGAGACTGTACTCGAGCTCGCCGAAGGACGAGAGCAGGCCCGCGCCGTAAGCCTTGAGCTCGCCGTTCTGCCGACACAGGCCGAACTCCACGGTGAACCAGAAGCACTGTGCCGAGCGAGAGGCTGCTGTCAGAGCGGGGGGCGAGGGGGGGCGAGACACTCACGGGCGAGACTCACCGTGGCGAGCTTCTCGATGTACTCGTCGGGCGCGCCGAGCGAGGCCAGGCCTATGACCTGCGAGAACTGCGCGAACGCCGGGTCGGCGAACAGCGGCACGTGGCCGAGCACCTCGTGGCAGACGTCGGGCTCCGGCGTGTACAGGGGCCTGCTGCTGTGCCTGATGTACTGCGTGCTGTGGAACACGCGGAAGGCCAGCCCGGCCAGGAAGTCGCGCGACGACAGCAGCCCGGCCACCGGGCGCAGCGTGAAGCCCGTGCAGTCTGCAACGTCGGCCAGTGCCTCAGCGGCTCGGCTCCCGAAAGATAGCGTACGCGCCCGCTCGCGTGCATCGTGCGCTACCTTTCAGGAAGTTGGAAATGTCCTCGAGCTGCGGTACGTTGTCCCGCCTGTAGCCGCAGTTCTCGATGAGCAGCGGGAACACGTGGTTGTGCTCCCTGCAGGCGTACCTGGGGTACAGCTCGGTCAGCTTGTCGAACACCGCGCCCCAGGTTCTCGTCTCCTCCTCGGTGTACTCCACTCTGGGGATCGGCTGGCCGCTGCAACACGCGGAGTTCTCAGACCGAGCGAGGCGCGGACACGAGACACGAGGGAGCGTCATTACTATTTGTAGTGGTAAGCGATGTCCGCGAAATACTTGCGCCTTGCGCGGTAAGTCGGGTCGGTGAAGCCCGGATGGTCCGCGTCCAGCTCGGCGCCGTACGACAGGATCTGGTTGGCGAACTTGTCGAGGTCGCGGATCCTGCGGGGAAACCACGGCACTGTTCCCAGATTGTCCCGGTAATTTCTGCAACAGTCGTCGTCCCCCGCTCTAGTCGCGACTCAATCGCAATTAATCATTGCAACCGGCAACCGCACCGACCTCGAGATTATCGAGAAGTAGCCGCACTGCCGTTGCAGTTCTTTGATAGCAGAGCCCAAGTCGCCTCCAGGAGCGCATTCCACGAAAAACTCGTAGCCGTCGGCTTGGCGCAAGCTGCTTCTCGACTCGATGTGCAGCAGGTTAATGTCGTATTTCTGCGATCAGAGTGGTTCGCTAGCGTTCTACCGTCGTTAGCCCGAGTTATGGAGTGACCGCTCAATCGCTGAATACTCACGGCGAAGAGTAGGAGGTAACGCGTGAGCGCGCCAATTTCGTCCTGCTCCTTGGGAGAGAAAATCAAGCAGGTGCTCTTGGACGAATCCGTGCCCTCTTTGATGTAATTGCCGCCGCTCATGAGTTTTGGCTGCAAAAGTCAAGGAAGAAAAATCCCGTAAGAGTTGCTCACTTTTAACTCGCGAAGCAGATCTCTCACGTCGAGGCTCATCATCTCGTCTAATTTGCGTGAAAGTCTTGATAGTCTTGATAGTCTTGATAGTCTTGATACGGGAGCACCGAACAGACTGACGGTCTGATGTCTCGGAGCAATGTCATGGGAAAACGGAAAATCGTGGCGATGCGTTGAATCGGGCGCTCGGTTCGGCTCTCGTAAATCGCACTGATTACGAAGAGGTTATCGAGGCAGCTCGAGTTCTTATACATACTTGAAGCCACTCTGGCGCTCCGCGCCCTTCCCTTCCGGCCTTCTCCTTCCTCCGGCAGCGCCAGCGTTCCCGCAGCATCAGAGCGCTCGCCTGATCCGGCCGATCGCTACCTCGCGCCTCGACTGACTTTCTCGCTTGTTGTTCTCCTTCGATGATTCGTTGCGTTTTTGCAATTGCATCTCTGTTATCTCTGCCAAGAGTCGGCAAGCAAGCATCTAAGTCGGCGGACTGTGAAAAACAGCGATTGTCCTAACGACGCGTCAAAAATGTCGAGAGCGCTAGCCGAAGAGCATTGCCAGCTGCAAAGCAGCGTTCGAGAGTAACGCCGTCAAGGATGACAGGCTTTCTTTCATCTAGGAGGAAAGAGGCCGAAGAGGCAGGCAGATTGAACGATCGATCGGCGCCCGGGAGTGCGTCGCCGAAGGCGCGCGAACAGCTGACCGATGAAATCCTGCCTGTCCGCTTGGTCGAGAGTAACGCAGCAGGCAAAGGGCGGCACGTAGCAGGCGGAAAGGGGGCCGCGGCGAGGACGACGCTCGAGAACACGGAAATTGAATCGAAGGATCGAAGCGCCTCAGGAATCGAATCTTGTACGCAAACACTCTCGCTCTTGGGCAATTCGTCCGCCGTTGGCTTCGTCCATCGGATATTTTCTTTTTTATTTGCCAGTGGCATTTGTGTAATGTACGTGCGTGCAACGTTTTCTCCTCATTATTATACAATCCATCTATCACGAGTAATTACGCAAACGCGAGCTTGATAAAAATTATTGGTCTTTCGCGTTTCCAATAACAAAGCGATCGTCGCTGTAGCCTCTAAAAATAACTCGATAAAGAAGTCTCCTCTTAGCCAGCCGAAGTTTTTCCATTTTCGAACCGGCTTCAGATTTTTCTGACAAACACGCTGCACGCGCCGTGCAAACTGGTTTTCGCGGTACGTAAGCAACGCGCTATTGGAAGAATCTCGAAAGCTATGATAATGAAGCCCCTTCGCAGACGAGCGTGCTCAAATCGGCACGCGAGCTAATAGCGAACCCGCAACGATCAAATTCTTTCGGAAGCTGCGCGCCGTTTATCTGGCGTTGATAACGCCGATAATCGTTAACTCACGCGACGAGCTGACAACAAAAGCAAGCGATCGTCGATGGCTTTGGGGTAGAGCACATATGCAACAACCCAACGAGTCGTCGATGGCGGAGTGCAGGTCAGCGGAGTCAGGACGCGGACCGAGGGAAGAAGAAAGAAGCACTACCTGGTCGGGAGACGAGTTGCTCAGCGGCTGCTGCCTGCTGTTGGCTGGGCCCATCATCGTCGATCTTCTCGTGCTCTGACTGACTGACTGACTGACTGACCGACCGACTGATTCGCCGGTACGAAACTGGAGGATGGAATCTAATGGCGTTGCGCGGCGGCTGCCGCTCGACCGCCGCTAAGCCTGGCCTCGTCTCTCTTATCCACGCCTCCTTTCGGAAAAGGAAAGTAAATGCAAGGGCAATCCAGCCGTCGGTTGTGCACTGCGGGCTCGAGCTCGCACCGCTGCACTTGCGACGGCACGCGTAAACGTAAACAGAGGCCAGGGGTCGGATGGATAGGTCAGGCACTTATCACTCGTGCCGTGCCGCTGTTATTGTAGCGATCTCTCTTCGACTTTCGTCATCGACAGCTCGAGTCGATAACGGTGTATCATTGCCGGGCCGCTCTTTCTTCTTCCAAGCTAGCCGAAACAAACCCATCGTTTGGAGCTCGGAAGCTCTTTTCACTGCGAGCGAGGCTGTCACAGTGGGGATTGGCTCCAGTGTCGAACGTGAAAACCGAATGGCGACGAGTCGTTCAAGCGCAATCTCCAGCCGCGAGCGAGCAGCTGCTCTTCGCAAAGAGACATAGACTACGTCTCGAACTTGATTGCTAGACGGAGGTTACTGGCATTGGGCATTGCGTGGCGGCTGAACATCCGCACGAGCTGTGCATCGCGTGGAATTGGCGGTAACTGGCGAGATTGTCCTCTTTCTCGCCGCGCCGTACTCCGTCGAAAATTTGCCGTCAGCGACGACAGAGACGCCGGAGAAGAGCGTGGCCGTGCGGTGGCCAACGAGCAGGCGCACCTAGCCGCCGTAGCGACGCGGCGCCGCGGCGTTCGCGCAGCCGAAAGCTCGACTCGCGGCGCGGCGCAGCTGCTGCGCGCAAACTCGACAGCCGCCAGTGCCCTGCTGCAAGTCCCGGTGCCATCATGCTGCTCGCCACCGGATTCGCTGTTCTGCTCGCACGCGCGCTCCCCTCCGGTAAGTCCAGCCACGACCACGATAACCGGCCGCAAGCCAGCCAGCGCGGCACGCGCGCCCGCGAGCATCCGCCTGTTTTGGAGTAGCGTCTTTGCAGCGCGGGCTCCACTAGCAGCAAGCTTGCAACGACCACGCGCACGGCGGAGCGTCTGGAAAGCAAGCGCCTCGAGAGATTCGTTGACAGGTGGCGGACGAAACCTCGCGACTCCAGAGCGGCACGCGCCAATCCGATTTTCCAATTGGCTTCCGATGCTGTTTACACTTTTTCTTCATCTTGCGCGAAAACGGAAGAATGGAGAAAAAAGCGATCCGTGGGACTATCCTCGTCCGATATTCCATAGGCTCGGGTAGCTTCCACTTGCCAGCAAGGGAACGTACGCGCGACGCCTTTTCCAGCTTAGGACTGGGACGCGCGCGAAGGACCGCTCGACTGGCTTGTTATTCTCGCTTGGCCGATTTCGCCGTGGATCAGAGCGTCGACGTATCGTTCCTGTACAGGGCACCGCGAGCTCGCAGCTTACGACTGCAAATCGGCTGGCTTCTCGGGCCGAATCGAACGATGGATGGCGATTCCGGAAGAAAGCGTTCTCCAAATCCAGCAGATCGAAAAGACACGCAGCAAGAAAGCCGCCCAGTTTTCTCGTACTGCGCGCATCTCGACGCGAGGACAAGTTCGAGAGTCGACAGTGGCGCGTGTGCGTTCGTTGGCGCGGAAACGCGACGTTACCGTAGTTGCCGTATCGCTGGCGCTCGTTGTCGAAACGCGGAGCAGGAAAGACTGCACGGCTACCGAACGACGATTCCCGGCAAACGGCAATCGCTTTTACGGCTTTTACGGGCGTCGTTGGTTTTAGTACTGGCAGCCGTTACAGCTCGTTACTGCAATTGATTAAATTGGGCTTACGGAGCACCAGGCGCATCCTCGGCCTTCCAGTCGATATCTCGCCGTTTAAACGTGGAACAAACGCTCGGCGAGTCGAGATGCTTTTCGTTCGAGTCGATATTTTCGCTGCAAGCTCTACTCGCCCTCTACGAAACGAAGCCGCACGAGCATGCATAAACGAGCATCAGGCGCGAACGCCTCCGCGTCCCTCCTCGTCCCTCCTCGTCCTTCAGCGGTGTAGCCCAGGCAAGCGTGAGAGAAGAGCAAAGTACGCTGAGCGTCGCAAAGTAAGCAGCAGCTGCTCGGGCTGTCGGACTACCGATCAGTCGGGTCGAGTATTTCCATTGAATCCAATTTGCGACACTCCGAAGCTCCCGCGCGCTCGATTCGCCACAGAAGAGTCACTTTGAAAACATCGTTGCTCGCTGAAAAGGACAGCTCGGACGAGCAACGGGATAGCGGCGCCTCGGTAGGCTCGTGAAAAGAGTCTCGTGGTCACGACCACCACTGAGCACAAGTCCAATCGCGGTCGTCCGAGGACGACGCGCCAACGCGGACAGCGAAAAGCTCGACGCGGCGGGAGGGCCGCAAGGGGCGCAAGGGCATTTTCGAGCGTCCGGAGACTCGCTGTTTCGCGTCTGCGACGGAAAGACGTCGGCGCAGCGGGCTACACGGATATCGGAGGCGCCCGCGGGATGCCGTTCCGATCGAACTCCAACAGAGGATCATCTCGGAGAGAGGGGCGCGTCTCGAGGGGAAGCTTGCTCAACGACTGATGGTAGCCGAGGATTGGGGTGAGTAATGCGCTTTGCGGCCTGAACTGGAGACGCCTCCTCGCGCGATTAATCGCAGTCAAGCGGCGGCAGTGCCTCGCTGCCGTTAGGTGCTTTCGGTGCTTGTTGAAAGCCGGTTGCGCGTTCCGCAGCCACCCGATGGAGCGTCGCGAAGCGGATTGAATAGTCGAGCCCGCCGCGCCGAAATACCTGCTCTCGAGCTCTGCTGCGATTTGCCACTCGGCGGCTAGTTTCAATGTTTCGAGGCGACGACGCTCGTAGCACCGGCTTTCCGCGACACGTGTTCGCGGCTGGATCCCCTGCAGGTGTGTTGCGTGCTTTTCGCCAGCTGTATCTAAAGACTAAACGCGCGGCCCGGCGGAGCTCGAGTTGGCGGGCGCAAAGTTACGCGCGCAGAGGGAGATTTCAGCCAAGTGAAAGTCTGATCAGCGTAGCGCCACTGAACGAAATCGGGTTTCCGACGTGCTCAACTTGGCGCCAGCGCCGACGAGAAATCTTGCCGAGTTAGACGTGTCGCTAGGCATTTAGGCACTGCTGCTGGCAAGTCGACTGACGTGATAAGCACCGAACGAAGCGAGTAGAGTGATATGCGCGCCAAATTGCTTCAATTATTGTTGCGCCAGCTAACTTTCGTGCGAATTGTTGCAATATAAAGGGAGTTCCACGAGGAGAGTGTTAAGGACATGTTTTTGCCGTTTTGCCGTTTCTTATGGTTTCCTGCCTGCCATAAACTGTCATTTTATCGGAAACGACGCGAAGACGCCAATTCGGACTTCTCGGATTAAAATATGCGATGCCGAAACTTAGGCGTACTCGATGAACAGAGAGGCGCGCATGGGTCTCGTTTGCACTAGTCCGGGCTGCACCGATGCAGTTAAGTGTTGCTACGAGCGAAGCGGTGTAGGCCGACGGCGTTAGCGTCGATGTTTGCATAGGGGCTTCTTTCCCTATTGGATTTTCCGCCACGCCGTTGTGCATAGATGAGAGCGAGCGCATGCCTTACGAGCGGTCCAGTGGTGGGGCACACGCGTCGCTACTGCAACCGCCGAGGCTAGCTTTGTTTGTCCGCCGCCGCCGCCGACGCCGCCGCAATTCATTCGAGCTGTACTCTTCGTAGGCGCTAGCGGCAGTGGCTGCAAGTGCGAGCGACACTCGAATTTTGGCCCTCGCAGCAGCTACAAATGTCCGATATCGGGGGGAAAAGCCATCGCAGCCGCCGAGAAGGCGCCGCTCCTTGTACGTCGCCTTGCCTGCCCGAGCTCGCGCCACTTACGGCCCTCGCTGGACTTCTACGTCGTCGGCCCGAGGCTGTCCAAGGCTGCTGCTGGCTTGCTGCTCATCGTGGTTGGACGGCGAATTTCGAGCTGCTGGCGAGCAGCAGCCGGACTCCGCGGCGCGCTGCGTGCTGCCGATCGCTGGCACTTACGAGGCTAGGGACCAACACACCGAGCCAGCTCCGCTTGCTCCGTTGCAGCGCTCTGCCGGAATGCCGAGTCCGCACCAGGACGACTACACCGGCTGAGAGGCTCGCCCGTCCCTTCGCACTCCGACGCCCTGCCGAACGACCCGTGCGTACCGCCCGATCTCCGCCCTCCACGCGTGGCACGCGCCCGGCTACGGCCGCGAGTTCGCTGCGGCGATCCTCGATCCCCCACGAGCCCCCGAAAAACGCGAAGCGCGTGCGATGGTTCGTTGCCGCATCGGTGACTGTGGGCGCCGGTCTGCCCACTTCGGAAGCCGTGCGCGAGCGAGGATCGCTGCTGCGTGCCCCGGGCGGCGCACTTGCCGGCGCACTTGCCGGCGCACATCCGGAGCGTCGACCGAGCACCGAGCAGTGAGGCGAGTGCAGTCTGTCGTCCACCAACAGGGTCGAGGGGTCCAGCCCGGCCGAGGCGGCCAACGAGGAAGGGCCCGTCTCCCGACGGGCAAGCCGGGAGGGCGCCCCGGAGCCTCGGCGCGGCGGACCGCTCGAGGCCAATGCCAGTGAGTAGCCGGGGGCGACGGAGCCGAGTCGCGGGCTCCCGGGTAGCGCTCCGGACGACCGCGAGGTTGAACGGGCAATCGACTGGCCAGGCCTGCTGACGCGCCGGGTGGACGCGCGGGCCTGGCGGACCTGGCGGGCCCGAAGAGGCCGCAACCGGCAGCGCGCGAGGGCCCGGCCGCTGCGCCGGGGGCCCGGTGCCGGCCCGCAGGACGACCCGCTGAACCGGTCGAGCGCGGGGATCGCCGAGGTGAACGGTAAGCGCGCCGCTCGAGCGCCGGGCGCCCGGCCGCGGGGGCGGGCGCGCGCCGAACCCATCCGCGGACGGCTGCTTGCAGCCCGTCCAGCCAGCGCTTCGCGCGAGCTCGCCGGGCCCAGCGGCCCCCGGAGGACGCTCGGGCACTCGGGTACCGACGGGCCCCGCCGGTCGTCGCCGTGGAGAACGAGCTGCCGCGGGCCCGCGGCCGAGGCCACGAGGTAACTGGGTCGGCCGGCGCGTCCTCGGCCCCGGCCCCGCGACTGCGCCCCTCTTGGTCTGTGCAGGACAGCGCGAGCGGTCGCCGCTGGGATCTGTCCTGCGCGAGCAGCACCTTTCTGCCGGCTCCCTCCGTCCGTCGCGCCATCGTCAAATACCTCAAGTGAGTACTCGTCGATTGGCTTCGCTAGCAGCGCCCGAGCACACGACGTTCGGGGCGCGTCCGAATCCGAGCGGGACGAGAGAGGGAGACCAGTGTGGTAAGTTTGTCGCGTGCTCGCGGGCACGGAGATCCAGCTGCAGCAGAGTGGGAGCGGGCGTTCCGAGGAGACTCGGGCAAGGCTCTCGTTGTTCTGTAATCTGTCCTCGTTGCAAGTGGAATGAGCGTGCCGACTTGGTGGTGAGCGCAGATCTTCGAGGCCAGGCCACGAGTACTTGGAAGCCGATTACGCGTGCGAGCCCGGATACGCACTGGCCAGCTTCGCCCACGGCGACTCGAGCAGCAGCAGCAGACTGTTGTGCGAGGAGCGACGATGGATCGGAAGGCTGCCGGTGTGCGAGTATCGCGAGGACAGCGGGCCTACTTGCGCGCGGCTTGGCTGCGATCAGCTGTGCAGTATTGCCGACGACAGGCCCGAATGCTCCTGCCGCGAGGGCTATCGGCTAGACCAGGACAGAGCCTCGTGTATCGGTACGCACGTTACCACGTTATTCATACCGTGCCACTCTTGGGCTCGTTCCGTCCATTCCTTCGGCCGTCGGTCCGATAAAAACCACAGCGTCGATGCGCTCGCACACTTGCCTGCCTCGCCAGCTCGGCCCATTGGCCGAACGCCCCGTTGCAGTCGTGCACGAGTGTAGCCGGAGCTCTGCCGCTGCCAGCCTGGCCTCAGCTCCACCCTTGGGCGGCGGGCTGTACAGGCGAGTGCCTCCTGGCCGCGGTGCCTCTGGCACTCCTTTCCCGACCTCGATTTGCCGAGCAACTCGACGGTACTTCCGAGGCAGTGCGGACTGATCGCGCAAGCTGGGCGAACCGGCACTGAGCGACGCGCAACGGGCTGCCCCGCCGACGGTTCGAACGACGCGATCGCGGATCAATCGATCATCGGGCAGTCCCTCGCTGGCGCGGCGTCGTCGCGCGAGAGGCTCTCATTCGGCTCAGCGTTTCGACCACTGGACATGACCGACGCGTGCACGACACCGCCTCGTCACCGCTCTTGCCCTTCCTTCCTTTCTTCCTTGCCCCTTGAGCGGCGATTCTCGCCACGCCTCGCAGTGGACGGACAGCCCGCGTGCGCCCCTCTCGACCGGCAGACGCGAGAACCACCTACCGATGGTGCGTCCATTTGCAGATGTGGACGAATGCGCGACCGACAACGGCGGCTGCAGCGAGATGTGCGAGAACACGGAAGGCGGCTTTTTCTGCGCCTGCGACGGCGACGAGAGGGCGTTGTCGGCGGACCGGACGAGCTGCGTCGGTGAGTATAGAGCCGTCGCCGGCGGCGCAGCGGCCGAGCGGCGTCTCTTGCGGACGGAGCCGGCCGCCGCGGCGACCTGCTGCTCGGCCCCGAGCCCCGTGGGTCGGGGCTACCTGAAGTGCTCGGACAGCGAGCGCGCTGCCGCTGCCGCGGACGAAGAGGCCGAGCAGCGGCGGACGAGGCCCGTCGGAGCGGGCACCAGGTGTCACCTCGAGTGTCCGCGCGGCTACGAGCTGCGCGGCGAGTACGAGCTGACGTGCCGCTCGGACGGCAGGTGGGACGGCCCCAAGCACGGCGAGTGTCTCGGTGAGTACGGGCCGACCGGGCGCCGAGTGGTTCTGTGGTGCTCGAGAGCCGCCAGCAGCCACTTGCGTCGCGATTGCACAGGGTACGGCAAGCCGCGGCTGGACTGCCCCAAGGACGTGCTGGCGGAGCTGCCGGTGGGTAGGGACGAGGCGTTCGTCGCGTACGAGCAGCCCTCCACGGACCTCGACTGGTTCCGCTACGTGCGCTCGCGGCCCTCCTGGGGCACGCGGCTCGAGGCCAACCTCAAGCTCGGCCTGCACGAGGTCAGCTTCTACGCGCGACACCCCGTCTCCGGGAAGCTGGCCAGCTGCCGCCTCAAGATCAGCGTGCAAGGTGAGACACAGCAGCAGCAGCAGCCGCCGCCGCCGCTCGGCTGCGAGCTCGCGCGTTCACTCGACCGACTCTCTTCGGCGGGTTTGCAGAGGGCCAGGCGCCGAAGGTGCACGACTGCCCGAGCGACGTTCAAGTGACGGGCAGAAACGGCTCGGCCATTTTCTGGACCGAGCCCATCTTCACCGACAACGTCGGCGTAAGCAGAGTGACCAGCACTCGGGTAATCGATGCTCGCTCGCGGGACCGGCTCGACCGACTCGATCCTTGCAAACACCTCCCGCTGGGCTCGCCACGGCTCGCCACGGTCTGGCCAGCGTGCTAATGCCGGTCCCCGCTTGTCCGCAGCGCCCCGGTCAGACGTTCAGCCTGGGCGGACACAAGGTGGAGTACGAGGCGGCCGACGAAGCCGGCTGGACGACCAAGTGCATCTTCACCGTGGTGCTGCGACCTCTCCCCGAGTAGGTGCGCGACTGACAGAGGAGAGTTTGCGAGCGGCCGGCTGACACCGAACCACTGCCGACCTCCTTCGGGCCTTCGTTTCGTGTCGATGTCCTCCCCAAGCCCCGTTAAGTCAGTGGGCATATTTTTTACAACGCAATATTCAAAGCAAGTTTTCACTGGAAAACACTTGTGCTCGTCGTTTCCATATTGAAACTAACAACAATAATAGCCACAGATCTCTTGTGTCATCCAGGTTCGAATAAATCAGTCGGTCGAATTTACACATACGCGCTTATAGCCTGTCCTTGTAAATGCATCTGTATTGTGTTGACGCTCTTCAACAGACCAATAAACAGACAAGATTACTATATTGGCCACTGATTTATCGACAATTCAGTTAGGCGCTCTCCTTATAGTACTAACAGCTGCCGGCGTCGTCGCCGACAATTAGCAGTGGCTCGCGACAAGCAGGATCAACTGCATGCTTAGCTGCAGATTCTGTGATAACCCTCTTGGAAATGAAGACAGAAGGTCCAATCGTGAGCAAGGTTGCTTACGACTGCTATAACTGCGCACCGACGACATCTGCACCGAAACTGTCTTGTATTTGCATGAAAATACGCTTCTCTCCATCTTGGATATCGCACACGAGTTGCGTACGCCAAGTACGCCACTCGATGATCGATCAGCCCATGCAATGCAATCAAATCCGAGCTCATTATAATTTTACGACTTTTTTATCTCCTTTTATCTCGATTTATCTCGGAGGAAACAGTTGCACAGACATCTTCACCAATCTACCGTTCACGAAAATCTATTCCTAGCCTTTGACTCTCACGGCAAAACCTTAAAATCCTATGTGTTTAAATTCAAACATTTTAAGTGTGTCATTGTAACGTCACCCATAAGAAATATATTGTCGCTGAATTTAAACGTTTAGAAGTATTTAAAATTGAGGGCAATGTATTTCTTATGGGTGACGTCATATTAAACGTTTAAATTTAAACACATGGGTTTACCGTGTATATTTACAATGTTTCTCCGCCGCAAAGTAATTAGCTCGCCAAGAGGATTGCCTATAATTTTATCTACGAAGTAACACCAAACCGAGCTCACGAATATTTATTGTGATTCTGCTATAACACACTCTACATGTATAGACTATATAATCATTACTAGAAAGGAAAATATGCAAAATTAAAACACGTTTTATGTTGCGTATACAGTATTTGCCAAAACTCGAGATGGTGTTATTGTTATCGAAAAATATTAAGCAACGCTAAAGTTTAATCGTTAAAGTACCTTACGAATTTTCGACAACTAATATATATTTAATGCTAAATTGTTCGTCAACATTTCAATAGGTTCATCGATTTTCATGTCTTAATCTATTAAAAATGAACACAGAAAATCGTCTGGTAGAACCACGAAGCTAAATTCTATAGAGATTGGCGTGTTTAAATAAGATTGTAGATAGTGGTGTAAATTTTTCAGTTGCAACAGTAATATGTATATGAAAACAAACTGAAACGGATGTAGTGATGCGGCACCATTTCATTAAACGAAAAATTTTGTATTATTAAGATCGAATCTTATAAAATTAAAAAGAAAACTCTTTAGACGATGTCACGAGCTTGATGAGTAGTTTCGTGACATTCATTTTAAACTTAATAGTTACAAATGGAATTCGTTTCAAACGGCGGACCATCTTGAACCTAAACCTCTCTGTTCCAACATAATTATTATAATACTTTTATAATTAAGATGAAACTAATGTAAGTCATTAAGGGAATTTATTTACCTGTATAAATTGATTGCAGAACGTTATACAATATACCGTAGGCCGTTTAAATAACTATAATTTATTATATATTGTGCAAACTGTTTTGCACTGTAACATGGCGTAAATCAGTGTGTATCAATTCTTACGCTATATTCCTGTACACGTGTATAATTTATGCCTAATGTATCCTATTTATCGGTAGTTACAATAAATATGCTCGTCTGTGTATTAAATTGATTTCAGGATTTTCTCTAGCTTACTGCAGAGTTAGATAGATTATTTTATAAGTATATTCAAAAAGATATCGCGGTCAACGAAACGAACAAATGGTTCTGTCATGGTACGTTGAAAATTATAAACATAATTGGGAGATTGCGATGCCTGCTCGCTTCCAAGATTTTATCGTTCGTGACAGGTATGCCGAATGAGGAAAAGTTCCAAATGAAACGTTCAATTTTTAATTTAACCAAAATATGATAGTAAAAAAATTTATCAGATCCTCTCTTTTTTTAGTGAATCTAGCTGAAAAAGAATAATTTATAAATTTAACAATGTGCATCTCTCACTCTAAATAAAAATATCGTGATTGGTTCTCGAAGAATTACTCTGTATGTCTCGCAGGCAGTTTAAATGCGACAACGAAAAACTGAATAGGGTAGACACTAGCACAAGAATAATTGATTTTCATAAGCAATTAGCTTAGATTTAGTTTGTACCATCGAGAATTGAATGAGAAAATTGAAAAAAGCCAAAAGAACGAGATCTCGGAAAATCTATACTTTTAGTATAAAAATGTTGGATTTTTCGATTTCCTAAGGGATACAAATTGTAAAACTGTTATCTTTAGATGGTATAAATTCAGTCGACGCTAATTATATTTCATTTTTTTTATGAAAATCGATTATCTTCGTGCTAGGGTTCAGCCGAGAAAAGTGAAGTATACTTTCGAGGCTTATACTATATTACCAGACGTCAGACCTGCAAGTCCTGGGCCGTGAGTTCAAGTTCCAGTTTCGTAACTTGATAATTTAGCTTGCAAGGATTCTTCCCATACGTAACAAATGACGTGAAAATTGACGATCTTATATTTATTATTTTTTGGCTACATTCAGAATACTTAAACTCGCATAAATCTCAATGCTACTACAAACATTGAGAATTGTGTAACGACTGCGTAATAGAGTTATTTATTGTTTGACGTATTCTAGAAGGCACTGATATATGGCATTCAACGTGATATTATTGATTATCTGAAGCGCGTTATAATATTGATTCATGACGATTAAAAGTACTGTTCCTACATGATATGCGTTAACAAAATAGTGAAAATCAAGCGACACAAGGATGTGTGATTTAATGATAAAATTAATACTATAAATAGATATATTAAGAATATATAAATGCTGTAAATAAATGCCGCCGTACTCTTCAGGAGAAAAGGAAAATTTTCGAATAGTAATAAAAGTTGATATCCTGTCATCGATAGACGTTGCTTACAACTAGCAGAGGATACGAATAAGACAATATACGAGAAGAAAATGAGATGCTCACACAAACAGCACTAAGCAATCTTGTAGGCAGAGCAATCTACTATGAAATAAGAGCGGTGCTCCGTTACAAGACAATCGCCTCGAAATGACTGCCCCCTTGTCGCGAGAATATGTCGTGTGCTCAGCCGAAGAGTGAGAAACGAATGCATTTGGAGCTGCGTGCGCACAGCAATGCTGTCTAGTCGGTATTAGTCGAGTTGGCTGGCTGGCATTTGTCTGTCGGCTGTGGCTGACCCGGCGAATGGCACTGCGTGGGTAGTACACCCGGTCTCGTGGGCGCTGCAACTGCAGCTGAAACTGCCGTTGGCATCGAGCTGCCTCGTTTGCCTGCCCAGCGGTTTTCCTATCGAACGGCCGGTCCACTAGCGTATCCCTCTCGCGCGCTTCTCTAATTCCTGCAACAACGTGGTTCGGATGACGCCCATAGGCAGGCAGAGCTGAGTCAGAAAGGTGCAGGGAATGGAACGTAGAATGTAGAATGAAAATGCACGGCTACGGCTGAAGAGAAAGACGCAGTTCGGCAGGCGCTTGCAGACGTATGCAGCCAAGTGGGCCAAGTGGCCAACGGCGAGGGGATGTCGCGTTTCGCGTCGACGGCCGACGAAACGCACCAACAGCTGCTCGCGCTTCTCGAAGCCTCCAACCGAGGCATAAGAAAGTAGCTCGTCGCCAGGTCACGCCACGCAGTGCTCGAGTGCAGATTAGCCCCAACGGGCTTCCGTTCGCGTCTGTTGGCGTGTGGCTAGGCAGCTCTTTCACTCGAAGGTTAGCGCGCACGTAGCCGTCGGGAGCTGTTGCTCCCCCGAAAAACCAACGAACAGTAACACGGTAGACATGCTCAGGGGAGGTAAAGGCCGCGGGCAGAATTTATTGAGGAACTGCTGTGCGTAACGGATCTAGCGTTTCGTCGGATCGGCCGGCGGCAGGACGTCGCGCAGCTCGTCGATCTCCACGCGCACGGCCTCGGCTCCTGGGCATTGCTGCTGCTGCTGCTGCTGCTGCTGCTGCTGCTGCTGCGCCAGCACCAGCCGCAGCTTGGCGACGTAGCTCTTGAGGTCACGATTCGGCGCTACCAGCACTTTGGGAGTGCCGCCGCCCCCGCTTATGCGGCGCCGCCGCCGCTGCTGCTGCTGCTGCTGCTGCTGCTGCTGCTGCTGCTGCTGCTGCTGCTGCTGCTGCTCGTCCGCCTGCCAAGGACAAGCGACCGGCGACAGATCCCGTGAGCTCGGCGGGCGGTGGTGCCATTGGCAATTACTGTATCGGCAGTGGCAGTTGGTAGCTGCAGCTTCGTCGGCGGCCTGTCCGGGAATTGGTGTTGGTGCCGGTGCTCGCTCCTCGGGGACGCCGCCGAGTGGCAGCCGAGCCTTCTCGCGGCCGCCTCGGCGTCGAATTTCGCGGCGCTGCCCGACGTCCGGGGCCTGGGCTTCGCCCGCCTGGCTTCGATGGCCTGAGCCTCAGCCAGCTGGCTCGCCGCGGCGTTCCGGCTCAAGGTCCCGCACGATGTCTTCGGCCGCTGGAGCCTGGACGGGGAGCCCGGCGTCAGCGACTCCGCCGAGGACGTCGATCCGCGGCGCGCGTCCGGCTCGGCGGCCGGCGACGCCTTCAAAGTCGGCTTCTTCGAGTTCACGTGCAGGGGTAGCCGCGAGGCCTTGCCGCGCGCGACGCCGGCCGCCGGCGCGCCGCTGGGCCCGTGGGACGCGGGGCGCTCCGAACGGCGCTCGCCATCGGAGGCGGACCCGGCGGACCCGGCGGACCCGGCGACACTGGCCGCGGCCTCGCTCTGGCTGGCGCTGAGCAGCGTCACCTTCTGCAGCACCTCGGACCTCCTGGCCGCTGGTTGGCCGGCGCCGCGCTCGGCCGGATTGCTGCTTCTGGCGGCGGCCAGCGGCGGCGGCGGCGGCGGCGGCGGCGGTGGCGGCTGCTGCTGCCGGCAGGGCCACGGCCGGCGCGGCTCCGAGGCCCCCTGAGCCTGCCCCGCGTACTTGCGGTTGAACGAGTCCGGCTGCGAGGATATGAGCCAGGGCCGCCTGGCGGGGTCCTCGTCGCGCCGCTTGCGCCCGGACGGGCAGCCGCTGGGCTCGCACACCGAGCTGCACATGTCGCTCGAGCTCTCGTTGGCCGTCGGCGGCCTGCGCGGTCAAAACACGTCCGGTTCAGCAGGGCCGCCGGCAGGGCCGCGCGCTGGGCGATGCCCGACCGTGAGCCGTCGTCCCCGTCGAGGCGGAGCAGCCGAGCGCGTCCGCGACTGGCCGGCTCCGGGCGACGCGCGCGCCCGGCCAAGTCGCCGCCCGCGGCGTCCGGCCGCGGCTCGTCGGCGGCGTGCTTGGGCGCGCCGGGCGTCCGGCGCCGATGCCGCACCGCGTCCCGCGGGGCGTCGCCGTGCTCGGCGACGGAGCAGACCGAGGGGCTCTTGGCCTCGACGCACTTGTCCGTGGCGGGCGCCTTGGCCGCGTCCCGCGCCAGAAAATGGTCCAGTGGGTGCGAGTACCCGGCCGCGAGCTCGAGCGCGCACCGCTGCTCGTCCGCGAAGCCGAACAGGTCCGGCACGGCGTCCTGGACGGCGCGGGACGAGAGCCGGAGAGGAGCGAGCGCAGCGGAGCGAGGGGCCTTACCTGGAAGCGCGCCTCGGGCCTGCAGTTGAGCTGGATGGAGTTCATGACCACCCGGCCGGGCGGCTGGCGCTGGTCGTAGTAGCGCTCGAGCGCGGCCTCGATCAGCCTGTGCCGATAGGCCGCGTAATCGAAGGGCGACGAGTCGACGATCGGCGGCGCGCCGGCGGCCCGGCACTCGCTGGGCTCACTGCACTCGGACGAGTGCTCGCTGGCCGCGCCGACGCTCGGCTCGCGACCGGTCCACGCGCGCTCGGGCTTGGCCTGGGCCGCCGCGGGCCTGCTCGCCGAGGCATCCTCCTGAAACGCGCGCGCGCGCTCGTGCAGAGTGGGGGCGGCCGACCGGCCGACCGGCCGAGCGGCGCTAACCAGCAGTTTGTTGATGCGCACGATCAGCGGCAGCGCGAGCGCGAGCACCAGCAGGAAAGCGAAGCCGACTTGGAGCAGCGGCTGCGAGAGCAGTCGGTCGAAGCTCGTGGAGTGGGCGCCGAGGCTGCTCGCCGGTGCCACGCCGTACATCCTCGTCGGACATGTCAACTCGACCGGCCGGTCGTCCGCGTGGTCCGAGCGGCGCCCGGGAACGCACGATCAGCCCGCCCCGACGGTGCCCGCTTGTGGCTGCGAGTGGCCCGAGTTCCGTCGATCGAAGCGCGATGCGCCGGCAGAGCACGCTGCCCGCTCCGCGATCCCGCGATGTGGCTGGCTGGCGCCGCGAGCCCACGGAAGTTGGCTGCGCAGGACTTCACTTTTTTTCGACGCCCGTCGCCGTCTTGCTCTACCCGCGGTTCGCAACGGCGTTCGCAACGACCCTCGTCGGCTCTTCGGCACCGTTCGAGACTGCCGCCTTGCCCTCGGCCCCGCCCCTCGACCAGCCCTCGACGGCTCGCTCCGAAGCTCCGAAGCGGAAGGACTGGATGGCGGAGCTGCTCTCCGACGGCGTCCCGAATAACGACGCGACAGTTGCCGCTCGCTGTCGGGCTTTTGGCGCCGTCTGCTCCGCGGCTGAACTGCAAGGCTCAAGTTGGCAACAGGCGAAGAGAAAAGAAAAGAGGCAGAGACGTGCAGAGACAAGAGGGCAGGGCCAGAAAGGAACACCAGAGCAGAAGAGCGCAACTGACGTACGCTCGGAATCGTGGGGCGGATAAGTCCGCGCCCGGTCGAGGTGCGTGGCCGCCGATGTTGCCGTTGGCTGCCGCCACCGCTGGCGCTGCGGCGCTGGAGCGCGTGGGCACCCGAGAAGAGGCGCGTGTAGTGCATGTGGCAGCCGCTGGGTATCTGCCACTGGACAAGCAACGCACGGGCGCGTGAATCGTGGACGGACAACGCGCGACGATTATGCGGATATAGATACACTCACTCGACGCGACAACGGCACCTCCTGCGGCGCTCTGTTGGGGCAGATCAGCATCCGCTGGTAACTTCGCTGGGGCTGAAACGCAAGCAGAGCGTCGGTCGAATGTGGCCGCAAACTGATCACGGGCGTCGGCTCGCGCGGTGCACTCACCTCGAGCTCGACCGACCTGGGCGTTCCTCGCCGCGCTCCGTCGGCTCCTGCAAGCACACGCCGTCGCGCGTCACCGCTTCGCTCGATTCGATTAGCGAACTCGATTGGCCGAAGTTGGCCAGCGTTACCTCGCACGTGTATCGTGAATTGGCACTGGGCTCGGTTGCCAGCCCCGTCCGAGGCGATGTAGCGCACGTTGTGATCACCCGGGTGCAGCGGCTGGCCCGGCTCCTGGACACACAAACAGACAACGGACCAGCGTGAAGGCATCCGAAGCGCGCGAACGAGAGCGGGCACCGATCTCTCTCGTCGGACTCCAAGGGCGGCCTGTCGAGACCCGATCCAGCCACCCGGGCCCAGCCGAGCTGCGCGGCTGCCTGCTCGAGTACTCGACGACGACGACGACCACCCCGAAGACCGCGGATCGATCGGGTGACGTATGCTCGGCGTACTCTCACCCTAGATTTGTAGGTGTGCTCGATGCGCACGTTGTCACTGAACAGTGGCTCCTGCCAGAAGATCCGCCGCTCGCCCTCGCCGGGGTCCAGTCTCACCTCGAACGACGCGGGGCAGCGCAGCGGCCGCGGGCTCTCCGTGTCTGCGAACAGACGCAGCAAGCATCGGCTCGTCGGCTCCGGTCGGGCGGCTCGGCTCGACGAGTGCCCGTCTCGAGGCGCAGCGTGCACCGACGAGGTGAGCTTCGTCGCCGTGCGTCGCCTGCTCGAACTCACCTCGGACTCGAATGTGCATCCGGCAGGCTGCACTGTAGCCGGAGACGGCCGACCACGCGGTAAAAGTAATCGTGGTCGTGCCCGCAGGCAGATCCGCCATCAGCTGCTTGGCCCAGGTCGGCGATGCCTCGACGTTCCTGCGCAGAGAAGGCAATGCGCTACAGTCGGCCAGCTGCGAGTACCCGGTTCGATTGGCTCGATCTCGAGGATCCGGCTGCGCGACGGACCGCACCGTCACCTACTCGCCTGTCGCTATCCCGCGGTGACTGAACTCGAAAACGGTCGCTTGCTCGTTGACAAGACCGCCGCGGCAGTGTTGGCCACTAACGCTCCCGATTTCCCTTTTCAAAGTAACAGCCTCGTTGTCGGTGCGAGTCATCGTTTCTTTAGATGTCATTCAACAGATGAATCGCGTGGGACGATACGCGAAAACTCCTCCGGGGTCTCGAACGTCGAACATCTTTCGACGTACGTGGATGTCGACAGGTCCTAGCTGTCTCCTCGGAATTTTCCGACCGCGTGCGCTACAGCACGTTTTCAAAAATACCACCGGATTCGTTCTTTCATTTTTACCACTGAATTCATTCGAGCCGGATGCAATGGATTATATTTTCTAAACATGAAATTCAACTAGCAATCTGTTGAAAAAGAGATTTTCTGACACGTTAAATAAGTCTTGTCCACCGACACAATGATGTTTCTTAAACAAATATTCCCAAGGGCGCAGAGGCTTGGAGCACGGTTATTTTTCATATCCATTGCAACGTAAGCGGGTATCGCGATATTTGCCATGCCGATGACCGCCAATGTAACGATCCTAGCAGAACATCCGAAAGCTCGGGGCATTTAGAAAAGGAAAGATTTGTACTGCAAGGACGCCAAGGAAGTTGTTGATTATTCGATAGCACTCGTTGCAGGCATTACGCAGGCGGGGAAACGCTCAAGAGTGCCGTAGCACTCTTGAATGCTGCAGTACTTGACTCGATCCTGCTCGCCGAAGCGTTGCTCCTGCCGGGTAGTTCGCTGCATCGATCACGCGCTGGCAGCTCGGGCAGCCCCTCGCAATCGGTAGCCAATGACCCGGAGAGGCGCAGAAGCACAAACAGGAAGCCAGACCGAGGCACTCACCTGTACCAGTCGACGTTGGTCTTTGGCTGAGGGATAGCGACGCGCGCCGTAGCTCGCCCCGGAGAAAGCTCGACGTCCTGGTTATTGGGGCAGCCGACGTACGGCCTCGGCGACTCGCTCGTGGCGGAGCCTGCGAACCAGAGCACGAGTGGGGCTCGTCGCTTCGACGACGAAGCGGCAAGCGCAGCGTCGAAGGGCGGAGAGCAGGAGAGGCGCCAGGGGCTCACCGGCGGCTCGCTGGAAGTAGTCGGGCACGCACGCGCTCTCCCCGCCGTCCCAGCGGCCCGTGGCCTCGCACGTCCTCGCGCGGGAACCCTCCAGCCGGAAGCCTCCGGCGCAGCGCACGTGGCAGCGCGCCCCCGCCGGGTAGTCCGGCGCTGCCGACGGCTGTCCCGCGCAGCGCACCTGCGACAGGCAAGCGCGCGCTGCGTCGGTGCACCCGGGCCGCGCGCTGCTCGCGGCGCTCACCTCGGCGAAGGCCGGCGCGCGCAGCGCGCGGCACCGGCCGCTCCCGGGGAGGCAGCTCCTCGCGTCGCCGCCCAGCGCCAGGCCGTCGGCGCACGCGCAGCGGAAGCTGCCCGGGGTGTTGACGCAGCGGCCGGCGCAGCCCCCGTTGCGCTGCAGGCACTCGTCGAGGTCCAGGCACTGGCTCGCGTTCCTGGAAGCAGGCGTCACGGCTGGGGCGTGCGCGGGCCGCGCGCCGCCCCCGCGCTCACCTGGGGTCCGCGCGGAAGCCCGAGTGGCAGCTGCAGGCGTAGGAGCCCGGCGCGTTGACGCACGACGATCCGGGCCCGCAGCGGGCGCCCCGAGCGCACTCGTCCACGTCGACGCAGCGCGAGCCGTCGGCGGCGGGCTCGAGGCCCGCGGCGCACCCGCCGAGCTCGACGGCCACGCAGCTCCGCCGGTCGGCGGCCAGCTCGTGGCCCTCCGGGCAGAGGCACCTGCAAGAGCGGCCGCCGCGTCGAGAACCAGCCCCGGGCGGTCGCCTCGGGCCGCGGCCCTCGGGGACGCCACCTGTAAGAGCCCTCGGTGTTGAGGCACTCGGAGGAGCAGACCGGCGGGCCCGCGCGCGCGCACTCGTCGACGTCGAGGCAGCTGCGCCCGTCGCGCCCCAGGCCGAAGCCCGGCCGGCAGCGGCGCCGGCGGCGCCCGCCGCCCAGCTCGACGCAGGTCCTCGCGTCGGCGGCCAGCAGCGCGCGGCCCGGCGGGCACTCGCACCGGTAGGAGCCCTCCTCGTTGACGCAGCCGTGCGAGCAGGCCCCGGGCCGCGCGCACTCGTCCACGTCCGCGCAGCCGCGCGCGTCCGCGCGCAGGACGAAGCCGCGCGGGCACGAGCAGACGGCGGCGCCGCTCGCCGCGTCCACGCGGCAGAAGTGCGAGCAGCCCGCGCGGCCCGGTGCGCACGCCCGCGAGGCGACGCAGCTGCGCCCGTCCGCGGCCAGCGCGAACCCGGCGAAGCAGCCGCAGCGCCGGCCACCCGGCGCGCCCGCGCACACCTGCGAGCAGCGGCCGTTGTCCGGGAAGCAGGCCCCGGGCCCCCCGCACTCGAAGCCGCCGCGCGTGTTCACGCAGCCCCCGCTGCAGTTGTGCGCGCCCTCCAGGCACTCGTCCACGTCCGCGCAGCTGCTGCCGTCGCGGGCCAGCGCGTAGCCCGGCGGGCACTCGCAGTGGTAGGCCCCGGCCGCCCGCGCGCACGCGTGCGAGCAGCCCAGCTCCGCGCAGGAGGCGGCCGCGCGGCAGCGCCGCCGGTCCGCCGCGAGCCGCATGCCCCGCGGGCACGAGCACGCGTACGTGCCGTTCTCGTTGAGGCAGCCGTGCGAGCACTCGTGAGCGCCGCGCGAGCACTCGTTCATGTCCTCGCAGCTGCGGGCGTCGTCGCCCAGGATGAAGCCCCGCGGGCAGTCGCAGCGGTACGAGCCGCGCGTGTTGGTGCACTGGTGGGCGCAGCCGTGGCTCGTCCCGCCGTCCGCCGCGCACTCGTCGACGTCTGCAAGCGGGGCAAGCGATACGAGCAGCAGTGCTGGCGGTGTCGGCGCGACGTCCCCACCTGCGCACAGCCCGTCGCCGGCCCTTCTGTAGCCCGGCCCGCAGGCTTCGTCGACGGCCTCCCGCTCGGCGCCGTCCCCGTGGACCTCCTCGTCGTCGTCCTCGCCGCCGTCCCCATGGACCTCGTCGTCGTCGTCGTCGTCGTCGTCGTCGTCGTCGACGTCGTCCTCCTCGTCCTCCTCGTCCTCCTCGTCCTCCTCGTCCTCGCCGCCGTCCCCGTTGGCCTCCGGCGGCCTCGGCAGGCACTTGTAGGAGGAGCCCCCTGAGTCGACGCAGTCCTCCGGCGCGTCCCTGTAGGCCCGCTCGGTGGCGGCGCTCTCGTCGACGTCTGGAAAGGCACGCCAATGAGCGAACGCGCGAATGCCCAACGCGACTGAGCGCGAATGCCAGGTGCCGGCGGCCGGACCCGACTTACCTCGGCAAGTCTTCGAATCGTCGGCCAACTGGTATCCGCCAGGGCACTCGCAAGAAACGCCACCCGGACGGTTGACGCAGCTGTGGGAACAGCCCCAATTGTCCTCGACGCATTCGTCGATGTCTTCGCAGCCGTGGTCATCGACTTTCAATCGGTAGCCTTGTCGATCGCTACAGCTACACTCGTAACTCCCCGGCAGATTGTTGCACTGCCCCTCGCAGGAGCCACGGCCGTCGTTCGGACTGCACTCGTCGATATCTATGCTCGCAAATCAACGTGCGATCTAAACTACAAATGCGATTTTCGCATGTGCGAGCAGCAGCATTACTCTGATTGATCTATCACTAGATATTCCATGAGCAACGTGATATCTATTGGTACTATTCGTCCTTATTTTTTGGCAAATCTAACGATTGAATGGCGATGCGACGGCAGCTAGCGCAAATGAAGACCATACATACCATCTTTCGTACGATCGCGCTGATGAATACATTGTCAAGCTCCGAAATAACATTATGTTTAGAGAAACCATCGTCAAGATTTCGCGCACGAGAACCCTTCGGTCGAATAAGCTCTGCTCGCTGGTTGTGGGATCACGCAAATCTTATTGGTCCGTAAGGTGAACCGGCGTTAGCAGATCTATACCAGTCTGAACGCGCGCGAGCGGTCGACGAGATTTTCGTGACACTGGGAAACGAGGATCGACTTCAATCCAGAATAAGCGACCAATGGTCTAACGAACCTGCGCATGATTTATTATCATCCTCGAGTCGAAATCCTGGAGGGCAATCGCATTGAAAAGAGCCCACATTGTTGCGGCACACGTGCGAACAGCTCGAACTGCCCTCGGTGCATTCGTCGATATCTGCAACGTACGAAACATTCGCGCGAAGATTAATAGCAAAAGTCCCTTTCGAGCGCGCGACAAGTTTCTTCGTTGCGAGTCTCTTGAATTTCTACCATAGTTGCCGACCTGACTCGAGCTCCGTCCGGTCGAACGACGATCGATCGATGACTCGACCGAGGGAAACTCACCGATGCACTTGGAGCCTCGCAGGCGATAGCCGTCGAAACAGGAGCACTCGACGCCGTCCCCGACGTCCAGGCAGAGCTGCTCGCACGCGCTGCCGCCGTCGCGGCATCGCCGGACAGCCGGCTCGGCGGCACCGCCCCGCGGCCTCGGCAGCTCTGTCCCCAGAGGCGAGCGGCCGTCGATGCTCGACTGAACGCTACTCGAGACCCCCTCACCGGCTCGCTCGACGCACTGCGGAAGAGCGCCCAGCCAGCTCGCCCCTCTGCAGAACAGGCGACCTTGTCCGGGATCCTTCAGGGCGTATCCGTCGACGCACCGGTAGACCGCCACCTGGTACTTGTTGAACGGCTGCGAGGGGTTTTTCCTGGCGACAGCGGCGGCTGGTTAGTCTAGTTAGTCAGTCGGTGAGCGCGAGCGCCCGGCAGACCTACCTGCTGCTCGTGCTCACTTTGGCGTTGGCCACGGTGGCTGGCTCGACGGCCGCCTTGCCCGGCCGCCGCCTGCCGTAGCAACTCGCGTCCAGGCTCGCTGCGAAGCTCTCGTTCAATCCGGCCAGGAGGTTCTGCCTGTGGCGGCGCCGCAGCTTCCGCGGGCGCTGTTCGCCTGCGAATCAGAGACGCGCGCCGTCCGCGTGTCGGATCCGTCGACAACGACGACTTGACCGCGAGCGCGCAGCCACGGCTGGCGCGGACGGAGTGGACGCCGCCGAACGGCGACGAGGCGAGTCGCAGGGGGTCGCGACGAGCGAGGGAGGGGTCCACCGCCGCTTGGCCGCGTGGCTGCGTGGTGCGGGACGACGAGTCGAGGGTCGAGTCGAGCTCCAGCGGTACTGGCTCATCGGAGCGGACCGCGCAACTTACCGAGTGGCAGGCAAGCGGGCGTCGGGTGGTCCCAGCTGCTGACGTTGCAGCCGAGGACCCTGTGGCCGCTGAGCCAGCGGCCCGGCTCGCACGAGAAGACCACCCGCAGCGAGCCGTCCTCGAGCAGGCGTTCCCGGACGGAGCCCCAGCGTGGCGCCCTGAGCGGCGGGCAGCTCCCGGCCAAACCTGCGGCAACGGGCACTGCTTGAACCGGCTGCGTTCCTCGTCCGGGTGGCGAGTCGCTCGCTCGCTCGTCTCAGGTTTCGCGCCGAACCAACTTGCCGAGTGGCCGGTTCGAGCCGCGAGATAACGGCGAAGGTTCGTGAGAGCGAGCTGCTTCGCGCGAAACCCACGAGCACGACAAAGGCCTAGCCGGGTCGCGTCCGATGACGAGCAGCAGCCTGTCAGGCGACTCCGACGACGCCGAGAAACTCGATGCCGTCGACGCTCGCCGCTCGCCAGCATTATTGCTTTGAGTGGCTGGCAGATGCCTCGAATGCGTCACTGCCTCGTTGCGCCCGCTTGCGCTCTCACTCCTCGGCGCACCGAGCGAGCTGTCTCGGGCCGACCGGAGATTGCTCGAGCTGTGGTCTTTCGCCGCGACGGCCGCCGCCTGGTCAACTGCTCGTCGATCGCCCGATCGTTCGTTTCCTTGGCCAGCGCTTGTCGGCCGACAAATACGATCGGCGCGAGGATCCCTCTCAGGCTCGTAGTCGCGCGCACTCGATCGCTTCACGAGCGGCTATTACGTGTGAAACGAAAAAATACTCGAGCGAGAAACGGGTTCTCTAGTCCTTTTGCCGCGCAAGCCCCCACCCCCGCCCCCTTTCTCCATCGCGTCTCCTCGCCACTTGCGAGACTGCGCACATCGACGATCTACTCGCGACTCGAGGAAGCCGACGTAGTATATTACACAACTACGATCGCAATATGTTAGCGGGTCTCGTTTATCCTTCCAGGCATACGTGAGCAGTATGTATTTTTATGCCACTGCCGCAACGAGCTGCGACTACGCCTAACAAGCTGAGATGGACTTTTTACGCATCGACAACCTCGTGGCCAGCTTGGTTTTGTCTCTCCTTTCGGCTTCCGGCCCGACTCAACAAGACGAGACCGGCACTAGCTTCGACGGGTTCGCTCCAATGCCACTCGTTGGCCATCTATCCCGATCGCGGTCTCGTGCGGTCAAACGCTCGGCGCTGCCCGATCGCATCGCGGCACTCCAGTTGCCGACGCCTCGTCCGCTGCTCGACGAACAAGCTGCGAGCAACTGCTTCGGTCGATGGCTCCAGCCTTTGTCCTCGTGCCCGCGGCACGGGCCAGTGCGCGGCGCAGCTTACCGTCGGCGGAGGCGAGCAGCAGGCCGAAGAGCAGGCCCAGTGGCGGAACCATGTCCGGTGAGAGGCGCGTGTCGACGCGAGGCGAGAGAGGCTCCGGCGCTCGGAGCGGGTACGCGCGCGACCAAGCGCGACTGGCTCCGCGAGCGGCGTTCGCGCCCCGTCGAGCCGTACCGTGACTGCCGCCGCCGCCGCCGCCGCCGCCGCCGCCGTGCGCTGCCCGTCGACGTTGCGCTTTTCGAGCTCGTTTGCCGGATCCCGTTTCCCGGGCGTCTGCCCTCGCGGCCACAGGGCCAGATAAGCGCGCCCCGCCCTCGGGCGCAGTGCGGGCCTCGAGCGTCGCGCCGCGATAACCCTCCACTGATTGCCAATCGCCGCGCGTTTTCACCGCAGCCTCGGCCGATCAATTTCAGCGCCTTGCGAGCTCCTGCTTCTATTTGGACGTTGCATCCCCTGTGGGACCCGTCGACCTCTGTATTTCAGTGTCAAACGCATTGCTATGTGGCAGCCGTTCATTCGTAGTCACATACTTCTGTATACCGTACCGACAACCATTAGTTGTCCAATCTTGTTTCGCTATAGGTTTGCGACCGCACTGAGCACCTACATACTAAGTATAGACCATCGGTCACTTTGATATGCCGACTCTCCAGTGTAGAAGGAGATAAAACAAGCCGAATGCGCACGTCTGTCTTTGTCTAATAGGGTCACGTGCATGGGCTTGCCTCGCTCGGGTATATAATACGTTTGGCACGATCAGCCGTGCCGCTCAAAAAAAGCGAACATGAAAAACACATTTTTTTACGTATGCGTTGATCGTTAAAAAACGCCTTTATCTAATAATCTAAGACAAAATGTAATAACATTTTTTTCAGTTATTTCAGCAATTGGTTTTGTGATGAGAACGCGCTACAATGTATGTGGACGTGAAAGATATGCGATGGAAAGTTGACAATATTACCATTTCATAAAATATTTTTATGAAATGTATCCATTTTATTCTTTACTATCAATATTTAATATTGCTACATGAATTAATAAAGAAAAGATATATATTTTTAACATATCATTACGTTTTATGTCAAACAGTCAATCAATATAATTAATCGCAATCCTAAGTACGTTAGATTAAGCCCTTACACCTACGAATTTATGTATGACTTCCAATATAAATCTATTATATGCAGTGGTAGACGTGCAAGCTATGGCGCAGTAACTTTTTGCACGCGAACACTCGAGTCCTAAACTTATTTTCTGTAACGTAAGCGCTACGAAAAGATATATTCTATTAACAGCCGAGTGACCGTACTTTTTATCATTTTCATTTTTATTTAAAAAATATTCTGTATAACTAAATAAATTGTTATGATAAAATTTCATTATTCGAACCATAAAACATTCATTATTAATGCTAAAAAAATCATGCTATAAACACAACGAATTTTTAAAACGATAAAATAATATTTACAGTGATAGTATTTATTAAAACCAATCATCACCGCCCTTAAACAGCTTTGAATAATAACAGGTTATTCAATGTCATTCTGATTCTTTCTTTTTGTTCATTGTCTGTTAAAGCTGCGTAACGCAGATGAATTTCAAGATATTTTTTGGAATTATTTTTATTAGTTGCATGCGTTGGTCTGATAAAATTTCTTGTTCCAAAACGTGTTCACTTTGATTGAAAATACTGCTTGGTAACATATGCATTGTCTTCAACGCTATTTCTTATAACGGCTTCTCTTAAGTTACAGAAATTTGTAATCTGATAAGATACTCTCAGCAATTCGACAAATAACGTAACATCCAACGAAGCAGAAATTAATTTACCATAGCATTTGCGTCGTTGCAATATTGATATTGACGATACTTTATCTTTTCCACATTTATTGAAATCTTCTTCTACTTCCTATTGTTTACAACAAGTTATGCACGAGATTTTTTTTCAATTATTTTCACGACAATGCCAGATATGTAGGCAACTACATCGTTAATATACTCGCTTAAATGAATATCATGAAGGAGGTCAAAAATAGCATTAATTTCTATTGGATCCTCATCTTTTTTTTAGCGTTGACATCTACTCTCGCAAGTATTATGTCGTCGCACAGCGTACCATTGGCCGATAAAAGAACACTAATGCTAACGTACTCAAATAACTTGTGATACGACCCTTTGAATTGCCTAGTGGTAGAATTATTGTCAAATCCTCCGAGTCTTCTACCACACAAAAAAAAATTCTACAAATGATCTTGTGACAGTTTGTACGTTAACAGAAAGTGAAACTTTGAGTATGCTACGTATAAAATATTTTGCGACTACTAGTACATTTCTCAATCCAGTAATCAATCCTAAGAAACCAGTATGTTGTTTAGTTTTCAGAATGGGTATGTCGTTAATTGTCAACGATTGAAACTATTTTACAAATTCGTTGACCGTGCTTTTATTTTCCTGCAAATTACTTGGCGATAAGGCATGCTTTCGAGGATCTTTGTTATAAACTATAGGCCATAGGAAAAATAGATGTAAGTTTCTTTTTCTTTATTTTTTCATTTTTTCTGTTGATGGAAATAATAAAATTTAAGTAGTTATTAAACAGTTAAAGTTATTAGTTGTTAAAAGAATACACTATGTATTTTAATTATAAAATATATATTATAATCCTTGTGCGCCTTGCTCTCTCCGATGCGAACCAGATGTTGACAAGCCAGTGACAATTTTTTTTACTATAGTTAGATAGGAAGACTGAAAATCGTAAAATTTGGAATTTGCATTCGGTTACTGAGATTTTCTTCTAGTTATCACTTTTGAGAGTGTTTAAAATTTAACATAGGATAAAAATTTGAAATAATTTATTTATTTCAATAATGAAACTTATATCAATTTATAGATAAAATTTATGACTTTTAGATGTTCCTCATATATTTTTTGATTAGGCGTATAGTTTCGTCGCAAATTAATGGAAACTCATTAAAATATTAAAGTCCTTTAATACGTTTTTTGTAAAATATTAGTTGAATAATAACACATTTTGAAATAATACTTTTGTAATGCTGTTGTACTAAAATTTAGTATGAAATAGTGTAAATAGAAAATTTTAATTCAATAATTTTAATGAAAACTAATTAAACATTGTGTTAATAAATAAATACAAAAGAGTAATAATACTTTTAAATATGAAATTGGCATTAAATTAATTTGTGTAAGATAACTATTAAAGCTACTAATTTACGAATTTACATTTAGTATATCAATAGTTTAAACAATTCAATGTAACTCATTATTTATTAAGTTTATCTTGAATAAAGTTTGAAAGCTTATATTCTTGAAATTAATATGAACGTGAATCCGATCATGGTTTCAATAAATTTTTGTTGTAACAACGTCTAAATAAACATTTTAATTAAAAATTAGGCTAAAAGTATCAAGAAATATAAAATTTCAAAGTTTCATCAACAATTTAGTAATAAGTAACTACGGGGAAAATATTTTTGTAAAGAAACATTGTAGTTCTTGTTTAACTATTAATTTACAATAATGTTAATATTTAGTTAGGAATAGGGACTTGCGGGGCCCTCTCTCGTGTAAGGCCCAGACTTTAAAAGAAACGCCCTTATTCTCATGCCCTCACACCAATTCGGGTGCGAAAATAAGACAAGAAAAAGAAGGAAAATATTGTGGCCAATGAAAATTTTGTCGCTAACTTTACTTTCCTTGAGGTTAAGGATGTAGAAAGGGATTTTCCATCCAACCACCCCCAAGTGATATTTTTTGCGTGGGCCTATTTTAGGTAGTTTAGCCAGTCTAGCCTCAAATAATCCAGCTAAGAAAATCATTACAAGCAATCGTTAAGAGTAACAACATACATAAAAGGAAAAAAATTAAAAGAAATAAAAGTATGTAAAAAGCATGTTAAACATTGCTATCTCTCACTCTTTACGCTATCTCAGCTCCTCGCGTTAGTTCTTTTGAATTACTTTGAGTACAAGATGGACTGGTCTAGCTTATGTTACTCTATAAGACAGTTTATTTTCTCTTAATTTTTTGTTTGAAATAAATTAAGTCAAACTTGATTTATTTTGAACCTAAATGCCCGATTTGCCGAGCCACGGTGCGAGGTAAATTACTTAGAGTAGAGTAAAACTTAAAGAAATTTTTATATCCGAAGTCTTTCTTGTCAATACATTATGCTTATCCTGGTTAAGGCGTGTCGCGTGCAAATCGAAAAAACCACCTTAGATATGTCGGTTTCAGACGTTCCTGAGAGCTACCTGGACGTAGCATAAAATTTTTTTAGGACTCCGAAGGGATACTGTTGAATGAGAAAGTTAATAGGCTGTATTTCTTCTCTACTCTGTTTTCCTGTTTCCGTTTGATGGTCACAGGAATAATTGTGTAAAGTTATATTTTTGGCAATTACTGTAACTGTTTTTCAGGGAAGATTTGCGTAGTTGGAGGTAATCAGTAATAATCTTGGCTTTCTATTCTTTCTATTCTCTATTTCACTCACAAAACAACTTGCTTACAGAAATGAAACAAAAACTATTTCAATATATGTGCTCGTACCAATATATAGGCTTAGAGAGCTTGACAATTGGTGCAATAACACTAACTGTTTTTGACAGTCCAGCTGAATTTCTGATCGTCTCTCAAGATTTTGTAGCTGGAAACTTGTCATCAAAAAAGGCTATAATTCACTTCAACCAAAGAAAATTCCTTTTACGAAATTGTACAATAAATTTCAAGTAAACAGAGAAATTCACATATACTGGATTATGTACAGTATACAATATTGAAAGTAGAGCACCAACAAGAAAGGTAATCCTAAAGATAAAGATTAAAAATACATCTATGAGTTTTCAAGAATTCTTTTTAGTCGTTACAGGATCAGAATGTAATCGTAATTGTGAAAAGCTTGATTCCATTATTTGAAACAGACACCCTTTTTCATATAGTTAATGACAATTTTAAGATGTCTCATGTCGGTATTTTAGGTTCCGTGTTTTTTCAAGATTTGAATGCTATTGTAAATTTTGGAAATAATAGTTTTTAGCTAAAAATTTTGTAATGCCATTAATAATAAATGATGGTCAAATAACAAATGACGAGGTAGATAAAATGCTACATGATCTGATACCAATGGCGGAAACCATGGAAGAACTAAATTCAAATTTAGCAGTTCAGCATATATTTAACATTTTAAAGAAACTTTTCAAGAAATTGGTATAGAAACTTTTGATGATGTAGACTTTAGTGTTGGTGATTTACTTGATGAAAATACTAAGTAAAAACAAAATGTAGAAGATCATCTAGATTTATCTTATATGAATAATGAAGAAAAAGTCTATATTACAAAGTTAGTCGATGATACAAGAAATGCCTTCTTTTTACCCGATGATGACTTATCTGGTACCAATTCACGAAATTCATACTGTAGATGCAAATTTGGTGAATTACAAACAATACCAGTTTCTCCATGCAACAGAGTAAATCGAAATATCACCTTGATAAGCTTTTAATAGGTGAGATAATAAGACAATCGAATTCTTCTTGTAATACACCAATATAAATTGTCCCTGAACCCATGGAACCTAATAGTCGAATGGCGCTTGAGATAAGAGGTTTACATGAGAAAACTGAAGCTGACTCTTATTCAATACCTAGTAGCACATAGATTTTTTATCAAGTTGGAGGAGCAATATACTATACAATTTTGAACAAAACTTTATCGAATTCAACAGCACCCGAAAGATGCACATAAAACTGCGTTTAGTACTCCGTTTGGAAATTATGAATACATTAGAATGCCAACTTTTCAGCATTTAATGGATAATTTGTTGAGAAATTTTTAAGGAACAGAATTGTTTGTTTACTTGGATGATATAGTAATTTATGTTAACACGATAGAAAAACATGATCGAAAATTTAAGTTATCAGTCCAAAAGTTGAGAAAAGTTAATTTGAAATTATCAGTTAACAAAATGTAAGTTCTTAATACGAAAAGTGACTTAGTTAGGTCATGTTATTAGAGAAAATTGTTTAGAAATAGATCCGAAAAAAGTTGAAGTTATTAAAGAATTTCTAAAACAGAAGACTGTTAAAAATATTCACCAATTTTTAGGATTGGCAAGATACTACAAACGATTCATTAAATATTTTGCAAAAATTGCTAAATAGTTAACTTAATTGTTGCAGAAAGATGTGAAATTTTTCTGTAACAATTATTATTATTATTGTTAAATTTTACTATTACTAATTATGAAAAATTTTAAACTATGTTCAAAAGTACGTAAAGACATTAGAAAAGTAGCTGTCAAACGTAAATTTTTCACTTTTAAATAGAGAGAGAAACAAGATTTCCTGAAAAAAAAAATTTTTAATCATTCAATACAAAATCATAATTATGGATTTTTCAGTTTAAAAAAAAAATAAAATTTTTTATTTCGTGGATAAAAACTATGGAGTCCCATGCCAAAAAGTAACGTTGACCTATATAAGGTATGAATTATTATTTGAATTATTATGATTAACTATTTGACCATAGCTAGCTGTCTCTCTCTCTTTTTCTGCTCTGCTCTTCTCTTTCATCACAGTAAGTCGTATCCAGCTGTATTCCAGCATTTGAATGCAAAGAGAAAGTGAAGCGACGCTAACGGTCATTGTGAACTGCTCAGTCGTTGGAGAGTTACGTTAAAAAATCAATATAAAATTGTTCGAGCAATCGCAAGCACATTAATCTAATTGAATAAAAATGTACTCATGCCGCAAGCGCGATGCATATGTGTATATATATATATATATATATATGTGCACGTATCTCCTATGCCGCTGCTACCCCCACTACTTGACAATTTTGATGCGCTCAGTCGAAAACGTCGGACTTCGCGTCGTTTCTGGTCTATTTTGCATATTTTTTTTCATAACCAGAATATACGTTTTGAAGCGGAAAATATCTACTTTTCGAAACTCTTTTTAAAATTTAAATTCAACTTGCCGTTTCGACTGGGGAAGCGTCGAAAAATTTCGCATAAATTTGTTTAAACGCTGATTGCGTAAAAACTAACTATTGCACAGAATCAGGATTTCGTGCACTTAAACTAAATATATCCAGCTACTATTGTTTTGAATTTCAGCTCCTAAAGTAAAAAATTGGCGAAGATACGATTTTTTTTTACAAGTAGGAGATATCCCGTTTTTTCCGAGTTTTTTCAGCATTTTATGATGTTACAACGTCGCGCGATAGCTCATTTAATTTATTATTTGACAACTTTCAACTTTTACATTGATACTGTTGCAATCGCTACCTTATTTGCAAAGTTACAGAGAAAAAACAAAAAAAGTGCGATTTCTTGCTTAAAATTGTTAATAACAAATTCTGGAACAATCTTTGAGAATTTAAAAGTATGTAAAATTGAAGGGGGCGACATACTAGATACGATAGCACTATTGGTTACCTGTATAGAATTATGTTACGAAAAAATCCCTATTGCTTGGCCTAGATGGTCTATACTTAGTATGTCGATGATACTGACCAGATCCTAGTGCCAGCGCACCATACATATTTTCAGATTTACTGTTTCAAAGCTTCGATTATTGGCATTCAGTCGATATGCCAATTGCTTACTTTTTTGTCCATTGTTTTACTGGATATTTAAGTACGCGCTACTCCTATAATTCAATGCTTCCGGCCAAACCAACTTTCATTTGAACAGTAACTAATAAATCAGAATTTGCTCAATACTACATACGGTCATACCTCCTGTCCCGTTAACCCTGTACGATATAGTAAATCAAAACACACAAAATTTAATACCATAAAAACTTACATTTATTTAATTTCAAATAAATAAATTAGACATAATGGATAAAATTTAATTGCCACCCCGAAGTCGCAACACCAAATGAAGCGTCGACTCCTTTTGTATATTGTAATCTGACAGTGTACGACCATCCTCAAGTTGCTTGCCTGCAAAGATCAACCTCTGCTGGTCCGGCGGTATGCCTTCCTTGTCCTGGATCTTGGCCTTGACATTTTCAATGGTGTCAGAAGCCTCCACTTCCAATGTAATAGTCTTGCCCGTTAAGGTCTTTACGAAAATCTGCATACCACCACGAAGTCGCAGCACAAGGTGAAGGGTAGATTCCTTTTGAATGTTGTAGTCGGACAGTGTACGACCATCCTCAAGTTGCTTGCCTGCAAAGATCAACCTCTGCTGGTCCGGCGGTATGCCTTCCTTGTCCTGGATCTTGGCCTTGACATTTTCAATGGTGTCAGAAGCCTCCACTTCCAATGTAATAGTCTTGCCCGTTAAGGTTTTTACGAAAATCTGCATACCACCACGAAGTCGCAGTACAAGGTGAAGGGTAGATTCCTTTTGAATGTTGTAGTCGGACAGCGTACGACCATCTTCGAGTTGCTTGCCTGCAAAGATCAACCTCTGCTGATCCGGCGGTATGCCTTCCTTGTCCTGGATCTTGGCCTTGACATTTTCAATGGTGTCAGAAGCCTCCACTTCCAATGTAATAGTCTTGCCCGTTAAGGTTTTTACGAAAATCTGCATACCACCACGAAGTCGCAGTACAAGGTGAAGGGTAGATTCCTTTTGAATGTTGTAGTCGGACAGCGTACGACCATCTTCGAGTTGCTTGCCTGCAAAGATCAACCTCTGCTGATCCGGCGGTATGCCTTCCTTGTCCTGGATCTTGGCCTTGACATTTTCAATGGTGTCAGAAGCCTCCACTTCCAATGTAATAGTCTTGCCCGTTAAGGTTTTTACGAAAATCTGCATACCACCACGAAGTCGCAATACAAGGTGAAGGGTAGATTCCTTTTGAATGTTGTAGTCGGACAGCGTACGACCATCTTCGAGTTGCTTGCCTGCAAAGATCAACCTCTGCTGATCCGGCGGTATGCCTTCCTTGTCCTGGATCTTAGCCTTGACATTCTCAATGGTGTCAGAAGCCTCCACTTCCAATGTAATAGTCTTTCCCGTTAGGGTCTTTACGAAAATCTGCATACCACCACGAAGTCGCAACACCAAATGAAGCGTCGACTCCTTTTGTATATTGTAATCTGACAGTGTACGACCATCCTCAAGTTGCTTGCCTGCAAAGATCAACCTCTGCTGGTCCGGCGGTATGCCTTCCTTGTCCTGGATCTTGGCCTTGACATTTTCAATGGTGTCAGAAGCCTCCACTTCCAATGTAATAGTCTTGCCCGTTAAGGTCTTTACAAAGATCTGCATACCACCACGAAGTCGCAGCACAAGGTGAAGGGTAGATTCCTTTTGAATGTTGTAGTCGGACAGTGTACGACCATCTTCGAGTTGCTTGCCTGCAAAGATCAACCTCTGCTGGTCCGGCGGTATGCCTTCCTTGTCCTGGATCTTGGCCTTGACATTTTCAATGGTGTCAGAAGCCTCCACTTCCAATGTAATAGTCTTGCCCGTTAAGGTTTTTACGAAAATCTGCATACCACCACGAAGTCGCAGCACAAGGTGAAGCGTCGACTCCTTTTGTATATTGTAATCTGACAGTGTACGACCATCCTCAAGTTGCTTGCCTGCAAAGATCAACCTCTGCTGGTCCGGCGGTATGCCTTCCTTGTCCTGGATCTTGGCCTTGACATTTTCAATGGTGTCAGAAGCCTCCACTTCCAATGTAATAGTCTTGCCCGTTAAGGTTTTTACGAAAATCTGCATACCACCACGAAGTCGCAGTACAAGGTGAAGGGTAGATTCCTTTTGAATGTTGTAGTCGGACAGCGTACGACCATCTTCGAGTTGCTTGCCTGCAAAGATCAACCTCTGCTGATCCGGCGGTATGCCTTCCTTGTCCTGGATCTTGGCCTTGACATTTTCAATGGTGTCAGAAGCCTCCACTTCCAATGTAATAGTCTTGCCCGTTAAGGTTTTTACGAAAATCTGCATACCACCACGAAGTCGCAGTACAAGGTGAAGGGTAGATTCCTTTTGAATGTTGTAGTCGGACAGCGTACGACCATCTTCGAGTTGCTTGCCTGCAAAGATCAACCTCTGCTGGTCCGGCGGTATGCCTTCCTTATCCTGGATCTTGGCCTTGACATTTTCAATGGTGTCAGAAGCCTCCACTTCCAATGTAATAGTCTTGCCCGTTAAGGTCTTTACGAAAATCTGCATACCACCACGAAGTCGCAGCACAAGGTGAAGAGTAGATTCCTTTTGAATGTTGTAGTCGGACAGTGTACGACCATCTTCGAGTTGCTTGCCTGCAAAGATCAACCTCTGCTGGTCCGGCGGTATGCCTTCCTTGTCCTGGATCTTGGCCTTGACATTTTCAATGGTGTCAGAAGCCTCCACTTCCAATGTAATGGTCTTGCCCGTTAAGGTCTTTACAAAGATCTGCATGTTTATCTAAATGTAGAACAAGAATATATATTAGATATTTAAAATATCTGTGAATCGTGCAAGAAAATGGTAGACAATTTAGCATAGATAAAAATATCAATCCAATAGATATGAAATAATAATTTAGCAAGTCTGAAGAAAGCAAGGGTTTTTTTTACTTCAATATTGATAACGGATATGATAATGAAGACAATAGGAACCCTTCTCTCAAAATAGATAAGAGAATTACACCAATGCGAAAACAGCCCGACACAAATAACATTTTATTAAAAAAAATGATCATATCTCACATATGTCTAATTATACTTCTCGAAAAAATAATTATTTGTTATTGTACCATTATATATCTCATAAAAAAAAATCATTATCTATAATTCATCTCCTATTTATTCACATAAAAGACATAATTAAGCAAAAATAAATTCACAGAAAAATTGTACCTTCTGTAGTCTGAATTGTACCATCAGTACAATTCTATAAATTTGTTTCTAAAAGAAATAATAGAACAATTACAAATTACCACTAATTGTTACAACTTACAAGGATGTCATCCGGAAATGCACTTTGCACAGGCGTAGAGCTTTGTAATTGTCCTATTATTTCTTTTAGAAACAAATTTATAGAATTGTACTGATGGTACAATTCAGACTACAGAAGGTACAATTTTTCTGTGAATTTATTTTTGCTTAATTATGTCTTTTATGTGAATAAATAGGAGGTGAATTATTGATAACGATATTTTTTTTTTATGAGAAATATAATGGTACAATAACAAATAATTATTTTTTCGAGAAGTACAATCAGACATACGTGAGATGTGATCATTTTTTTTTATAAAATGTTATTTGTGTCGGGCTGTTTTCGCATCGGTGAGAATTACTAAAGAACAGCTATCTCAAAATGGCGTACACGTTGAAGCTGACTCACACATATATATATATATATATATATATATATATATAAGATGCATCTATAAGAAGACATTTACTGTTCTACATAGAAACTGTACATGAACTACTTGTCGCGAGGAATAATAATCAGCAGAAGCGAAAACAATATCGAATCATACGGGTTTACTTTGAACGTTAACGTAACGTTTTATGATTTCATTAATTTTGATAGATTTTACCTACTCCATATTCTCATTCAGAAAATTTATATTAAATAGACTAAAGTACCGAAAACAAAGTATTTTACTTAAGAAGAGAATAACTGGAGGTGGGAGCCGAAGTGTCCTTGTAAGCAACGAATATAGATGCTTATCTATATTCATTGTCGTAAGGCAGACGACTGCATTTATAATTATTAGAAAATAAATCCCGATATTGCTATAGTTGTAATAATATAATGACTAGTTATGCATCTAGATATTTGTAGTCACTGCGTTATTTAACTACTTTTGTTAATTGACATACGTAACAACTGAAACGGTAAATCGGACAATGTTAGTGCGTATCAGATGCCTAGTCTCGAGTTGAAATTAATTGAACAAAGACAAACAGCTGACAATGAGTTGTGAAGCAAACGTCTCAATCGCAAATATTTATCGCAAAAAAGAGAATATAATTATATTACTATCGAAATATGGAATAATGAATTGTAATTAAAAATGAGCATAGTAAAAAGGATAAAATAGTAGAAAGAGTAGTAAAGAGGTTTGCAGACATGAAGCGGGATTAAGTTTTGGACACTCACCTCAGTCTAAATGTCTTGTCAAATATATGAATCAAGCAAGAAAAAGGTAGATGTAATTATTAAGAAAGAAATAGCTCTTCAGAATTGTACAGCTCTGCTGTTGTCTCGTGAACCAATGCTTGCTCGGAGTACATGCAGTAGTATTTATAGAAGCGAGCCCAAGAGTGAGGCTTGGCCTGCTGTGATTGGTCAGAGTCGAGCGCTCTGTGCGTATCGATTAACTTGCGCCATTGGTCTTTCCCATGACCTATGTGTATATATATATATATATATATATATATATATATATATATATACATACATACATGCATTGTACACGTATAACGATCAATATAGCAGAACGAGTGGAGAACTTCTAGAAAATTCTCGAAAGTAGACAGATCTTCTTTATGTGTAATAACCGACGCGGGGGCGACGTCTAGGAGATAGTCGAAAATAGAATAGTTTGAATTTAAGACTTATTTGACTTCTTGCTTGATTTCGTTTTCGATGCCTTTCTACGGTTGTTATAGTTAAATTTGCACGAGGTTGCAACAATGGCTTTTGTGGCTCCATACCTTTGATCGCAAGAAAATCAGTGCGTCAAACTAAGCGCGTTCAGAAAATATGAGATTGCTCATCTTCATCAGTTTCCTGTTATTTATCAATGACTTTAGACGTAAAAGCACTGCTAATTTTACGTTTCTTTCTGTTGGCTGTACTTTACAAAGAGACAAAGAGAGATATTTTTGCGTTACATACGCCTACATGCATGCAACATTTATCTTTAGACTTACCAAGTAGAGTAGAGAAAAATATGAAAAAAATCTTTTTTAATAACCGATTGAGATTCAAAAGCACAACATTATTTGTATATTATAGACTTTTATGACGTTCGTATAAGCTTCGCATTATTTCCGTTTCTGATCCGCAGTTGCGGCACGTGAAAATTGGAGTAATTAAATTAAACTAGCTACACAAACGTGCGTTATGGCATCGATCACAAAAGCGATTGATTTTTTGCGTTATCTTCTATTATTGATATTTTCATCATCGACATTATTGCCTTAATTTTTATATCTTATTTTATCCAACAACAAGTCATCAATTGATTACGCAAGCATGTCCAACATGAACAACTGTAAAGAATAACGTGCTGGATTACTAATTATAACCAAGTTGTGAACGAGCGAACGGGTAACTGCGTACCTACGCATCATATAAAAGAGGGACCCGAGGCATTGTGAGAAAAAGCGCGTCTTTCATTTTCAGGTAACTCGATTAAGCTATATACTTCGGCTCGGTTAAACTGATGCAATAAGTGGCACAAAACACGCAACAATATGCTTAATCATACAGGCAATGCTGCCATTGGACAAATCATCGGACAAAATAAAAAGCTTTAAACAAATTGATCGAAACAATTCAATTTTTTTTTAAATTTTTGTCATTATTAAAAAATTCTATTATACGGTATAATCTTATCGACATCAATCTAATATCAATATAATCCTAGAATTCTAATTAAAATTTCGAAAAAATATGAGGGCATTAGTTATTTGAATGAAAAGCGCGCATGATGAGGCACTTTTTCCGTGAAAAACTTGTTTGTCATAAATTAAGAAACACAAACCTTTCATGTGGAACTCTTTTTTAACTGAATAATTTTGATTATTTATGGCTAGTGATGGCAGAATTTTAAATTGATTTCCATTAAAAAATATTTATATTAACTTGAAGGGACTTTCTACATAAGGAGACATCGACCATCAGACATTTACCATGGTGAAAAAAGATAGTCCAATGATATAGTATTGTACTAATAACGTTAATATGTATAGTATATCTATATTTTTTATCATTGTTCGCATTCAGCGCAATTATGGATATAACCAGATGTTCAACAATTTATTTTTTCACTTGATAATCTCGATGCACGTCTGATGGCCAATGTCCGACGTATTTAAGTTACGATTAGCTATTGGCATCATTTAAAAATTGTATTATTACCACTTACGCGAAGTCAATGCTAACTTAAAAAATGTACTAAATATATTATTAAATTACGTTATTTTTTTATTTTTTACGTTTTCTTGAAAGGGATAGATATTGATTTTATAAAAAATTGAATATTATAAACCGTATTTATTTGTTGTAAAAACAAAATCAATTTTAATAAAATGTTAACTTCAATTTTTTTTTTGCAATTACTCGTGATGTGCTTCAGTCAAATGAGCCCATCCCATTAAAATCGTTTCAACCGATTCCAGAGATATCCTTACACATAAATTTAAATTCGAATATAGAACTTCCTCTTTAATGTCGGCGAAAAACCAAATACAATGATAATACTATATGACTTTTCTCAAGTAATTTGTACGTTGAATTTGTTCAAAAACCAAGTATGAGTAGAAATTGTACTGTATATTTATTATTTCAAAAGTGTCTAACAAAAACTTAGCGGGTACAAAGTCTTGTGAAATTGAGATTTTTTCCTTGTTATCAATGAAAAAAATGAAACAAATACTGTTATGTTATTTGTAATTTATTTTATCATATTAGGAACGTGGTTAATTCAAATAGATGACACTAATGGAGTGCAATTTTATTAAAACTATTCAAAATCATTAAGTATTAAAGTACAAAGAAAATAAGAAAAAACCTTTCTTCTGATACAATTCGATTACAATATAAATCGAGTGAAAAACTACTCTACTCGCAAAGACATCGCTAAACAGCTCTTGCTTATTGAAAGCCAACGAAAAAGCAGTCTTAATTCATTCGCGAATTGCAATACTTATATAAGTGATTGTGTGTTGTGTATGTGTGTGTGGTCACTATTACTTATATCACTGTAGATAGTGCTATAAAGCGATAAAAGTAATAAACAATTGTCAATACACAAATTTATTAGGAATGGTGATTTTGTAAAAATTAAAATTTCTATTACTTTCTATATTTTTTCAATTTTATTATTTTCACTTTGTCAAGTGAAATTCTTTTTCTTATTAATACACTGTGTAGCTATACATTGACTTTTGAAAATAATTTACTGTTATTACGTGGCCCAATACAAAATTATTAATAATTATGCAGTATTTGTTTACATTGATTTTGTCAAAGTCATGTATCAATCAATGAGGTCTATGCTTTTAAAGGTTTGATACCTCAGAATTACATGTAGCTTTTCAAAGAAAGCTTCATTGTAAAAGATATTTGTTAATAATTTCATTTTTTCCCAAACCACATTCATTTGATCTTACTTCTTTATCTGAATAAGACTACACACACACAACATACACATAATGTCCTAATACAAACTACATCTATTCTTAACTTTCAAGTTACAAATCTCCGGTTCCGTTCAAACTTTGCTTTCTTTCACAAGACAACTGTGATTGATTTCCAGTGTTATTTCGAAGATGCATTGCCAAACGAGAAGTTCCAACCAATCAAACTGTCTAGTTCGTTCGTCGCTTCGATAAGAATCTATAACGTTTGAACTTTGTTATTGTACCGATTGCCTGCTTCTAGAAGAATAAACACTATCGCTTTCAATGCGATACTCTAAGAATTACCGTTTACACTGTAAATTCGGCAATTACATCTTTAGTTTTATATTTAAAAAAGCAATCTTTGAAAAAGCTGTAGCTTTATTTTGTTCTTTGCTTATTATAAATTGTTTCTTTTGCAAACAAGCAATTGCCACAATACACATTTCAGAGGGAAAACCGTTAAACGGCGTACATCATGATTTTTTTAGACTTTTTTGTTATAAGTTACGGCTTAAGTATTAAATTGAATGTTTTGGTTAAATCTACTTGGAGTCAGTCTCCATCTTAACTTCCTCGGCCTTTTTATCCTTTTTTGAAGCTTCACTATCGGTGCCCTCGCCGTTGCTATTGTCGCGTCTCCTTTTGCGGGTAAAAGCTTTGTGCTTTGGTGGTGGAAGCTGTTCCATGCCAAGAACTTTGTGAATCTGTCTGAACGCGACAAGCCTTAAAGCGTGTTGTGCCGAGGCAGTAATATCCTCGCGTTGTTGGACTGTCATGTTGCCAATGGCATCGACTGGATCCTTTTCGCACGGGTCAGCCAATCCTGCAACACAGTGATAAGAAAACCCATTTTGAAGTGTTGAAACATCATCATTTGATCTAGTTGAAATTTATTATTTCGCTATTGAATCAGATTGCCAAAATCATCTACGAAAATTGAACAAGAATGTCGCTCAATGATCAAGATGCCAAAAAACTTGTCTTCAAGATCAATAAACAATTCTGTGCAATTCTCAGTCTCGTCATCGATATCATCACACAAAATCGTTCGACTTAAATAAAACCATTGAAAAAAAGGAAACAAGAGATAGCCATTCACCTGGACTTCCTGGAAGTAAAATTCCACCAGCAACACACTCGAGAAGTCGCCTCAGTGCGGCTCCTGGACTCAAAGGTACTCCTGCGGTGCTCAACACTTTTTCAGTCAGTAACTCCAAAGCCTGCAGATAAAAATAAAGAAGATTGAACGAGTGATGTGAATAAAGTATTAATTACCAATACAAAGGCTTACCCATGGATTCAATGGGCCCCAAGTGGGCACGCGATTGCACAAATCGCGCATTATACGTATAATCATCACACAGCTCTGCAATGAAGTTGCTCTAGCCTGTTGGACAATAAAAAATGATATGAAAATGATCATCGATCGAAAATAATCCAAGTATCGTCCTATTCTAGGTCAAAACTTTGCTTTGTGCGGGCTTAGCTTCTATAATCTTCCAGCCTCGTGCCTGAATCGTATTATTTTGAGTAATTTTTGTTATTATAATTATAATTATATTATTATTACAATAATGTTTATCCCATATCAGTATTACCGGGTGTTTATCATGTGTTGGTGTCACCGATTGTAATTGTAGATGTAAAAGAAAAAACATCAACAAGAAATACTGTCCGGTAAATTATACCAGTAACTATAAGACGTAATTGGAGGGGGAGAGGTGTGGGGGAACAAGATGGTAACGCAACGTTATTAATCAATGAAAAAAAACACCCGGTACACGTATCAACACCACTGTGTGCTTGTGCTTGTCTGTCTCTTGGTCATAATAGGTAACATTATTATTCTAGTGCTCGTTGGCGGTATATTTATTGAAAAAAAAAACAATATAAAGAATCGAGCGTCGTTAATTCATTAATTTCATATGAAATCTTAAATAATAGAGTAGTAAAATAAAGCGAGCATAAGACTCAATCAAGCAATAAGCAAATCAATCGTTGACTAGTCAATTTCTTTGACGAGCTAATGCAACATCTAAGACAGACCTAGAACAGACTCAGTCTAGGCTACACGCTGCACCATCATCCAGAATAATTAATGGTAAATTGCATGGAAATCGGTAATTTTCCATTTCAATGAACAACAGTAATTCAATGGCCAACCTAATCTCTCAATAGTCAATGTAATATTGATGATCACGACTTTATTATTCTGGATATTGTAAACATACAAGGTAAAAGATATACTCAGTGATCGATGGCGGACCTCGGACGAGTGCAGCCTGGTCTCGTTCGTTGAAACGGCAAAAGCTGTACTCGCACGCAAGTTCACGCATGGAAATAGTTTGTTTGAATCCACTCTCGACACTTGATTATGAGCGGTATTCGTAGTATTCAAATCAGTCTCATCCTATCTGCGGTACAAGTTTCCGATCAATTAACTTACTCAAGCTCAAACTAAACAATGCAAAAGCATAATCGAGTGTCTGCAAACGTGACTATCTCCTTTATTCTGATTCAAGCGCTACATTGGAATAGTTGCTTGTAAATAATGCACATCACGAGGCTGGAAGTATCTATGATTGCTATGATTTTTTCTACAAGTTTTTTTCGGCAGCTGTCTCTTTTGATTGGAAAAATATAAGAGAGACAGACGGGTGGCGGAGGGAATGACAATATGGTAAATGGTACTCATTTTTTATCGGGAATATCCCCTTTTCCAAAATTATCAAAGCTAATGTTGCAAAGGCTTGCTGACGGGAATCGACTTGACAGATTTAGAAAGATCTAAGAAAACGTTCTGTTTTGAATGGTTGATTTGAGTTCAAACCTGAAACCACTTGGCATGCCTGAGTGCAGCTAAAGCCTCCAAACACTTAGCCTTGGGAAGTACATCTGGTGGGTCCGGTTTCGTCGCGGCCGGCGTCGCGGGTGCTGTTTGTTGTGTGGCAGCTCCCTGTTGCTGCTGTCCAGCATTATCTGAGGTTCCAACAAAGAAAGCACAACACGCTTAGACAATACTTAGAGTGTTTGATCATGCCCTGATTCATTATATATCCCTCTATTTATTTCCGTTTTCTTTTTCTTTTCTATTTGTCTTTATTTCTTTTCTTTTGGCTTGCTATGTAATTACTTGGTTCAGTTACGATACAAATATCTGCCGTTTTCTCACGTTGTTACACAAAATAAAAGAAAATGAAGAAACAATTGAGCGGTGAAACTCAAGATGGAGTGTGCTCCGACGCGAGAACGTTTTTTTCTCTATTTCAGCATCATTTCTGCACGACTGGCGCATGCCGTGCAGAAATAATGTTCGGCGCGTCAACATTGATAGTGTTAATCATTTTACTTGCAATTAAATAAAGAAGAAAAAAACGAAAGAAAGGCTATTGCAAATGATACGCTACCACTATCATTGCTAGCAATGAATATAAGTGCCAAAAAACGTTAAGCGTCTGACAACACTCGGTTATCAGATATAGAGGGTGAGTATTGATATGCATGATCAAAAAATCCATAGTTTTCAGATTGCCTCAGCGTTATTTTCCGTCGATATCGTAAAGCGTACCCATGTTTATATTGCGATATCACAGGAAAACTCTTCTTTGAAGGAGACTCTAGCTTGCTGCTGTAAACTTGAATCGTTGACTAAACCGTGACTCATTGTAATTGACAAAATTCTCATTTGCTCTGGAACGTGTCCGAATTATTGAAAAATTTAACTGATCTTCAGTGGATCATTTGAGATAAATAACGGAAAAGTTCATTTGCACATCAAGTTTACGCTCACTCTTTTCCGTAAGCTTTTTCGACGATTATTTTATTACCACAAGCCTTAACTTTAGATATGGCGAACTTCATGCAACGCTAGGGTACTTGTAACTAGGCGGAACTCAAGACACGCTCGAGTTGTCCAATAAAAACAAATGCCTTGGCGTTGTGAAGGTCTAATTATAATTATGGAGCGTATTGTAGTTATTGCTATATTTATACATGTACATATATATGTATGTATACATACATACATACATACATACAACAAACACGCACGCACGCACACGCATACACACGCACACACCGATGACCTGGCCCCGAACTCCTTGATGCTGTAAAAGAACTGTATCATCTTACCTGATGCTTGCAAAAGAACGTTACTAAGAACCGTTTGTAGGCCATGAAAAGAACAAACTAAATCGAATGGCTCTAATGAACTGAACCGTACACTTTTAATAGTCAAAGGAAAATAAAAACCCTTCTATCAGAGCATTCTCTGCGAAGTGCGCTCATATTTCGATTATCCTTTTCTTGGCCAGTCTTAGCGCGCCAGCGATTAAATTACCTGCTACTACAGCGGTTTTCGTTGCGTCGCGCATCAGCGGACTAGTTAAGGTGACGCTGACGGTAACAGTGCCTCCTGACACTGTAAGAGCAGCTGATTCCGGATGTTTGCCTACGTTGTAAGTTTCTTCCGGCGCGACCGACTTCAACTGCAATGGCAAGATTTCAGCAACCTTATTCAGCAAAGTCCTAGAATTTCAGTCGACATATGTATTTATCCTTCTATAGCCAACAGTATTTGTTCAAGGCAGTAGTCAAACGTGTAAATACTTACCTAGTAGGCTTCTCAGCACATAATACCACAAGACAAACGTGATTGTCTCCCGAAAGCAGAAGACCTTTGGCCAGATTTCCAACTCGCATAACACCTCGGAGAATCCTAGAATCTTCCTTCTCTTTTTGGAAAGAGAAGAGATTGCCATCACTGCCATCTTCTTTCTGCGGAGCAGGCTTTTTATTGGCTTCATCCTTTTTCGTGGCGTCTTGAGCATTGTTCGATGCGGGTGCGCTCACTGGAGCAGGCGTCGGTGTTGCTATTTGAACAAATTAAGAAAATGTACGCGTGAAGCAGATAGCAAGGCGAGCGTAAGTATAAGTCTCATGGCAAGAAAACTACCTGATTCAGCGAGAGCGTCGGACACGAACTTGAGTGCCTTTTCAGTATGGGATACGATCTTTTGAACTGCCTGCAGTTCTTCCTCTTTCGGATAGATGGACGAGTGGTGAGCAATAACGTGCTTGTCATCCGAGGTGTCGGGTCGACGCTGGGGCCTCGGGAACATCATCATGGGCGGTGGTCCGGGGAAAGGTCTAGGCATCGGCGGGGCCCCGGGGCCACGTCCATATCGGCGATACCACTCGTAGTACTCGAAATCCTCCTCATAGCGGCGGCGCTCCTCCCAATACATCATCTCTTCATCCATCATCGGGCCCATGGGTCCTATCGGGCCAATCTGCGACATCTCGTCACGACGTCGCCTGTATTCGTCAACAACTAGGTTGGGGTTGACCTTCTTCTTATAGGCGAAGCGGTGCCGCCTTCCCTTCGTGTGCATATCTTTGGCGTTGGGGTCGTTGAAACGGCATTCGCACAGTTTGCAGTTAAAGCTAATAATCTTGCCATCTTCGGACTTGTTTTCCTCGATATATTCTTGGCCAACAGGCTGGATATCCTTCTCGTCAGTCGCCTGTTCCTCGGTGCCATCGTCAGCCTCGTCGATCTTAGAGTCCTGCCCGGCATTCACCGTTCCGAGGTTGCCAGCTGCAGATCGAAGCACGGGCGTGAGGGAACGTATTAGCTAAGAAACTAAGACGACGACTGAATACTCACATGCAACAAAGTTGATTTTAGGCGAAGCGGTGACGACGCCCTTCTTACTGGCTGCGGCTCCCTTAGCCGCACTCGGCTTGGGGTTGAGAACCGTGGGGTCAGCGCTAGGAATGGGCTTGCCAAGTTTAGTGTGTAGTTTGACGACCTTCTGGTGTTTGGCGCCGCGGATGTGGGCGGCGTATGCGTCGTTGCCGGTACACGTAACATCACAGAGTTCACAGCGCAGCGAGTTGCCAGCACCGCGGGCTGGCTGCTGCTGCGGCACCTTCAGCGAGGCCTCCTTCTTCTTGTGCTTCTGGCCCTCAAGATGCTCACGGTAGGTCTGTGGTCCGGCGCAGCTGATCTTGCAGACGTCACAGTAGTGTAGCTGCTGGGGCTTAGGCGGCTGCTTCGGCCGCATGGCCTTCATGCCGCCGCCTCCACCACCACCTCCTGAGCCGAAGCCCTTGCGCCCGTAGCCCTGCCAACCTCCGGTCTTCGGGTTAGTCGAATTGCTGTTCGCGCTCTGCTGAGCAACGTACATTGTCGCGGCGCTGTACAGCGCTGCGTCGTAGCCGGAGTACGCTGTACCCGCCGTTTCTAAAGAAAATGAAATTGAAGCCTCAACTCATTCTCGGCCCTTCTTTTCTCTCTCGCCCTTATTATTTCTTATTGCACTTTTTCCAATTATAAATAAATGGCGTTCTGAGAATCAATTTCATGTTTTTTAGTTCACGCCCTCCCACCCGCGTTATGCTCTACAATGTCTGTCCACAACTTGCAATTATAATTAATTTACGATTCAAACAGGAACTTGGATTCAAGTTTGATGTGACCACAATCTTGGGCTCTTTCTAAAATTTGCAACACTTTCGTAAGCTATTTGAACTTGAATTGTAGAAACAATGACATTTTTGAAAGTAAATACCAAATAAAAGATTGCATAGATACAAAAAGAATTAGATAGACAAGGAAAAAACAAAAATGTAAATCAAACATTAAGTAATATTCAAATTAGTTTATGATCATTTCCATTACTGTGGGTTTTCATGGAGTAATGCAGTTTTAAGGTAATCGTAGAAGCTTCAATATACCACCACTAGTTATAGACTGCACTCGAAGAAATCACAATACTTACTGTTGGTCACTGCAGCTGGGGCAGCAGCTGGCGCTGCTGGGGCAGAGTAACCAGAGGAGTATGCTGCGTTTTGTGAAGGATTGGGCTGTGGATAGGCTGTGCTGGAAGCCTGATAGGTTTTTGCTTGCCCAGTGGTTGCAGCCTGTCTAGGTGCTCCTGCGTAGGCACTGGTTGTGCTGTAGGCAGGCTTTGCAGCTTGGTAATGTGTCTCTGTGGTCGTATAGGTAGCTGCGGCAGCAGGCTGTTGATAATAAGTCTTGGTGGCGTCGTATGTCGCAGCTGGGGCAGCTCTGCCGTACCCGTAGTCGTAAGTCTGTGGAACAGCGCCTGGATTGGCTGCGTTAACAAGCATACTAGCTAGCGATCGCGAGCTTTCAAACAACTCAAACTCATTGGCACAGGACAGGATTGATCTAGCTGCAGCCAAAGCTGAATTGGACGCCGTCGAGGACTCGAGAGATAGCATCGAATGAGATGATATACTCACCAGCGTAAGTCGTTCCAGTTGCAGCGGCAGCTGCTGCTGCCTGATAAGTTTCGTAGCCAGTTGCCGCAGCGGCAGCCGGTCTCTGAGTGTAGGTCGCGGCAGTCGCGGCCGGAGTTACAGCGTAGCCAGCCTGGCCTGTCTGGTAAGCCGCTGCACTAGTGGCACTGTAAACCAAAATCGAGTTTTGACACGAGCACGCACAATTGCATTAATGAATTCGTAAGTCCGCAACCAGTTGGCGCAGGATATCTTGTACTTGGAGATAAAAGTACTTTATGCTAACTGACGCGTGGAGGCAACAAGCACATTGACTGTGGGCGCGGCAAAGAGAGCTGGACAAATGCAAGCATCATAACCGAAGTAAAACGTACCGAACAGGGACGTATAATTGTACGTTAATGAGCAAGACGCATGCGAGCGCAAGAACAAGATCAAAACAACGAGTGCAGCAAATTGCGGCAATTAAACCTACCGGGTGGAGAGAGAGTGAGAGAGAAAGAAAGAGAGAAAAAGAGAAAAAAAAGAGAGAAAGAAAGAGAGAAAGAAAGAGAGAAAGAGAGAAAAGAAGAGAACGCGACGTGTGAAAAATGGAAGTTTCCAAGCGTCGCGTGCGGAACGAGTTCAAAGTACAAGTTCTCTCAATTAGCCATAAGCAAAAAACAATAATTATCGAATTCATTGATTTGTTTGGAAAAACACTTGTAAATAATTTCCGATCCTAGTTTATATATCAAATAGATACACGGATTTAGCCGTATCGTCAGATTTGGTTGGGCAGCGACTCTTGAAAAAGCAATGGCGGCCGACAAGCCGGCGGACTGCATGCGAAACGGCTGCGGCGGCTTATAGCATTACGATATGGACAACGCGCACGAACGCGATTACAACAACGAACGTGATATAATTATTAATATAGAAGACTCGAGTGCATACCCATATTGCGTCCCACCGTGCGTAAATCCAAAATAATTGTTCTGGGCCATCCTTCCTTGCCGAGAGAATCCGGGAAAGGAACGAGGCTCTGCAGCAGCTCACGCAAGTCAAACCGGAGGAGGAAGTTGCTAGCCGCTAGCTCTATCTCTCTCCCCCCCCCCCTTCCTATCTCATTTTGTAGGGCGTTTGCCACGTACAAATCGCGCGTCGACCTGGTCGACTATTGCTCGTAAGTGCACGAATGAAAGAGAATAAAGCGCCCTTCCATTTACGCTATTGGCTCGTCCGTTACAACAAGCTGGCTTCGCCGCGGAGCGCGACATCTGTTTTTCCCGTCCACGGTTGGACAAAAAAGTAGGATTTAGGAAACTATATTATATCGAGTATTGCATAATTAATTTGTTTGTTTGAAATCAAATTGAGATCTTCTAAATTTCCAAGCCAAAAATTTGATCGCGTTCGATTGCGGTACATGAAAATATAATTCAAATAAAAAAAAATTTAGTGTCAAGGCTTCTCGTTATTCTGAACTAGTTCTTTCGAACTTTGAAATGACATACTAGCTAACAAACTTCTCGGTTTCTTTTAATAAAGAATATTCGTGCCACCATACTTGTTTTACGTTTTTACTTGCAAAATAGAACTTCAAAATTTATTGTAATCATTAAAATAATAATTGTCACGCTAGTAGCAATTGTCGTTATTATATTAACAAAACTAATAATTTATCTACTATCGCTCCCTGCCACAAGCAACCCTACGAATCCACGCAAATTTTACAAGTAAATATATCTAATTGCAAAGTCTTAGTCGTTAAAAGTACTAAAAATTGAAAACCTTGTCAAAGGTAAGAGTTGTTTTTTTTTATTATTTTCTGTTGTATATACTGATGAACCAGATAAATGATCATTAGATTCGAAAAAAATGTAAGGATATAACTTACCATTATAAAAGGCGGGGGCAGCTGGTACTCGAAGTTGGTTGACCGGTGAGTTTTTCGCGAGTATTGATAGGTTATACGCTTAACCCGCTCCGTGTAGACGAGAGAAAAAAAGCCAGAGCTGAGCCTACATTGATTTTAAATCAATGTGAAAGTAAAATTGTCACAAATATATAATAAGTAGATAATTTCGCTTGAATTTGAACGAGGGCTATGCGTTTTCCGCCGGTTGTCGGTGCTGCAGTGCTTGGTGGTCTCCGCTATCCTGTGTGTCAGACACCCACAAATCAAACATATGAGTATATTTTTTCCATGTAAGTAGTCTTGTAAACCTATATCACATGTGAGTACAGGTCGCTGATATAATATATATTATTTGAATACACAATCACTAACCAATTTATTTTATTTCCTGAATTAATAATGAAATCTTTCGAAGATTTAGTTTTGTCGATATAATCACTACATATGTATCATGTATTGTACTTCAAAGAATAACAATCGCACAAGTTTCAAACTTAGAATGCCATCTTTGGCGATTTTCCACAACCCTTACAAGTACCTATTTGAACGTCGATAATAGTAGAGTTTTTATATACTTATTTGCTATACATATACTTGTGTATATAGAGCTGATCGCCTTTTTATAGGAGTACCTTTAAGTAGTAGTGCTTGTGCATACTACATACTTACCAACATAGCGCAAGGTTTTTGCATTGCTAAGTTTAAACTCTAGTGCATTGGGGATGATTCTCAACATTTTCCATGCAAATACAATGAGGAGTTGATGTTTACAGTCACTAAATGCACATAAGTAATGTATCTACCTACACTAATCACATGAAAATGTTTTCATTCAAAATTTATTATGTCAACTCAAATTGCTTATTGAATGATATATGTATGTTACCTATTTCAGAAATAAGCGCACAATGAGATTATTAATGTTGCTGGTACACAGAAATCAATTTATGTGGAATATGATAGAATATTAGAGGGTAGAAAGTATTTGTATTATTTTTCTATGAATATGTGAGAAGAATTAAGTCGCCAACATTGAGGGTTTAACAGAAAAAAGAAAAATAAGGAAAATTCCAAACATGGCACCCAGACTTCTGAAGAAGAAACATGCCAAATACTTCCACATGATTATTCAGCTGATGCCAAATGCATTTCCAGATGCAATGAGACTTACTTTTTTGTATTTCGCATTGTCTGGTCTAGATTTACTTGATGATCTGCACGAGTATTTAATAGAAAAACGAGAAGAGGCAATAAATTGGATATACAGGTTACAAGTGAAAGGTGCTGGCTCTAGATCAGGTTTTGAGTCATCTACAATGATACCCAAGGAAATTGAAACTGACTACCATTGTGGTCACCTAGCAATGACTTATACTGGGTTGTGCAGTTTGTTAATTCTTCAAGATGATTTGAGCCAAATTGATAAAGAATCCATTCTTGAAGGCATGAGAGCTTGTCAAAATGTGGATGGGTCTTTTATGGCAATGGTGACAGGCTGTGAAAGTGACATGAGATTTGTTTATTGCGCCTGCTGTATCTCAGCTATTCTGGATGATTGGTCAGGAATAAACAAGGATAAAACTATAGACTACATTGTCAAAAGCATAGTAAGTATTTTATGGCACAGTGAATGTTCCAGGCCATTCTATTACTCCACTGCTATGTGGAGAAATAAGTCTTTTCTAATGGCTTTCAAATGACCATTAATTTTCTGCAGTCGTATGATGGAGCCATTGGTCAAGGCCCAGGATTAGAATCTCATGGAGGATCTACATTTTGTGCAGTGGCCAGTTTATGTCTGATGAACGAGTTACATAATGTTCTTTCGGAGGAACAGCTAGAAAGGTTAAAGAGATGGTGTTTATTAAGACAAGATGGAGGATTTCATGGCAGACCTGGAAAACAATCTGACTCATGCTATAGCTTTTGGATTGGAGCTACACTGAAGTTACTAGGAGTGGATAATTTGTCTGATCAAGAAGAAAATAGAGCTTTTGTTTTGGACACACAGAATACACTTGTTGGAGGATTTGGCAAATATGCCAGTGAGCCACCAGATCCTTTACATGCATATTTAGGTAGCTAGCAACTATTAGTATTGAATGTAAATTTATATTACCATGATGACAAAATGTAATAAACAATTGCTTTTAACATAGGTCTATGCAGCCTCAGTTTAATTGGAGAACCTCGACTGTTAGAAATGCATGCTGCATTGAATATTTCACAGCGGACGTACACGCACATGTTGAAAGTACAAGAGAAATGGAAGAAGCATTAACTGTAAAAAAAACGTGATGTACAAAAATGCACAATAGATCAACGAGGAAGAGTTTGTAGTGAGAGTGTTGAGACAATAAACGGATGGCAGTGGCAGGGAAATAAAGGACGTTAATAATACGACAATTGTATATTCTCGGATGGATTACACTAGTCTCTTGTTAATAACGTCCCAGCGTACTCTGCCTCTCAATCTTGGATTCGGCGAATTTATTACCTTTCCCCTCTCTAATCTTATGCATAGTCACGTCGACCGTACGATTCAATTACAACAAAGAAAGCAGTTAAAAGCTCGGCCCTTCCTAACAGAATTCCTTATCGGTGCCGCATCGTCACTTTCGCTGTTGCACTCTTATTTTCTCGTATCATTATACCGTTCGTATTTTCATCAATCAATACAATCCAGTCTTATTCATACTGGTTACTTGCCATTACAAACTTTAAATATCTATATGAAAGAATACATTTTTAAATCAATCTTGGTAAAATAGTGATTCTCACCCGACTATAAATGTAAATCGTTGATGTATGGGATTGTATCAATTATCGACACGACGAAATTACTAAGATCACGATAGTCAATACATAATCGACTTACCATTACCCTTACTCTAACAAGACTGGCTAATTCGGAGATGCTACGATAAATGTATTCCTTTGCTACCCAATACTGTTTATATTCTCGATGATATTCGCCTCGTGTGTTAGGAATTTCCTTGGCTGCGCTCGTATGATGATCTGACAATTTAATCATCAACCGAATTCGCAGCCTCACCGGATAGCTCAACTTAACCTTTAGTATTTTGATTTCTGCGTCCTACGCAACAGACAATCGCATCAAAAGCGCTCTTCTGCTCCATCCTGAAAGTTTGCCGAAGATGCGTCGATGTTCATCAGTGAGTTGAACCAATCGCCGTCATCTTTATACCGAACGCGAAATTGGTGCGATCCCTCCCAAGGGATCGAGTCACGGAATGCTTGTCCCGAAGATATAATATGACCACCTTTCTTCACGGAATCGGCGGGCATAACTAGAGCTGACATACTATAATTCCCGCGTCGATCAAGACCCTGAATGTTACTCGTCAAATTGTGAGATATGTCATTCCTAACCACTCGTAATTCAAACATTTAATTGTGAGGCCACTGGTTTGTTGACAATATCTCGGCCGAATGTTTTGTTTGCTTGGACATCGCTCTTGTATCCCTTAATAACACAGGCCAAAAACCAAAAAACTTAGAAATGCGGTAGTATATTTTCGGAGGTATTCGATGCGCTGCATTCAACTCTGGTTTCATCATTGATCCATCTCCTACGGTACTCGAGATATTCTAACTTAAAAGTGCAAAAATTACGATTATTTGCTATGTTTAAGGTTCTGTAACACTGTAAATAATTTTTTTTTTCCAAAAACCAGTAAATCCATACAAAGCAGCTCTTGCCCTATAAACTCCATTATTTTTTGGAATAGAGATATCTTTTATTTTTCATCTCGATATCATTGATTAAAATTAAGTATTTTGGCAGTATCGCAACATTATATAACAGGTTACAGGGATGAAGGGAATTGGAGATTAAGAATCTGGAATTATATGACAACAGATTTCACGAGTTAGGTGAGTCAAGATAATTGGATTCGAGGGCCTAGAGTTGCGTTGGGTTATATCGTCACAGGTTACAGGAGTTGGGGATTGGAATAAGGCAATGGAGTTATTTCCGTAGTTAAGAGGTGACAGGGATACTATTCTATGGGCGCTAGATGCGGGAAAATTAAAAATCAATACTTAAAAGAAAGAAATAAATATAATTTTTTGTGTCAAATTTAACATTCCTCAACTCAATCAGAAAATATTAGATAATTGTCGTATAATTAGAACAAATTAGTTTTTGATAGAACTATTTCCTATGAAGCTTTCAATAACAATAACATGCTTACACTGGGCAGTAGACCCTTGGCGTGCTCACATTATGTATCACTGATGCACTCTGATAAAGAGTTATTTTCAAGTTCATATTGTAAATTATTACTTTACGGAATTCTAAAGCTAATCCTAGCACAAATGAACGTTACGTTATTTTGAGCAACAACTTATCTTGTACTCTTCAGGTAGCATTCATTGTATATTTTGACTCCATCATTTGCGTTCACTTCCATTATAACTGATTTTTGATAAAAATAATCTTTTTATCAAAATCAACTCTTAAATTTATTGGATGAAATATATATAAATCATTGAATGACTTCAAATTAGGGATTTCCAATGGATATTTCTTCTCTCTAATTTAAATGATTTTAAGTGCAATTTATTGTATCTATAATTAACCTGGAACGTGACAAATAAACTACATAGCCCCATTGTTGATAACAAATTTTCCAAATATTTCCTAACCTCTCTACTAGGTCTGCTTTTTTACCAGTAATTTTTACATTCCTTTTTTTTAACTCATCTTTCAATTGACTGATTGTCCAATTCCCATAGTACATGTGAATATCCACGGTATACAAAAAAATTAATCAATATAAAAAAATCAGAGCCAGTTCTGGCGATATAGAATACAACGTACACAGGTCCTTTAAATTTTCCCGCAATTATGCCCCATTGGAGTTCAATCTGTTCAACGAATGATGAGCTGAGTTCAACTGTTAAAGGTTCAAGGATCCGACAGCCTCGCAGGTTGCAGAGGTCGGGGGTTAATTAAGGCAATCAAGGTTCAAATGTCTGGAGTATGCTAGATACACGTGTTTGGCGATTTGACTGTTTTAATAGTATTGCAAAACTGTTAAAAACTCAACTTCGATCAATATGATATCTTAATGAAAAAAAAGATATCTCTTGCCTACTAAAAAAGAAAATCTTAAATATTTTCCACACTTTTTATGAATAAAAATAAGAAAAAATGCGTTATACAAATCAATTGTTGTTAAATCATTTTCTGACAATAAATTTGTAACAGTTTTACGATTTTTCATTTTGAAATATTCTTTGATTACATATATATTTAATTTGCTTAGGTTAAATATAAATCTTTTGTTACCGTTTGGTTTTTCTCACAAAAAGTATGTCGAAATAAAGTGATCTTTACAAAAGAGACAAATTAGATATAGCGCCTTTTTCGATTAATTCTGCGATAGCCTTTTTATAATAGGGAATTTCATTGGTTGAAAAACTCGATTCATGAGGAGCAGTTTTTTTATTTGAACGGAATTACGTAAAATGTCCCACAGGTTTACTCATATTTAACGGCAGCGATATGGAGATCACTGGATCCAAGAAGAATGTGACTTCGTTTTCGTTCCTTGAAGAGTTTTTATATGTTCCTTTGAATCTCTCCTGGGGATGAGCTTTGCGTTTAAGTTACTCGAATCATGACCTTGACAATTACTTTTTTTTTCTTTTTTTAATCTTGTATGCGATATCTTTTCCAACCCTGTTTTTTCTATTAACAAAGCGCTCTTAAATTTCTCCGCAAAATCCTTGCCGAACAGCAACTTGTCAATTTTTTGTATCATTAGCTTCAGATTTAATAGCTTGTGAAGTTTAGGGTAGGAAGGATAGAAGCACGTCTTGATGTTGAAATATAGTACATGGTGGTAATTAATTTACAGAATGATTAATCCGGGGCTTCAAGTACAGAGTATTTATCTCCGCATAATGGCATATTTGATTCTCTCTAATTCGATTGAATGACTGTTGTAAGTATTTAGATTAAACATTTATCAATGAAAATGAATTTTAAGTAAACAGAATTAATATGTCGTTGAAAGGAGACAAAGATATAACGGAAGCGTTTTTACCGTTATCAAAAATAAAAATTATTAACGTCAAAATAATATTTCATCTCTACTATCTTTATTTATAGAATAGCTTCCCTTAAGTGCGTACAACGCGTTAATCGTGATCAAGTCGAGATATCTAGAAAGGTTTACGCGTATCCGTGAAATACGCACTCAACATTATCAAGTTTGTAAAATGGTTGAACGTTTTACCGCATGCTGCACTTAGGCACACTCTCCGCGTCAGGATATAGCAAAGAAAGTGTATGTATATACACGATGGAATAGAAAAGCTCGCTGGAAAGAGAGAGAGAGAGAGAGAGAGAGAGAGAGAGAGAGAGAGAGAGAGAGAGAGAGAGAGAGAGAGAGAATGCTATATAGCATGGGTTTGCGCGCGCGTCGAGTCGGCGCCGGTGGAAGGCGAATACTGGTAGTAGTGGTGGGAGTGATCGCGTGCACGCGCCGCATATACCGAACTTTTCTCTCTCTCTTTCTCGCGCACTCGATAGTCAGCCAGTAGTCCGCCGCCGCACGTCCGAGCTACCGACTGCGCGTTCGCGCGGCGATTTTCCGCGGGTTTTCATCTCTCGCAAGTTCTTTTGCTCACCCTCGCGTATCACATTTCGCACTCAACCACGGACCTTCCTTACTTATTATCGACAAACAACTGAGAAAGTAATTTTGACCACCTCGTCGAGTGCACGGTACAGTATCCTTTACCGATCGCTATACTTCCGATCGACGAAGTGCTCGACCATTCACAATTTCAAGATTCTGCCGTACGGGCATCAAGTAAGCATAAACAATCGCATTTTATAAACTTTTTCACCAATCTGCTCCGTTGCCCCGTTTTCCTTTCTATTGACCGCATTTATTTTTCCGCCTTATGAACAATAAACTTCTCAAGTTCAGGTTAGGTTTACGGGTTTATCTATGAGATAATTTGCATTTGTTCGCTGAACACCAAAAACGCTATAGTGATACTGTTTTCTTCTTTTATCACACCCTCGCCTTGAAGAGGTCTCAAAAACAAATAATGTAATCAAAGCCAAGAAGTTACGCATCCTTACAGCATTCACATTGTTACGTTTTGATTGAAGGAAACGAGTGACGAGTTGCTTAGAATCAACCCTTCATTCGCTTGTTTACTTTTCATTCTCAGCAGACCCATATGTGACATCAAAGTTTTGACAAGCAGCCAGTTAACGGTGCACTTGTACGCTTTTTGTACTCGTGTATATTTCAATGATCTTCAATAAGGAGTAAATTTAACCTTTTATTTCTCAATTTTCAATGGAATTTTTCACCGTATTCATCTCCGCGATTGACACGACTGAAAACTTTATTTTTCGCTTAAATTGCTAACAAGGAAATCCCAACTATTTTTTAATGAAAAAATGATAAATCTATTAACTCAATCCCTGTATAAAATAGAATTCAATTGATTTCAACTCTGGCCATAAACTTATCACCTTTTCTAATTTAATGATTGAATACATCTCTATTAATCATGACCGGTTGATTGCTAATTAAATCTCACGGATTTTGAGTGAATCAACTCGAAATGTAACGTGCTAGTGAGTTTCAAACGCTATCGAATATATAATGATCTCATATTATTTCCTTGAAGGGGAAGCTTCTTTTTTATTTTTTCGGGATCTTTTATTTTTCACTGCAGCTTTTTTTGACATTTTGTTCTTCGATCTAAATTTTTTTAGAAGATCTAGCCCTCGTGTAGATAATCAAAAAAAAGATTTTCTATATATTTTTCATTAGAAATCATCAGATGATAAAGACATATTTTTATGTTTACAAACATATTCCCACATCTATGTATGAATGTGTGTGTGTGTGTATGTGTGTGTGAATGTGTAAATATGTGTAACGTGTGATGGTTTATTTTAAAGCTTATGAAATCAGCTTTGAAATAAATTACTGCAGGATAAATTTGACGATATGCAGTCCGAGTTATAACGCTGCAAAGTAAGCTTCCTTTATCTCAATACGTATAATAATAAAGTGGACCCTATCGGGTACTATTCGGTATATATTGCTTCACTATGGAGGGAGGTTTTCTTTGCTCTGTTTTTGAAATGTTTTATTTCTCAAGTTTTAGTTCTTAAACTATTGAGATTGGACGTAAATTAAGAGTGACGAATTAAAAAATCTTTCTTATCAACACAACGTGCTATTTGTTCAGGAATTAGTAACTTATTTGCAAAATGTTAAATGCAATATTTAATAAGTAGGTTTTTCATTTTATCTTATTGTTTCGGTAAAGTGCGAACAAAATCAAAAAGTTAACTTGCTTTATTTTCATACAGCGAGATCACGAAAGTTCTTTTAATAGCAGCACTAGCAGTCGTTTATAGATCCGTTATAATCGCAGCTGTCAGGGTTCGTGGTGTGCATTCATTTTGCTTTAGTTTGGAAGCTCGGACTCAAAACTACAATATCACACGGCAATTTTCGCACTACAGAAATGTAGTACCACGGAATTTGGAACGAGGGATTCTACGTAGCAAACGAAAAAGTAACAAATAATTTATATGCCTACTCATCTCTCTATTTATTAGTTAATATGTGCGAATTATTACTCAATGTGTGAAATAAATTTACTTCATTTGATTAGATAACGATGCTCATAAATATTGACTTGTACAAAAATGCTTTAGCAACAGTAATTAATATGTTTTGTTGTGAGGTTAAATAATATTTCTAATGAATGGAAACTATCCATGATTAAATTGTTACATAACTGATTTGACAATAATTTTACATGATCGAATGTTTGGGATAACAGTCTTCGAATGTCTCGCCTCGGAATTTGTCAGTAAGAAATCTTAAAGTGCAGCCACGAGAAACTCTTGCATTGTTTACGTCGCGATCGCAATTAGTTACGGGATGGTATCAGCTATTGAAACAGCTGACTGGAACAGCACTACGAACTTTAATCTATGAATTTTATCAAATGAATTCCTAAAATTTGTATGAAATAAGATTAGTTCTTGCATGTACGAATATTTATGTGTTCTTAAGAAAACACACCGATCATATGTTTAAGTAATGGAATATGAATGTTTGGTTGGAATTATATACTTGAGTGTTTCTTTTTGTTGGTAGTATATAAATATACAAACATTGGCTCTCATCTACAGGGAAGCATACCGCCAGATTAGCTGGCAGCATTGTTTGGATTCATAGTGATCGTAAAATAGGGATAAAGAAATTGCTAAAATATAACATTTGAAAAATCGAAGTATTCAAAATAAAATTGTTATGTCATTGATCGACTTTTTCTTTTGTTAACGAAAACCACATTGCCTTCATAATTATAAAAACAAAAAAAAAATGTGTTTTGACTGTTATGGCAGTGGGCTCGCATCGAGAAGTGATGCGTCTGAGTTCGTGGAGGTAGCGTCGTCGCGACGCGCGGGCAGCGTCGGCGGCGGCCGGCGAGGCCGGGGGAGCGGAAAAAAGGAGAGCAGCAGCAGCGCCAGGTAGAAACGCGCGGCCGACGGCGGGGACAGACGAGGACGGAATTCCGATCGAGCCGGCAAATGTGGCTCTGTGCACGGTGAGCCGCAGCTTGGGGGCCCGCGGGGCCCGCCAGGGCTCCTCCACAAAGTCATCGCGCGTACGAATCGCCCTGACTCAGCGCAACGTGTGCGCCGCACAGCAGTCCCAGCAGGACTCGCCTGCCGACGCCAATTCTACCCCGGGCAGCCAACAGCAACAGACCAATGTGCCGTCCTCGGCTAGCGCGTCCGCTCAGGGTACACCGCAGGCTCACCAGCAGCAACCCGGAATTCCGCGCGATCAGGGCGCCGGACAGGCTTACGATGTGAGTTTCCAACTATATTCTGCGATCCATGCGTTCCGTCACTCTTGCTGCCCGATCCGATATCTTGATTGAAAAGACCTATATACGAATGTTGATTGTCGGCTGATTCTACGAGGAATGCTAGAAAGCCTCTTCCAGCTTCAGTTCTGCTTCCGCAATTCTCAAAGTGAATTTCTCAGCCTACATTAGCATTCAAAAACGAAATCTACGTTACACAAAATTTGGCACGCTTTGAAACCTTACATCTTTTATGCATACCCCCAGATAGGCTTCCAAAGATACATAAACCAGTGCAATACTCCAAACCTATAAAAAACTTGAACGATGGAGTTTTTCAAATCTAAAATATTTACATTTTCAACTGTACAAGAAATAATAAGTAAGACAAAGATTTTTCGTTACATATAGTTCAATGACTATAATGACATATGCGTCATGCAGTTGAAGTCTTAAGCAATGTTTATGAATTACAATTTTGTACATATTCAGGTTATATGTAGTCCAACGAAAGCAATTATTTGTATATTGAAGTCGATATAAAATTGATTCACAGTTTTTAGCATTAAATTTATTTATAGAAGTCAGTAGTATTATTAAAATTTTGTAATAAAATTTCTTAAATGCAGGAAATATCTCAGATTTTTGCAAAGTTCCTTTAAAAAGTCAGCAAAAGAAAAATTGAACTTCCATAAAAAATCTTTTAAACTATATTGATTATTTTAATCATTGAACCTACATGTATCATATTTATGGAATAAAATTTGAAAGTATCTATTGATTGACCGTTAATTATTAATTCAACCGATAATTGATTACAATACTTCATGAATGTTTAATATCAAAAAAAGCAATTTTGCATTGAGTTTATACAATTATATAAGCAATGAATTGCAGAATTTAGTTAACATTAATATTAATAATTGATTAGTAGATGTATGCGTCCGATAAATTGATAGAATTGATATTCTCAAGTATTCTGTAAAAAAAAAAGATGAAACACGATCATTACTATATATACTATCGGGTCAATTTTAACATAAATCGAATAATAATTGTATTTACATGAAATATGAAAGTCGTTTAACTTTAATTTTTGCTTGAAACGCGGTAAAATTTTATTTGCATATTACGTCGCAGGCAACATAAAAAGTTATCGCGCAACACGAACAGTGCGTAGGTCTACCTGGAATAGGCTTTTAATTTAAAATAGGAGAATTGGATTTTCCATTAAAGTCGTATGTTCATTTCATATTGCATGTTATTTTTGGACGATATTCCATGCTGATTGGAGAGCTAGTTTAATTTACAATTGGCCCAAAGTAAAACAGCTCGGCAATAACAGCAGTGCAGTGAAATACTAGAAGTAGGAGGAATATTTGCAATGAGATCTACGGTGTATATAGGGTAAACTTTGAAACTGCGAAAGTCTGCATCTCTGATTAGCACGAATAATTAGTCAATCAGCAAAGTTTACTCACGCCGTGTGCTAATGGTCAAATTTCCGCGAAACTTATAGTATAGAGTTGCACTGCGAAAGAGAACAAAGTAACAGCTGTAGGGTAAACAATCAATAGTGAACCTGAATTGAATGCTTTTGTTCTCGCGATGTAAATTGTGCAAGTTGAAACCGGCATGAATTCAGCTACAAGCAAAGCCAACATTTGTGCGATGAATTTGTAGGAGGGCCAAGGACTGGAGGAGCCGATGGTGCTGGTGGAGCAGGGCAATCAGTTGGGTACCTGGATATGCTGCGTGCCTTGCTACTGGCTCAGGCGAAGCAAGGCCGTGCACAAGGCACTACTCACTTTCGCGATGCTACTCGTGACAAGTCTCCTCGTCACCAGTCCCGTACTCTTTCTCATCACCACGCTGCCCGAAGGCGATCAGCCCCGCGAATGCGCACCTCTGGTCAGTGTCATGAAACGCTATTCTTTCTATTTTCTTTCTTTCCTTTAATTTACGTAATTTTGCCTCAACCTTCTTGCTCGTCACACACGCGCGCGCGCGCGCACACACACACACACACACACACACACAATTTTTCTCATAACAGTTTCAATGATTGACATTCAAACTAGCTCGATAATGAGATCTGCTTGCTGTTTTGAGAAAGTTCGACAATCCATCGATGCAAAGTAATTCTCCAGGCAGTTGACTGAACAACCATCTTTCACGAGACCCTTCAAGCGCGCCACTTTCCAATGCAAAATATTTTAACCGTATAATCTTTAATTCCACCTCAATTCAGTAAAAGAATTTCGCTGGCTGCGTATACATGTGCTTATAACCCGGAATTTCATTCTCGTTATTTCGACACGCGTCAATGGCCGTGACAGCTCTCTCCACGTTTCCTTTATCCTGCGCCACTTCCGTCTTCAACGAATCCAAATGGGACTTTGACAACGCGCAAAAAATTTTCACTCCCAGAGTTGGTTGCCGTTGTTGAAATTGGCTGTGCTGCTGCGACGCTCGTCGACACGTCTAGTAGAGGAAATCTGTAACGAAAACGATGACGGATAAGTCCGTCGCTCTGTCGCAGCGGAATGATTTGTAATCCTGTTAGCGGCAGAGAGAAAGAGAGAGAGCGAGAGAGAGAGAGATGCTCATCTCAACTGACGCCGCCGCCACGTATACTTTCGTATTTTTCGTTGACTCTTTCGTACTATTAAGACTCTTTCAACTAACTGTATGTATATAGCCAGGATCTTATATCTTTCATATATTTTATAAACGTCTTGTCGCGGGAAATGTCAGTTATGTAGGTTCATTTATTCAAGGCCTTTGTAAAAGTAGCGTTACACTAGGCAATTGCAAATAAATGAAGTCTGAAGTCTGATCAAATTTAGATAGGGCTAGAAAAGTTTCGCGGTAAAGTTTCAACGGGAAGGCAATCAATCATGCTAGAAAATACAGTCAGACTTTCTTTTCGTTTGACTTTAAAAAATGTAATGATAATACTGTGTACTATAATTTCAAAATTATATTTGATTGTAGGTACATTTACGCAAAGCAATTACTTTGAATTGTTTAATCAATTGAGATTTTGAAAATGAAATTTACTCATAATCGTCAATTTCATTGGATCAAGCTTTTATTTTTAATTTCACTATGAGAAGTGAACGTCAAAGTATTGTTATCCGGAGGCATATATGCAAACATTCTAATATGATTGGCACGATAAACTGGTGCATAATAACATAATCACACAATGCTTTCAAATAGTGAACCCTTGTCAGAAACGTGAGTTTATCTCCTTCTCTCTCTCTCTCTCTCTCTCTTTCTATCAACTATATGTATATATGTATGTATATTTACGCCTTTACACCAAGGGATAGTCAAAGCTTGAAGTGAGTGAGCTCGCGCGCGGAAGCCATACGCGAAGGTAAGCTTTCGAGGCAAGCGCGTCAACCTTAGCCTGGGTCAGGGTCTTCTGTCCTTCATCCATGACCTTCTGGAGAGTGTGTGAGAGAAATAGAGAGAGAAAAAGAGTCAAATCAAGTAACACTACTACTCTATGCCAGCACACTATAATCCGGCGACTTTTCCTCGATTGAAATTCACCTTCTCTCCTCTTCTTTCTTATTTCACTTATATTGGCGGGATTATATTGCTGACTGCCTGTTCGCGTCTTCTGTTTATCTTTACGTTCTATTATATATATTGTCGAGTTCTTATTGCAAGTACTCTTGTGCAGTCGAAGAGGAAGAGACGAGCGCGAATCTATTATTGTCGCTTCCAATTGTATTAGAAAGTTTTAACGCCAAGTTTTTTCAGCTGGGCGCATTTCTGCAACTTTTCGCTCATCTCATAAAACTTTAGTGCCTTCTAATTTTTCACGGACTTACGAGTATCTAAGTCGTTAACTGTGCCTACTGCCAATTCCGATAGTTTTCTTCGTGTCTTGATTAAGAATCTTCATTAGTTGTTCGTGATTTAATCGAATTAGCTTTGCAGGAAATTTATTTTAGAGCATGTGTCACGTAATTCCAAAGTAGCACTCCACTACAAAAACCGCAGAACTCCTTGGTCATGGAATTATTCTGCGGTGAATGGCTAGTGTAAATCACGTGCAAGCACCAGTCAATTTTGCTAGCGCGAGCAAGCGTGTGAGCACCTGAAACAAAATAAATTTGAATTTGAGTTGTCATTTATGTTGATTGAACGAGCCGAGCGTTTCTTTTTCGCAACAAGCCGATACTATCAATAAATAACTAGGTTGGAAATACGTGAGAGTTCACTTAGACATCGATAATAGAATTTACGACATTTCTATTGAAACTAGAAATTCAGTTTTTGAAATCATGCATGCAAGGAGTTATTAAAGGCACTGGATCTTTGAAATTGAATAAAGAAATAATTACAAGATAAGCAATGGATTCGTCAAGTTTCTGTTTCCGTAAAAGTATAAATCAAAATGAGCGGTGTTCTCGCAAGATCTTGTGTCGCTGACTGAACTGACTTCTTTATAGATCATTAGTGCGAAAGTAGTGACAGAAAGAAACAAGCCAAAAGTAGAACTTTTATCTAACATCTTTATAGGTTTTTCTCTTATTTTCCGGTTATCAAAGTGAACCGATTCATAAGCCAGCACGTGTACGCGTTAGTGACATTTGTCAGGTCAGTCGGAGCCACTCGGAGGTATCATTGTAAGGGGATTCACAAGTTTCTCCATTCATTCAAACTGAAAGCTACTTCTCCTAATATATCCCTAACATTTGGTCTTGTAGTCACTTCTTATTGGTTCGCTCTCTGCCTACCCCTCTCTCAAAATCATTTCTATGAGTTCTCTGCATACAAACCCGGCTTCACTGGTAAGGGGAACGGCCGAAGCTCAACATTCCCAAGGTGAAAACTGAGATTGGTTCTATGTCCTTTAGGCTCTAGTTCACGCCAATGGAACTCTCTCTTCCTCTGTTCAGTCTCACTATTGAGACAGACTTTTGAGTCTGACTATTGAGATTAGCCCACTCTTTATTTTTATTGCGTGTTACGCTTGTATTTTATATTGTTAATGACTGTATTACTAGTGTCTCTTCTAAGCAAATTATACTAGTTCTGTTGAGCTGCGATAAAGTATTTCGTCTTGATAATCTGTTTATTTTGCTTGACACGTCTTCACGAATTTTTAATTATAAGTTACTCACTGAGGAAATCTTTATAGAATACTTAAATTTTTTAATGTAGATTGTACCATGATAGGTACCTGACTAAAAATTTTATCTTTTTTGCCTCAAGATAAAATAAAAGACTCGATTAATTAATCAATCTCTCTCTCTCTCTCTCTTTCTCTCACTGTCGACTATCAAAATCAAAAATATTGTTATGTTTGACGTTAATATTTATATGAAAGAATACATCTGTTGTCGAAAAAAAAAAATTAAATATGTGCATTGTTGAATACTTTAAGAAAACACGAAATTTATAAAATATTCTCAATAATGTCGTATGGTTAGATATTTATAATTTCTCAAAAAACTTGTTACGTACTTTATTGGAGATTTTATCGGTTTGAAAATTTCATTACCAACTACTGCTAAATATATTATAAGCGAGTGTAGTCATTTGAGTTTTTTTAAGGCTAAAATGTATGGCTATGTACCAAACCTACAAAATATTGTATGCGTTAAAAAAATTGATAAATCAATGTCATTTGAAAATTACAATAGCAAATCTTTAGAAATATTTTGCTCTAACATTTTCCTTCTATATTGCAATTCATTAACAAAATTGGTCATAGCCTTTTTCTTTATCATACAATTCCTCATAGATAAATAACGTTGTTAAAAACTAATTCAAAATTTGTCGAAATTGCAGACCTGGAAACTCCAGGTTAAGGAACATGTGAATATTGAAAAACCAGTGAGAGCGTATAACTTGCAATTCTGACTTTTAATCTCTCTTTGCTCACTAAAGTTCATGAAAAATGCCAAATAAAAGTTGCTAACGATGGTTGAAACCGTATGATTCGAAAGCGCCAAAAAGCTATGGGCAGAGAGAGGGGAGAAGAGTACATCTCGCTTGGAAATCGATAGAGACTGTATAAATAAAGCGAAGCTGAATGAACGCGATCGAGCACGGACGCGAGAAAGCCCGAGTCAAAGTTAGGGAGCTTGATAATCAATCGAATCGATCGCGAGTGAGAAGTTTACTGCTCGCTCGCGCAAGTATACCAGGCGAATCCAACTCGGATGTTTGTTTGTTGTGAAGTTGACCTCTCCGCGCTTACTGTGCCAGTGGTGCTGGCCACCCTTCAGTGAGAGATCTTCAGGACGGCTATTTGCCAAGATCCCTTTGAAAGGTGCGGCAAGAAATGAATTGTTCCACTCTAATTCAGAGCCCTCTTCACTATCCACTCATTATGCTTTCATCTCTTTCCAGTGTTAAATGCCTCGATTTGTTTCCGCTCGAGGTGCTTCGTTTTCGAAAGCCGGATAAACCACGTTTAATGAGTCTCTCATGATCCACCGATTTAAACTTCGTCTTCATACTTTATAAGTCTACGTGTTTCTATAATTTTCACTCTGACTTCAGCGAATAAATCTATTTTCATATACCAAATGTTTTCTATACACAAGAGATTGTCCCCCGTTTGATTCTCATCGTCTCAACATGACTAATATTGTAAACTTTCGGCGTTCAATCATTCGCTCATATTTCAATTGCAAATTTTTATGAGAAAATTATTGGAAGACTATCACAAAAATAGATAATAATTAAAAAAGGCGTTTATTTATAGCTTTGACAATACCATTTAGTATATTATATCGTTAATTGCACGTATTTAATTTTTAATAACCAAAGTTTTTCGTGGATTATTTTTCTATCCATATTTCAATGATTGTTCGTTGATAAGAAAACAACTAGTTGCATTTTTATATAACGTTCGTTTGACGCATTTTCGGGTTGAAATATTCGACGAAAGTACAGCAAATAATAGAAATAAAGTGTCGTGCAATAATAAATTCCTTTTCATACCCAAACCCGACGCGGAGACAAGAAAATAACCGAAAAGCCAAAACTTTGATGGCAAGTAGCATGCGACTAAAACTCCAGGCGCAGTTCAAACTCGTTCGGAGCAGAAAAATGCTCACTGGTCGGCGACGATGCACGTAGCCACGAAGAAAAACCACGTAGCGCATAGAGGTGCAGTTGCCTCGAAGCTGCAATAAAACTGGGAATAATAAAGGGGAAAGAGAAGAAAAAGTAAAATGAAATGCTTGCATCCGTTGTCCCGGGAATTTAGAGCTTATGCATATGCGCGCATTCGTGTGTACGAATGTAAGGTTAAAAGTTTGATGGTATTGTATATGTGTTGCAGGACGAGGCGTGCATTAGAGAGCGAGACGGCCAGGATGGCGTGTGCGACTCGCAAGCCTGCCAAGAGGCCGGTCGTCGTATGCTCGCTTCGATGCAACGCGGCGTCGATCCCTGTAAAGACTTTTATCAGTTCGCTTGCGGCGGCTTCCGCAACCGGCTACCCTATCAGCCGGCCTCAAGCTTCGCCTCACTTCAGGAGCAAGTCGACGATCAGATACAGCGTAAGTGCGCGAACCTGTACATACGTACGCATACATTAGTCGATCCAGCGAAATTTCGTATTCGACGTTGAGGCTATGGAGATAGCACGCGACGTCATCTATTTTCGTATTTTTCTGTTTTTTTTTTGCTCGTTGATGCGTTCCAGTTTTCTTCATGTACGTTCGCTATGAAATTTTAATTCGGTAATTCGGTTTGTCTGATGCGAAACGCTGCTTAATATTTCAGCGAACCTCTTAATGCCACTTGAAATTCGTGGTAATATGCTACGCTTAACTATTCATTCATCATACGTTTTCAACGAGAAGCTTCAGGGTTTGGTAAGCTTACTCACACTCCATGAAATTTTCCTCTCTCTCAACTTTTCAGCGCTTTCTCTCTCTTTGATCCTCATTAACGTAATTTCATGTAGCTTCGTGATAACTGCAGTTCTTACTACTACGTTTACAGTGGAATATTATCATCAAAATTGACTGACTAAATCTAGATTTTACTACTTATGACGAATTTAGGCGTGACTGCAAAATTTTCAATCTAATTCAGAAAGAAATCATGAAAAATAAAGTAAACTTAAAAAACCAATCCCAAACGCTTAATCAACAAACTTTTTCTATCAAATTGCTTAGTATAAGTTTCCTCCCAGGAAAGTTTGGTGAGTTAACACTGCGAAACACTAAAATTCGCCCTCCTCTGTATCTTTCTTTCTCTCCTTATCTGATAACTCATTATCTTATTCATTAGCTTGGTGTCCTTGCGAAGAAATACCACGATGATCTACTGCTCCCGTACTTGAAGCAAACTTTTATGATGATACTTACCTTAATAGAAAAATTATATATACTGAGAAAAAAATTTACTACATTTAATCAAATTTAATTAAATTCAAGAAAATCATTAGTTCTCTTTGTACCGTGCAAATATTTACTTGAATTGAAGATTTTAATTTCATCAATTCAAGAAAAAACTCAAATCAAAATTAACATTGCCTAGTTTGGCTTGAACAAATTTCATATATATTTTATGAAGCTAATTTTTAGAAAAGAATGTAGTTTTGAATTCAAAAAATTATTTTTTTTTGTTAACAAAAATTTTGATAAACATGAAATCCAATTTTTTTGAAAAAGACAAATAATTTTTTGATTTAAGAAAATATCATTTAAGCCCAACCAAACTGAACCCAAACTAAAATAATTAAAATTGTATTTTTTTAAATATCTTTCCAGATTGATTTTAACACGCAAGGGAATAATTTTTTTTAATCTAGATTTGAATCATTAGATAGCAGAAATTCATTAATTATTTCAAATAATTAATTATTTAAATTAAGCAGCTTTATACAAAAAGAGCTTCTATAGTCAAGTAAATCAAATGATAAATTTTGAAAATACGTTTTGTAAAATTTGATAAATTGGTAATTAGCAGAGTCAAATGCTCTTTAGAATTAATTTCTAAATCTAAGAGAATGATATTTTGATTTTGAGAAAAAATTTCTTAGAAGTCAAAATGAATAAAAGATTTCATAAAAAATTATTGATAAATTTAACGAAATGATTCTTCAAACTTAAGAAATTCGTGATGAGAAATGATTTTCAAAATCAAGAAAAGGATTTGTTTCTATTTAAATATGAGCTTCACATAACTACGATAATTTTAATTAATAGTAGTAAATATTGAGTTGAATTCGTTCGTTAGTTTAAAAAAAATTCATTTATAGTGATTTAATAAATTTTTTTATAAGTTTGAATAAACTGTTCTTTTTTCTAAGAAACATTTCAATTAAAGACCAAAATTGATCGAGACAATCTTAACTCGAGGCATTCTAAATTTGAAAAAATATTTTTTTGAATCGACAAAATTTATTCAATATTAAATAAAGATTGTTAAATCTAAATAATGGTATTTTTCATGAAACGATTAACTTGAATTTAAAATTTTTTCTCTCAATGTATGCGTGTATGTTTTACTGATATGCTTTTTTTCACTGAATACATTACATATCATCAGTTCATACTGCATATATATTGCTATTACAGACCATTTACACGAAGGAGATAACATATCAAAGTAAAAAATATAGCATTTGAGCTGCTTCTGTATTTTTATAGCATCATAAATTATGCGTCGTGCGATAAAAAGATAAATGAGGATAGATAAGACGTGCGTATAACGAATGCCATTCTTTAATGAGATTTAAATGCAAATTGTCCAAATTAGAGTAGTTCTAACTGTCGGAAGGATTGTATAGAATGCAGTAACAACAATAATATCGTCTTTACAACAGCGGTGGAAAAGCAAGAAAAACTCGCACGTGCATGGCTACCGTTAAATGTAGGTTAATACAAAAAAAATTATGCTTAGACAATAGAGACGCGTTACACACTACACATCAAAGAAATTAATCTTAGTCATGGTATCATGCTTAAAATGGTTTCCTCTTTATCTCAAATCAGCGCTTATACATGTCGCTCGATGCCCACAAGTGTGTCATTTTTTTACGTAGAATAAACGTGTTAATGCATATTTGCGTTTATACTATTATCCGTGTCTCTTCTATGTGTGTATGTATGTATATGTATATATATATATACATATACATATATGTATATATATATATATATCTAGTCTATCAAACGCGTCGTATTTGAAAGCGAAAATGTAATATCAATATGCAAATTTCACATGGCAAAGCTTATGAGAACTTTTTTTTGCACTTTGATGCCACTTGACGCATTTCGCTGTAGTTTGGGGGATACATTTTATATCCACCCTCTCTCGCTTGCGAAATTTTCGACTTCATGGATGCTGCGTGGAAATGACGTTAACGTGCAAACGAGCGAGTGGAGAAAAGATAGAGGGAGAGAGAGATGACATAAAAAACAAAGTATCGTTAAATTGAAAGTGCTCATATCGATTGTACAAAGACGTTTTTCGTTATTGAGGCTATTTGTGAATGGTTTAGTATTTAACGTACTCTCTTTAGCGGCTAAAATGATAAAACAAACTTTCTTTCGATATCAATTCAATATTCATCAGCTTTCCACAATCTTACCCTCTCGGGTTTTCAAATATCTTGATAAAGTCTCTAAAAATCATCAGTCTGCTACTATAGAACGAGCATTTCTGAGTTCTTTAATTATTTGACATGATCCTTTAAATTACAGAATAACTTTGTTGGAAGCACCTGCTATGCTATCAAAGTTTCTTATTATCAGCATTTTCCTACTTTATATGATTGCAGACGTTTATGCTTGAATTTTGTTATAATTTTACAATTTAATAATGTTTTCCAATCCTTTTTTTCTCGTTACGTTTAAGTCACGCTTTTTAACATTAATAATTTTCATTTTAATAATGTTAATAAGCACCGAAAATTATTCTAATTGAAAAGCGAGACATTTGTCAGAAATGAACAACCTAATTGTGGTTTTTGTTAAATACAATTTTAAAAACTTACTTGAAACAGGTGACTATTAGAAAAAAATATTACTATTGTTTTCGTTTTATTATCTACGGCATTTAAATGTTGAATATGAATCGCATCAAATCAAATAGTTACGTTCATGTCAGTATGGAATTATCTCTCAATTTTATCGTTTGATGGAGCAAAAACTATAGTTTTAAGACAGTACACCTTTGAAAATCAATAATTATGCTCAATAATTTCAAATACTTTTTCTATACCCACATATCTTATTTCATCATGGTATTTAAATAACAAAGTCGCTTTTATATCTGCAAGTATATAGAACTTTAAGTTATACCCATTTTACAGAAAAATTTAAACTATCGCGTAGTCGAAACAAATTGTGTTCATTTTCTTATAATTTCAATTGAAAACGCTTAATTTTTGGTTCTTGACTCTAGAATAACAATGAATTTATTTTAAAATAATCATCTTGAAGTATAAGTATTTCATTCGCTCTATTTAAACCAATTTAAACCATCTATGCCATTTTTACATGTTCTTGATGTTGAATAGTGTAATTATATTTTGGTTGTTGAATCGTTGGATTAATTTCTTTTTTCTTAAGAATTAATATAAAATAATTAAAATCCTTTACTATTTTGAACTGAATACAACGTAACTAAATTTTAAATTTCCACAACGTATAAATAATAATTTGTTAACATTTTCAACCAAAATTAATATTTTTGAAAAATAAAATACGGAATGAAATTACATATCTGACCTAAGTAACGAGCATCGCTGTGTAACTGTTTCATATATTACATTATTAATGGCTAAAACAAGAGTCTCAGTCAATTTGCATTTCCAAAATTCAAATGCTTTTAATTGAGATTGATTACGTAAAAGTATTAAATACGAATTGAATACCTTTGCGTAGCAAGTTATATAACGGTTTTACAGAAAATTTCTCGATAAATTTGCGGAATATGAATAAAAACAATTAAATTACTTTAATATCTGTTATACCCGATGCTACAGACAAATTCAGCACAGTTGAATTTCAATTCCACTTTGTTTTTTATAAGCTATTAAAAGCCTGTTTATAATTTTTATTTGCTCTTCTATTGTAACTGTCGTTATTAAAAAGTCATTTATAAAAATGATAATAACCCTTTTATCAATTAATTTACACAATATCTTATAAACCGAACGGGTTATTTTTAATCCAAATGGTGATTTCAAACACTCGTAAACCCCAAATGGTGTTCTAAACACAGTTCATTTAATCAATTCGTCCCCTATAAGAATACGGGAAAAACGGTTTTTTAGATCCAGTAGTGTAAAATATTATTTTTCTTTAAATAAATTAATATTTATTTTAAGTTTCTCATTTAATTTATAAAAATCAATGTACATTTTCTATTCGCTATTTTTTTCCTCGTTCAAACGATCGACGATGTCAAGTCAAATTCGGTTGGCTTATTAATGTTTTTCTCCGATATTTCATCAATTTTTTCTTTAACCTCCATATTTTGATATTGTAATAACCTTTTAGATAAAAAATAAAATGGTTTTTCGTCTTAAAAAATCAAT